CTCATCAGGGTTCCTCTCAAATCCAAAACCAGAAACCGCTACTACCAATACTGCTACGATGACGACGACGGCGGCCGCGATGGCATGATGGCCATGTCTAGGTAGTTCCACACAAAAAGCGGGACTTGGAACGCGGCCACATCCTCCCCAAGGGCCAGCTTCAGAGGTGTGGCTTCCCTGAGAGAAAGCAGTTTGCACTGTGTTTAAAATTGTGTGACATCCTATCACCGAGTAGGGACGCATTCACAGACACACACAAGTAGCTGCACATCTCTTGTCTCCGTCGAGCTGAAGATGCACGGTTACTGTAACTGTGCCCTCTGAACTGCAGCACGCGCAGAAACGTGTCACATCTCTGCTGGCTAGCGGCCCGCTGAGAGAGCGCAGAAGTGCTTCCCGATGCTGCTCGACTGCTTTCCGCAACGCCTGCTGCTGGGTCTCTGCAGCGTGATACCTGGGCTGAGCTTGGCTTCAATAAGAACACGGCTTGGCATCTTTCCACAAGAGCTGACGAAAGCCTGCCAAGCAGCAACTCCTGGGTCTGAAGTAGCTCACTAAGAACTCGGTCGAGGCCTCCCAACCAACTCAAGCACACATGTGCCTGTTTCGCCAGACATGGAAGGAACACTCCAACCACAAAATTTGCCTTCTCGCAGTTCCATGCTGGTGGCCCCAAATTGCGGCAAGTATTGGGCAACCAGCCGAAGCAAAGACTGTGAAAAACATCTACATTCATCTTGTAGCCTGTTGTAGCCTGTCAGTGTCTTTGGCGGCTTGAACCCTACAGAAATCGGCCTCTCCTTCTTATCGGCTCTTCTGCAAATGTCTGACGGATCATGCGACAATACTTGGAGCGGAACGGGAGAGCTAGGAGCCAGGGCAAGGAAGAGCTGCTTCGTTTGACAAGAACTCATAGTCAAATCAGATGGTGCAACGTGACACTGCCCATTGAAGCATGCCTAAGCAAGAAGACAGCCCGCCCTTGCGTGGGGCTCGCACAGTGCTAGGGTCGCAAACGCCCAGCCAATGTTCGCCAAGCCCTGCGGTGTGAAATCCTCATCTTGCTTGAGCACGCAACGGATTAAGTCCAAAGCGCTGGGTTTCCTAGACAACAGATCTCAGTTGCAACTGCCTCGAGAGTGCATCTGAGGGGAAGACGTGCGCGTTGCGGCCAACCTCCTTGGCGATGCACTCCTTCGGCGGATCGCACAGTCCCTCTTTGAAGCCACTCGGGCCCGGCCATTTGTCACTGGAGCAGTGCGCAGATGCCATGTTGCATCTAGGCAGAACCTTCACATGACGAGGCCCGCACCAGTAACTTTCTCTCAGGACCTCGTCCCTGCAGTCAACACACCAGGTTTGCGCACTAGGGCATGCAGTGCCATGAAGATCACGAAGATCCAGCCTCAGGCTCTGCAAGCAGATGTGCCATGGCCCAGGCAGTGTTGGCAAGACCTCTCCATGCTGAGCTTCTTTAACCCTGGACTCTTTCTACAAACACATCTAGAATCCAGGGCGTGCGCCTTGTGCCTGAAAGTCCGGCAGCAGCTGCAGCGCGGTGCGGGCAATGGCAGTCACGAAGCCTCTCTGGTCAAAGCGGGCGACGGCGAGGCTCCAGGCCTGGATGCGGATGGCGGATGCGACATGATGCAAGTACCTCCGCCTCCGTAAGCACCAAAAAAAGCCGAGTGGCGACGTTGGAGAGGCCGTGACTGTCCAGCTCGTGCAAGCGCCCGATGGCCGATGTCCCCAGAGCCTCAGACTCTTCTCCGCTGCTCCGCTGCTCCGCTCCCGGACTCTGCGGCTCCGGCCTTGAGGCTTCTGTGCACGCCCGTCCACGCACGGCCACTCCAGGATCCACTTTCAAGGCCTCGCGGGCCATAGCCTTCAAAGTTGTCCGCCCAAGGCCCAACCTTCGCAAGTGCCCACCTCGTGCCAAATGCTAGAGTGCTGTGACACAAGAGAACCACAGAGCCCACGGAGGCAACACAAGACGGTTGAACCACTGCTACCGAGAAGCAATGCTTTGGACACCTCCTTTACATGTGGAATCTCATTGCTGGACGGTGACACCTCGCTTCTGGATCTCATTGCAATCACTATTCAGCACTATCTAACAGCGAACACACATCGTGCCCTGCAGCACCAGGTACTGTTGTTGCTGACGCCGCCGTGGCTGCCAGCTTTGCCAACACTGCGGTCAGGCGTTGATCGTGCCGGAGCTCTCCGCGATCCGTGCTTTTGGCAATACGATGCAATGCCACCACCGAGTGAACGACATCAAACTCCTGCAGGCCCGGCACAGGTCGGCAGTAGCGGCAGTCGGAGAGGGACACATATGCAAAGATTGATCAGCACAGCGTCATGCAGCGGAATTTGAGGAATTGCGGGGAAGCGAAAACACACTCTAGCCGTGTCTTTTTGGCGCGTTCGCCCCTTTACGTAGTTTTATGTCTCTTGCGGCATCGCGCAACCCTACTTGGTGTTAAAAAGCAGATTGAATAATGAGACCATCAAGCAGCAGCGCATGACGATCCCGACCTCCAGGTGCAGTTCAGCGGCATGGAGTATTTCCCGCGTCGTCCAACTCTGCGCGAGGTCTTTGCCCAAGCGAATCCGCGTGGTGGACTGCAGAAAAAACAGAACAGAAAGGAAGGCGAAGACGTTGCAAAGCTCAGGATCTGAAGCCGAGCTCGCATGAGAGCCGGCTGTGGGCCTCTGAATGCGGCGGCCTCCGAGGTTGGCCGAAGGTCGTCTCTCTGCTCTGACTCTGAGTCCTCTCACGCGGATTTTAACGGACGTTAAACGCGCCGCCTTCGCGCTCCGGCCGAGTCCTCTCCCAGCGGTCGTGTCCGTGGTGTCCGTCGTGTCCGTTCCGGCTTGCCTTTCTCCGGCGCGGGACGAAGTCGCGAACGAACTCCGGTGTGCAACCAAGGCACCTCCGCCCGAGTTCTCTCCGGTGGCACCGTGGCTCGCCCAGGCAGGAAGTTGGCCCACGGGTCGTTGGCTTCTTTGCCTCCAACACCGGTTTCTGGCCAAAGCTGTTTGTGAAACATTGAAGAGTTTGCTTAAACCAGCACGTGCAAACAGCGTCGTATGCAGCGTCCTGCCTGGGGACTCCATGCGCTCGGCTGCCGGCACATGCGGGGCTCTCGCGACTGGCACATCTTCAAGGTCTCCGTATTGTGCGTCCAGCGTGTCATCTGAGTTGCTGTCCGGGGGGGCAGCCTGAGACAGAAGGGTGCCAAACGAGCTTTGCTAAAGGTGCAATATATAGTACATTGTTGTTTTCGCGGCAAGTGGTAGCAGCAGTAGTAGTAGTAGCAGCAGCAGCAGCATTTGATGCTGTTGTTGCTGTTGTTGCTGTTGTTATTGGACGAGCAGTCGTTGTCGCAGTGGCGGCGGTGGTGGCAATCGTCGTCGTCGTCGTAGTAGTAGTAGTAGTGGTAGTAGTAGTAGTAGTAGTAGTAGTAGTAGTAGTAGTAGTAGTAGTAGTAGTAGCAGTAGCTTGCTCGGCGGGGGGGGGGGGGGCAAGATGCTGTACAGGCTTGCCCATCTTGCTGGTGGGGGGGGCGGGGGGGCTCCGCGCCCAATCTTGCAATCTTGCTTGTTGCTATTCCCATCCTCCAAACCCTAAGCCCTGTGCAAGATTACCATGCGCCCCCGCCCCCTCAAGATTGCGAGATTGCAAGACTACCATGCGCTTCCCCTGCCCCCTGAGCGGAAACCACTTTTGAAGATTGCAAGGTTTCCTGTTTGGCAACCTTGACCACCAATTTTGCAAACGCCGTGGACGTCCAAGATTTCTAGATTCTTAAGATTGTGTACTATCTTGACCCCCCACCAACATGGGCAAGCTTGGCAAGATGGGCAAGATTTACCAAGCTTGCAAGTTGACCAAGTTTGGTGCAACACTGATCGGCTCTGAATTCCCAGCACAATGTAGTGCTGGTAGTAGCGGTAGTAGTAGTAGTAGTAGTAGTAGTAGTAGTAGTAGTAGTAGTAGTAGTAGTAGTAGTACGAGCAGCAGCAGCAGCAGCAGCAGGAGTAGTAGCAGTAGTAGCAGTAGTAGCAGTAGTAGTAGTAGTAGTAGTAGCAGTAGCAGTAGCAGTAGTAGTAGTAGTAGTAGTAGTAGTAGTAGTAGTAGTAGTAGTAGCTGTTGTTGTTGGTAGTGTTGCAGCAGTAGTACTTGCAGCAGCAATAGTCATGCTAGTGCTAGTAGAAGGCAGTAACCACAGAGTTCCAGTCCCAGAAGCGCGTTCTGGTCGAAATGTGGACTCTGCTGAGCAGTGTCCGCCCTCTATGTGGAGCTCGGACTGGGACCCGTTGGTTCTCGGTAATGGCTCCGTCAAGGGCTCGGAGTCCTGCTTCTTCCCAGTTTTCGGGACTTCTTGCGACGGAACCCCGAACAACAAGACACAGGCCGCTCTTTTTGGGAGATCTGATAGGCCGGCTTCCAGAGATGCGCCAGAGCTTCTGGGTTCCATCGCGAAGGTGCACGACCTCATTGAAGCCGGATGCTTCCTATGCAAAGAACGACGTTTGGGTGCAGGCAGCAACCATGCCGGGGCACTGCCATCACCAGTGTCACCCCAAAAGCGGCCAGCGCCGAAGGATGTATCCATTCTGCTTCAGGAGTAACATGGCCGAAGACATGTGAAATTTCTTTGGCCTGGAGAACTAAAGGGGCTGGGATGGGCCCAGAACGGGGGCCATGTAGCTTTGAGAAACCAAGTCCATCTTAACCACTCGACTGTGACTAGACGTCTTAAGCTGGAACCTGGAATTGACTGTGGAGCAGGTTTTACTGCAATTCCACCCCTGCAACTCACCGGGATTGTCGCAGAGGTGCGAGCGGCTCAAATTTTTTATTTCATCTCGTTGGGGCATGGCCGCGCTCCGCCACACCGCAGATCTCCATCCAACCGCAGCCGCCTGCAGGCGGAACTTGCAGAGAATGCTCTGGCTGAGCACGGCCGCTGTCACCTGCCTCGAGCTGTCTAAGCAGCTTGTGCAGGTGGTGGATAATAGTCCGGCGGCCGCGCGTCCCTGACACCCAGATTGACATGACATGCCCGATGCTGAATCGACCGGTAGAACTCACAGCCTGATCGCCGGAGGATAGTAGTATGGCGGTGCAGGATATGCAGCACCTGGCAAAACCAGGACTGCTGGGACCACTCGAACGTGTCCTATGTGGCAGGCACCCCAAGGTGAAGGAGGTGGTCGCCTCGGACGTCGCTCTCAGAGTGCCGAGAAAAAATGGACAAACTCTCAAGGAGCCGGCGCAGTCCGGTACGGATAGCTTTCCTGAGCACAGCGCAGACACGTGTTATCTGCGTCGGACCGTCAATGTAGCTCCGTAAGGCGCGAAAAGCTCGAGCAGAAGAATGGAACACGAAGGATCTCGCCGGATGTGGTGGGCAAACAGGTGAGATCGATGAAAGCTGTATTGCCCCAGATCCACTGAGCATCGACAGGCTTCGGTTCTCAGTTTAAAGCACCTTCAACGGGCGAAAGGGCTCGTGGTTTCCGACCACGGTTTCGGCTGTCACGGGGGAATGCCACGGACTTAAGTCGGGGCGGTCGCCGGAAACCTGGCACCCACATGGCGAGGCGGAACTGCGGAAGCCCGCAAACATGCGCAGAATCTGCTCACGCAACTCTCAGTGATCGGCGTCACCGTCAGAAATCCAGCTAGGCTTGCTGTTTCCCAGCTCATCAAGCTCCCCCTGAACAGGGCAGACTCTTGACGGACCAGACACAGCGCTCCCGCTTGCGCACAGTCTGAGGCAGTGACCGAGTTGCCGAGCCTGCAGGACAGGCACTCTCACTAATCTGATGAAGGCTGCGGAAGACTTGTCCGCAGTCATGTTGAATGAAAAGGCGATGGACGGGGTCCCGGGGTTTCCCGGCCAGCCTCCTCTTCTTCGAAAGCTCATCGTTGTCGTCGCCTGCTTGTCTTCAAAAAAAGTCCCAAGTTGTTCGATTAGCTCGTCTCCACGGCACTCATCGGACACGCCACATTCCATCATGTGAAGCCAGAGCACCTTCGCGAGTCTTCCTCGGACTCATTCGACTGCAGATAAAGCTTGTACATTGCTAAGAGTAGCTGCTGAACAACAAGGGTGTTGAAGCGCCAGTTCAGTTGAGTTCAGCGCTTCAGTCTCTGTGGCCCATTGCCGGCTGCGGCCTAGTGCCACACAGTGTGGAAGAAGCCTTCGGTCCATATGCTCAAGTCAATTCCGAGTCGGATGCCTTGTTCTCGTCTCCTTGCAAGCACTTCGTATTGCTTTTCAAAAGCTACGAGTAGCCCAGCCGCCCGCTGCCTTCGCCTTCAGGCTTCTTCTTTTTCCTGCTTTTTGCCTCAAGGTGCAGCAAGGTCGTGGAATGTGTGATTCACATTGCTATGTTGTCCTGTGTCTTGGCCCCAAACTCTGCTCGGCTTTGTGTGGTCTCCGTGGCAGAACCTCAGACTTCGCAAATGCCTGCTGACAAATCCTCTGGCTTGGCAAAGGCTCTGGCCGGCATTTTATTGCGTTGTAACAACCCTTGGGCGAATGATGAAAAATGCAGGTGGCGCCTCAGTGAAAAGGAATTCCCCAACCAGCTCCGACAGGCGGTGGATCGAGCTTCGAACATTTCCCACTTGCATGCAACATTGCGCCTGAGACGTGAAGCGATGACATGACGCATTTGCGACGTGTACAACAGGTGGTCAGGCAGTCATCTGCCTATGGAGGTAAAGCCGCCATCTGCCTTCTTCGGCAGGATCTGCAAGGGGCCGTGGAGCGCAGAGATGGGCATGGCATGTTCTCCATGCATGTGCTTGCACCAACTTAGGACAAAAAAATTGTTACACCGGCACAATCTGGACTCGACCACGCTAGACCTTGCACCGACCTCTTCAACACCGTTCACGTAAACACAGTCAATACTAACCTGAACTTAGCAGAATCTCAGGAGACAGGACCTGCGACCCTTTGACATCCCCTGACCCTTCACCACGCAAGCGGGCATGTGCGGCCAAACCTTTGCTGGCCGTGAGTGGAACGACCTACCCAAATCCGGCACCTCTTTCAGCTCTTCCTCCGTATGATGCTCGTAGAGCTTGAAGTTTGCCTCTAGTCCTGACATTCACAGCTGCTTGCGAGCCTCATCAGAGGCTGCCCATCACTGCTGAGGCCAAAACGCTCATCTCTCTCTATGGCTTCAGGACCTCCGCCACACGAGAATCGAGGCAGGAACCATGCGGGAAGGCAACTTGGCGGCTCGCTTTTGTTTGCGGCCGCTTTTGCTTTTGCGGCAGCCTCAGTGCTACCAGTGCTACCAGTGCTACCAGTGCTAGTGCTTCAGCTTTTTCTTGAGCTCACGGTGTCTTGCCGGGCCGGGCTGCCGCTGAGGCCTCCGCCTTTGCCTTTGCCTTCGCTTCTGCCTCCTTAAGAACAGCCACAGTGCCGACCACCGAACGACCGAACGGTTAGCTTGATATTCTAATCCGTTTCTGGTGGGTGGCAAAGAAGATGTAAAAACACTCTTCTTGCTGCATCAGCGAATCCACACGGACTGGGCTTGGACAGGTTTGTGAGAACTCAGAGCAAAGCCGGGCAGAAACTGGTTGGCTCTGCAGAAAACTCACCAAATTATATTTGTTAATTAGTCTATGTCTATCTCTGCATAACCTCGACCCAACACTTTGCTCGCTGCAGGCATTGCCTGGCTCAAGTGCTTCACTGCATACCCCCGTGACAGGAGTATTAAATTATACGCGATTTCGGATGCGCACGTGACGCAGAGTTCCGGCAGGTTCGATCCATGCTTAAAAAGGGGGCCTACGACAGCCACTCAGACACGGATTCACGATGCTTCAAGTCCGAGAACGTAATGTCGGGATCTCGGCCTCCAGGAAAAGCAAGCTGCTGCAACTTTCAACGCGGCTGGCAAGTTTGCCCCAGACCGTGACTCAGGCCCGAACTGTTGAAGGCTTAAGACTGGGCGCCGTGTGCCTGCAATCTCCAGGTCCAGTCGTCATAACGAATGCACACAGTGAAGAACATTTTTGCCAGCAAAGAAGAAACGACACAACTGGATGGACAGACAGACAAGAAAGCGGGCAGCGAAAACTCGATTGATGTAGATATACACAACCAACAGATTCAATAGAAAACTTGAGGCAGTCAAAGATGTGCATATGCATACATGAATGCGCATGCAAAAGACACGAGCACACACACGCACACACAAACACATACATACACACGCGCACACACACACATGCATACGGACGAACTTTTTGATGAGCACACGTATACATGCGCAAAGCGCTCGAAGTTGTATGCAGGGATGAGTGTTTGGCATGTGCACATTCATGTGCGGCATTTCTCTATCCGCTTGCTTGCTTGCATCTAGCATGTGACGACACGAGTTGAATTTGTTCCATCCATTTGTGCATCCACCCACCCGCTCGCCCGCCCACCTACCCACCCACCCACGCATGCATGCACGTTTGCTTGCATCTTTATGTGTCTACATGTTGAGCAGCTTGTCCCAAACAGGCCATGTGACAAACGCTTGCATCGCTACCTTGTACGTTGACCGGCCTTCCCCTACCCCTATGTCCGCACGCATGGAGGACAGGCGCAACTGCGGAAATACGCAGTGCGGACGATTTATGCATGCACACACACGGATACATACAGACACACAAACCTCGACAGATATGCTTTTAGATAGAAGCTGGTAGAGAAATGTGCCTACCTTCACGCGGACCATGAATGGAGGTACTGACTGGCACTACATTATACCACTGTATAAATATGTATTCATGCATACGTGCATCTATGCTTGCACATGTACCCGTACAGCTGCATATGCACATCGATGCATGCATGCATGCATGCATGCATGTATGTATCATGTGTACCATCCATGTGTGTATGGATTTGTTTCAGGTGTACATATAGATAGATACAAGTAGATACTGTAGATAAACAGGATAGACAAGTTCTGAGATACAGAGAGACAGGGAGGAGCGAGGAGAAGGAGACGGAGGGACGGGGCAAGTCCGAGCCTGGAGGATCTGGATGCAGCTCTCCTGGCGATTCTGGGTTGCGACGGCCAGCGGCGTCTGGCCCTGGGAATTGGGCTGGGAGACCTGAGGAAAGTCATCATACTTTGACGATGTCTGACCAGAGGCCATAAGACATAAAATGCTGGCATGTCATGCTCTTCTCCCAGGCCATGTTGCATTGGCTCCAACTTTGAGCAGGTACTCCAGCAGCTCCTGCAGACCGTGTGCTATCCAGTGCTTACCAGGCCGCACGCAAACGCAAACTCTTCGACCTCCAGCGACACGATTTGCCAAGAAGCTTGCTGCTTTACTTATGCCGTGTGCACTCCACTACGAGAACCCTGCTGGACCTTGCGTCCGTAGCCAGCTGCATAGTGCAGGCCACCTTGTCTGGATCATGCTTGCTAGACACTGCAGCGCCCAGAAATGCTTCCGCTTCGCGCCAGATTCTCCGCCAGAGTGCTGTTGCCAGAGCTGTCCACTGCATAAGGATTGGCACGGCTGTCCTTGTTGCACGACATGCTCGCCCCGCTCCCAAGGACTGAAGCGATCTAAGCCGAGTGTCCAAAAGAAGCTTCACAACAGCTATCCGGTTGGCTCCAATTGCGTAGCCAAGAGCGGTGATGCCCTGCTTGCGGCCATTTCCCCGAACACAGCATCAGAAGTTCTGCAGGGACCCGCATTTCTTTGCCTTGTGGTCCTGGGAGTCGAGCGGCTTCTTCTTGTCCAGGAAGTCCTGAAGCTGTGCTGCGAAAGGACTGCAGCTTGGACCTTACGCAAGTCTCACTCCTGCACTGCCTTCAAATCTCCGTTCTTGGCGGCCTGGCTGCTCGCAGCAAAGTAGCAAATGACAGCATGCGACCCAGCTGAGTGCTATAGGTACGTGCCAACACCACCAACACATGGCCTCATGCAGGGTCAACGCTGTCTCGTCAATCCTGGGCCCACCCATGATCATAGCACGAAACCTATCACACACATGGACCACCGGAGGAAGGCGGGGCACTTCTTCAGGACCGGCTGCAGCTCTGACGGAAGACCGCCCATCTTCTGGCTGATTTTCAACATGAGCTCTTCGTCCTCTTTAAAGAAGCTCTCGGACATCGGAAGAGAAAGCGCTACATCATGACCTTCGGACACGGTGCTCCTGGTAGTACTTCATGGCAGCCTCCATGCCGTTCTTCTTAATGTCCTCGAAGACGCTGGCCTCGTGACAGTAAGGTGCCTCAGGGCCTCAGAGCTCAGAAGGACCGAGAAATGCCGAGAGCCTGGCCAGTTCCGGGTCCTTCTCCAGAGACTTCACGCGGTCCGCCACCGGGGCGTCGCCGTTCGAAAGCCTGTCGCCGCTCGAGCTCTTCGTCTCTCTTCCCTGGAACGGCGCTCAAGTGCTGCTTGGCAACTTCGTGTTGTAGTGCCTGGGCTTTGGGCGGGTGCCCCAGCTGTATGGGGCAATCGGATGTTTAGAAACTCCTCAACCAGTAGGTCTACGTACGTCCACGTCCATCGATTGAAACGAACTGGACATACTGATCTACTAAACCGAAGGGCTCGGCGATGGCCTGAGTCTGCAACCAGCCTGGAAGGACATGCTCACCATCAGAAACTGCCGTATCATGTTGTAGCAGTGTCGACAAATTCGTGCCTCGCATGGCTTCCGGATTTTTGGCAAAGTTCTGCAGGGCCTTTGCAGTCTCCGGATTGCCTGGGTGAGCAACAGACAAAGCAGCTGCCGAGTGATGGATGGCCCTGTGCCATGCTGTTGTGCGCACGACGGGAACGAGTTACGCTCGCGTTGCGTGGCGGGCCTTCCACATAGGCCTTCACCTCTGCCCAGGTGTTGTCATCAATGTCCGGGAGGCGTGCGATCTGCATGGTGGTGCCATCCTTGCCACGACGGGCTGCAAGGAATTGCGGGGAAGACGAAGTTGCGCCGTTTCACACGCTGAACTGAGGAAGGGTCGCTGATCTTAAGAGTCTCAGTAGGAGCCGTCGCAGTCTCGGCCATGATGATCCTGCTCAGGCGGGCTTCCGGGCTGACGACCCATCACAGGTGCAGAGCGCAAAGAGCATGGTCGCCAACTCTGGGTCTCTGGGCGACTGGACAGCGTGGCTGAATCGATGTGAGCCGTGTATATATGTCTGAGGGCACTTCAGACGTTGCATGACAATTGCAAACTCCCCTCGTAAAAGCGACATGAACCTCGCCGCCTCGGGAAGGGATCTGCTGTCGCTAGATTGCGAGCTGTTGAGCAAAATTGCTTCGGAGGCAGACTCAAAGATAGGTCAGGTGAAATTTCAGCTGCGGCTCGTATATACACAAGAGCCCACCTTCTTCACCTTTTCTGCGTCCTCGACGGCCGTGTCCTCCTTGTCGGCCTTCTCAGCCTTCTCTGCCACACTGAACCCAGGCGGTTCTTCGGCTTTGCCGCCCAACTCGGAACTAAGAAAGGAGGGCAGAGTGCGCCGAGGCTGCGGACGTCCGTTAGTGGCTATCTAAGGAGTCTAGCAACACAACAGCCACAGGCCTCCATATATGGGTCGCTGCCACGGGCAACAACTCCTTGGCTGCACATGGTGCTGCAGCTAATGCGTGCGAATACGCCATGCATCTGAAAGACTCTGTCGTTGCAGGCAGCACACTTTCTGCAGCCGCCAGGCTCGAATAGATAAACAACAGGCCTATTATTCTGACAGTCTGTCCTCTCTGCTGCTGCAATGACAGACAAAAGAAGGAAAAGCCTATCCACATGATCTCTGCATTGGCTGTTTATGCTAGAGATGCGCCATCGAGTGACTAATTGTATGGAGCTTTGAACACTACTTGTCTAGGTATGACGCCCTGGAATGTAGAAACAAGCTGGTCGACTGAACGGGCTGGTCGGGTTAATCCACACGGCTGGAACGGAGCATGTCTGGTCCGAGTTTTGCATGCATGTGAAAACAACCTCTGAAGTCGGAGCCAACCGGAGACGTCAAGTCGCGCGGGCTCTGCTGATGAACACTTGGTCGAAACCCAGAAAGTACTCATCATGGCAGCAGTCAATCTTGGAAGAACGGTCAGCACAGCACTTTCCCGCGTGCGCCAACGGCCGTTGGGCCTAGTACTGAAGCGGCAGCCATGTAGGGGACACCCCCCAAGGCGACATCAACGAAGCGTGTGCCATGTCGTCCACTCGGGTTGCAAGCATACAAAGCCCTTAGCGCGAAACTTTATCAATTACTGTAAGAGGTCTGGGTGCAAAGCTAAACGCTGCTCCGAGGGCTAGGCAACTAAACACAAAGCCAAGCCGCCCTGGCAAACTGTTCATAAAAAAGAGGTGACAGTCAACGTCCACAGAATCTCTTGGAGACCTCTCTGAACGTGTTCTGAAAACCTCACTGCACAAAACTAAGTTGTAAACTAGTCTGCCCGAGTGACATCGAAAACTACACCGGCCCGTTAGGAAGATGGACAAGTACCTGCAGCCACCTGCAGCGAAAGACAGCAAAGTACGGACGCGATCGAATGTGGGGTAGGAGCAGCAGGAGTTGTAGGAGTAGCAGAGTTTAGTCGGGGTAGTAGGAGTCGTGGGAGTCGCAGAACGAGCTTGTAGTAGCGGTCGTCGTCGTCGTCATCGCCATGTCGATGGTGGTACCAGTAGCAGGCGTCGTAACAGCAGTCAGTGCTGCTGTTTAAGTAAATGTAGTAGGACCAGCGGGAATGAAGGTGCAAATAAAGGCGATAGGAATATGCCTAGGGGTACCAGCAGCAGCAACAGCAGCAGCAGCAGCAGTAGTTGTGGTAGTAGTAGCAGCAGTAGTTGTAGTAGCAGCAGCAGTCTGAATAAAGTTCTGCTAACAGCTAAGCAAAGCCCCAAGCTAAACCCTAGTTCCCAAAAAGCCTACACCCGAAGAGCAGTAACCCTTAAACTGTTATCAATACGTCCAAACGACATGTTTGTCGCTAAACTGCTGCTAAACTCTACAAACACCTTTAAAGTAGATGTTGGCCGGCTAACCCCAAACCGTGAAGGGAGATGCCCGAGATGCTGGTCGCAAAAACCTAAACCCGAAAGAGAAATGATGACTGGCAAACCCCCTATCCACAAAAAGTATGTTGGGTCGGCAACCCCGAAGCCCTGCAAGGAAATCCTCAAGACTACGATGTGATGTTGGTTGGCAAACCACCCAAACCCTACAAGAATTTCAGCCTAACAGCAAACCCAAACCCTACAACGGAAATTTTGGGTGGCAAACCCTGCACCCACGTGGGTTGGCAAGCCCCAAACACCCAACGAAAGATGTTGGTTGGCAAAACCTACCCCGAACCCGAAAGGAGAATGTTGGTTGGCAAGCCCCAAACGCCAACAAAACAGATTCTGGCTGGCTGGCAAGCCGTAAATCCTGAAAAACTGACAAATATCTCTAAACTCTACCAGGGCAGGTTGGTTGCAATCCCTACGCCTTGAAAGTGGACGTTGGCTGGCTAAGCCCAAACCCGAGGGGAGATGTTGGATGGTTGGTTGGTCGGAGGGCTGGCTGTCTGGCTGGCTGGCTGGGCAATGCGTGGCCCGCTGGCTGGCTGGCTGGTTGGCTGGAAGGTTGATTCCACGCCAGAAAAACGTTGTGCTGGTTGTCAAACCATCATGCTGAAAAAAACATGTTGGCCGACAAGCCCAAGACGCCAACCCCATATAGCCGGACGTTGCGCAAAACATTCCTACACCCTAAAAGGAAACCCTAAACCCTGAAACGAGCAACATTAACCCTAGCAAGCGATGCTGGTTAGCAAAGCCTACACCGTGGAAAGCAAACCCTAAACCCTAAAACGAGCTGTTGCTGGGTTGGCCGAGCCCAAACCCTCAAAGGAACAACGGTTGGCACACCCTCAAGCCGCAAAGTTGGCAAACGAGAGCGGAGAGAGAGGGAGAGAGACACAGAGAGAGACAGCGAGAAAGAGAGAGAGAGAGAGAGAGAGAGATGCATCTTAAAAAGAATGCAGCTGCACCTGCCCGACTTTCATGCACCTGTCCAGCCCTTCATTCCCCAAATCCGCCCAGCTCCTCCTGAAATCCATTTTGCGTGGGGCCTGGCTCTGCGATCAAGCTTAAACTGGTGCCGCTGTTCAGCAGCTCTGAGATCTCTTGGCTTCCAAGAGCTCAACCCGACACTTTGCTCGCTGCAGGCATTGCCTGGCTCAAGTGCTTCACTGCATACCCCCGTGACAGGAGTATTAAATTATACGCGATTTCGGATGCTCACGTGACGCAGAGTTCCGGCAGGTTCGATCCATGCTTAAAAAGGGGGCCTACGACAGCCACTCAGACACGGATTCACGATGCTTCAAGTCCGAGAACGTAATGTCGGGATCTCGGCCTCCAGGAAAAGCAAGCTGCTGCAACTTTCAACGCGGCTGGCAAGTTTGCCCCAGACCGTGACTCAGGCCCGAACCGTTGAAGGCTTAAGACTGGGCGCCGTGTGCCTGCAATCTCCAGGTCCAGTCGTCATAACGCATGCACACGGTGAAGAACATTTTTGCCAGCAAAGAAGAAACGACACAACTGGATGGACAGACAGACAAGACACCGGATGGGAGAGTAGGCAGCGAAAACGGCATGTACCGAGATCGATCGACCGATGTATATAGACCAATTGAAAATTTAAGTCAACCCGAGAAGTGCACATGCACACATGCATGCACATGCAAAAACCAACGAGCGCACACAGACACGCACGTAGATATGTATCACGTGTATATATATATATATATATATATAGATGCGTCTGTATACCCACACACGTACTTTTCATGAACACACATACAAACCGGTCGAAGCTGTATGCACGGATGCATGTGCTGCATTGATCTTTCCGGGGCCGTCATGCATAGATTCATGAAACACTCATAGAACTCCAAAGGGTGAGAGCGAGATCAAGCTGACGTACGTCTTTGCAGCCGTCTGCACGGCTCAAATAAAGCTCGAATCCTAGCGTGGCATACGAGTCAGACATCTGGACCCGCCCGACAAGCCCTGATCTGGTTCCTACACCAACCCGGCAAGGAAGGCAAAGCAGTCGACCTAACGGCAGTACATGCCCCCGTGCAGCGCAGTCGGCAACGTATCCGACATGGCTGCTTGCATGCATCTGGCTGTGACGACACGAATTGAATTTGCCTGCCTGGCATCGTACGTACATGCGACAGATACATCCATCCGTGCGTCCACCCACCCGCCCGCCCACCCACCCACCCATGCATGGACGATTGCTTGCATCTTGTCTTCATGTGTCTACATGTTAGCAGCTTGTCCCAAACAGGCCATGTGACAAACGCTTGCATCGCTACCTTGCACGTTGACTGACGTTTCCGTATGTCCGCATGCATGGAGGACAGGCGCAACTGCGGAAACAGGCAGTGCGGACGATTTCTGAATGCACGCATGGATACAGGAAGGCACACAAACCTCGACAGATATGCTGGTAGATAGAAGCAGGTAGAGAAGTGTATGTATGGAGGTACTTACTATCTGGTACTACATGTACAGATCTATGTGTACATCTATGCATGTGCACGTCGATGCATGTAATCAGCGCGTGCGGGCTCAGTGGCCGCAGATGGCCATGCGCTGGATTGCGCCGATTGCGCTGGAATGCGCCGATTGCGCTGGAATGCGCCGAATGCGTTGGAATGCGATTGCGCCGAATTGCGCCGTTTGCGCCGAATTGCGCCGTTTGCGCCGATTGCGCCGAATTGCGCCGATTGCGCTGGAATTGCGCTGGAATTCTGCCTACAGCCTGGCACACAGGCAATATACTAGCCTGTGGCTGTCGCAGCCTAGTTGCGACCTTGGTTTTGCAGCCTGCGATTTCCGGGCAGTGCCTGTCGCACCAGGTTTTTGTGGCTCATTGCTGGCAGCAGTTCCCGCACTCCTGCGATTTCTCTTCAACTGTCAGTCAGAGAGAGTTTTTACATTTCACGTGTTAATTCAGCGGATTTCTTAGCGAACGACCACGAATCTCGACTCAATTGACGTGCTCTTGTGCGTGCACCCGGAATTTTACGCGCACTTCGGAACTGTTTTGGGTTTGTTATTGTGTCTTTGCTCTTCTGAAAGTCTTCTGAAATCTGAGACTACCGACCGATTCATGAGTCAGAACCCTGGCAGGTCTTGAGCTCCGAGGGTGGGGCCTTGGACTCTGATGGGGCGGGGCGCCCCTGATTTTTAAATCCGAACCCTTACGGATCCTTGAACTCCGAGGGTGGGGCTTTGGACTGATGGGGCACCCCTGATTCTTAAATCAAAGCTTTGACAGATGTTGAACTCCGAGGATGAGGACTTGGACTGCTTGAGCGCCCATGATTTTCGGATCACCGCCTCTTAGTGAGCTTGAACTCCGGGGGTGGGGCCTTGGACGCCCCTGGTTTTTTTAAATCAGAACTCTTACAAATCTTGAACTCCGAGGGTCGGGCCTTGAGTTGATGGGGCACCCCTGATTTCTAAATCACAACCCTTACAGATCTTGAACTCCGAGGGTGGGGCCTTGGACTCTGATGGGGCGGGGGCGCCCCTGATTTTAAATCAGAACCCTTACCGATCCTTGAACTCCGAGGGTGGGGCTTTGGACTGATGGGGCACCCCTGGTTCTTAAAGCAAAGCTTTGACAGATGTTGAACTCCGAGGATGAGGATTTAGACTGATGGAGCGCCCATGATTTTCAGAGCTTGAACTCCGGGGGTGGGGCCTTGGACGCCCCTGGTTTTTTTAATCAGAACTCTTACAAATCTTGAACTCCGAGGGTCGGGCCTTGGGTTGATGGGGCACCCCTGAATTCTAAATCACAACCCTTACACATCTTGAATTTCCGAGGATGGGGCCTTGGACTCTGATGGGCCGGGGCGCCCCTGATTTTTAAATCAGAACCCTTACAGATCCTTGAACTCCGAGGGTGGGGCTTTGGACTGATGGGGCACCCCTGATTCTTAAAGCAAAGCTTTGACAGATGTTGAACTCCGAGGATGAGGACTTGGACTGATGGAGCGCCCATGATTTTCAGATCACCGCCTCTTAGTGAGCTTGAACTCCGGGGGTGGGGCCTTGGACGCCCCTTGGTTTTTAATCAGAACACTTACAAATCTTGAACTCCGAAGGTCGGGCCTTGGGTTGATGGGGCACCCCTGATTTCCAAATCACAGCCCTTACAGATCTTGAACTCCGAGGGTGGGGCTTTGGACTCTGATGGAGCGGGGCGCCCCTGATTTTTAAATCAGAACCCTTACAGATCCTTGAACTCCGAGGGTGGGGCTTTGGACTGATGGGGCACCCCTGATTCTTAAATCAAAGCTTTGACAGATGTTGAACTCCGAGGATGAGGACTTGGACTGATGGAGCGCCCATGATTTTCAGAGCTTGAACTCCGGGGGTGGGGCCTTGGACGCCCCTGGTTTTTTAATCAGAACTCTTACAAATCTTGAACTCCGAGGGTCGGGCCTTGGGTTGATGGGGCACCCCTGATTTCTAAATCACAACCCTTACACATCTTGAATTTCCGAGGATGGGGCCTTGGACTCTGATGGGCCGGGGCGTCCCTGATATTTAAATCAGAACCCTTACAGATCCTTGAACTCCGAGGGTGGGGCTTTGGACTGATGGGGCACCCCTGATTCTTAAAGCAAAGCTTTGACAGATGTTGAACTCCGAGGATGAGGACTTGGACTGATGGAACGTCCATGATTCTCAGATCACCACCTCTTAGTGAGCTTGAACTCTGAGGGTGGGGCCTTGGACTCTGATGGGGCGGGGGCGCCCCTGATTTTTAAATCAGAACCCTTACAGATCCTTGAACTCCGAGGGTGGGGCTTTGGACTGATGGGGCACCCCTGATTCTTAAAGCAAAGCTTTGACAGATGTTGAACTCCGAGGATGAGGACTTGGACTGATGGAGCGCCCATGATTTTCAGATCACCGCCTCTTAGTGAGCTTGAACTCCGGGGGTGGGGCCTTGGACGCCCCTGGTTTTTTTTAATCAGAACTGCTGGAGTGAACCAGCAGGTTGAGTAGAGGATGCAAGTGGAGTGATCAGGTCCCCTGCAAAACTCAACCCAGCCATAGCTCACACAAGGCGGAGATTTTACGCACAAGAAGAAAGCAAGCAAAAAGAAGTCTGTGCTACTTGGGCTTGGCACCTACAGATATGGTACATGTGTTGTTAAAATGTCATGCTCAAGGCGTTCTGTGCTTGGGCCTAAGAGCAACAAGGAAAAAGATTCCGCATGTACACATAGCAAAGGCTTGCAAACGAGGCATGCACTTCAGCACTCCTCCTTCGCAGCCCCGCCAGGGAGTTGCGACCTACTTGCTACTGCAGGTCCAACCCGTCAGGGTGACGACACACCTACCCTGAACTACCTGGCAAAAGCTGGGCCAACTGCCCTCACTATGCGAGGGCTCTCAAGGCACCTCGTGTAGGAAAAAGACACAGCTACGGATGAGCTCACTGAGAGATCCAACCCGTTAGGGTGGAGTAGTTCCTACCCTGTGCTGTGCTGGGTGTGGTCTGCAGCGCTGCCGTGGCACTGCTGGCACACTTGAAACTCAACAAACCTGTGCGAGTGGGCGAGCGTGGAACAGGTCTTAGTGCGGTGGAGCTTGGTCCCTTCGGGGGTTGCAAAGTAACGCGTTGGTGCTCCACCTGCCTGCTCACGCGTGCGAGTTGTTTGTGAGGGACGGCGTCTGGGCGCTGCAGCAACAGACTGCGAGCTTGCTGCCTCCTCACGTGCAGAGATCTCGGCCTGGATGGCCTGCGCAGTTTGATCTCGAAGGCGCTGTAACTTGCGCGCCTTGCGGGGGCTCAGAGACAACACGGGTGTCCCTGCCTCTCGGCGGGAGATGATGCCTTGAAGGCACCACTTGAAGAACTCCCACACTGCAATGAAGCAGATACCAATGCAGATGATGGATACTGCCAACATCAAATCTGCATCAAGCGACACGGGGAGAGACAAGTCTTCTTCCTCGTCCGTTGTCTGGCTGGCAGCACCTACGACCTGAAAGAAGGCGAGCAGGACAGCGAAGGCACTCAGCTGCAGGTCTTGCTGCGCCACGGTCCCAGTGCCCACAGCTTGAGTTTCACTGTAGGCCTGAGCTTCCGCCCGGCGAGGTACGCCATGCTCGCGCAAACCCCAGATGGCTGCGAGCTCAAGGATCCTCGCAGATGGCAGCGCCTTCGTCAGAAGATCTGCGGCCTGCTCAACTCCTGGGCAATAGACAGGGATGATCTCACCAGACTCATACTGCTCTCGAAGGTAGTTGGCGCGCACCCTTAGGTGGCGGGTTCGCCAAGACCCTTGGCCGATAGCGATGGCCAGTGCAGACTGTGAGTCAACCCTCAAAGTCTTGTCGAAGCTCGAAACCCCGAACTCGCTCAGCATGGCCTCTGCTGACTGAAGGGCAACTACAGCGTCAAGTCCAGCAACAAGCTCGGCTTCTGCGGTGCTGAGGGTGACAAAAGACTGTCGTGCTGAACGCCAGCACACCGGCGACCCGTGAAGGAAAACCACCCACCCCGTGTGAGAACGATTCCCTTCCGGTGCATAGCTGGCATCACTATACGCGATCAATCCTGTGTCATCCGCATCAGCGGTGAGAGCCAGCGCCTTGGTACGCTGCACATACGCAAGGGCCTTCTCTGCAATGCGGATGGCTCGTTGCGGCGCCTTCGTGCTGAGAGAAGCAAGCACACAAGCAGTGAAAGCTAAGTCAGGCCGAGTGCGTTGGCTTAGCCACACGACTTCTCCAGTCAGCCTCTGTGCTGTTCGAACGGTCTCCTCGGTTGGGGACTCGTCCGTCAGGAGAGTGTCAAACGAAACAAGGTCACGCGGACAGGGGACCTTACCTAGTGCAGTGGGCTTCACGTCGTTGAGACGCAGCAGCTCTTCTGCGTAAGCCTGCTGGGACAACACAAACCCGGAACCTTGCACTAGGATTTCAACCCCTAAAAACCTCAGCGGGTGCTCTGCGGTGGCAAGTGCGAGAGGCGTCGTCTTCCAGATGCCTTGGATGGCCGTGGCCAAGGCTTCGATTACCTCTTTACTGCCTGCCAGCAAAAAGTCGTCAACGTAAGTGAGCAACCCTCCTACGACTACCCCGTCAGAGGTGCGAACAACACGCCACCAGTTTGGGTCCAACCTTCCTTGCTGGAGCTGCAGTTCAACTCCGTCAACAACACACCTCAGCGCCCGAAGTTGGCAGTCTCTAAAGTCCGACCAAAGCTTAGGCGACTCCCTCAACCCGTACACAGCGTGCGTGAGGATCCAAAGCTCCCCTTCCTCTGCCAAACCTAGTCTCACTAGCAACCTAGGCGGTGTGAGAGCAAACACTGGAAAACCTCTGCCTTGCGGGATTGGGGTCAACAGAAAAGCTGAGGTGACATCTAGAGACCCGATGCACCAATTCCTCTTGGAGCTGATGATTACAAAACAACGGAGTGTCTCTGCAGCAGCACCTGAAGCGTATACTTCAGACCCTGTGCCGGGGGCGTGGTTGCCACAAGCGACCAAGCGAGCCTTGCGTTTGTGGTAAGCTTGACCCTTCCGGGTAGCGAGGGCAGCGTCACCCTCAGAAGGGTCTGGTGGCTTGACTGTAAACACAAACTTAGACGGAACTACCTTCACTTCCTTACGCCTAAGCCAACCTCCCGAACGGACCTCTGCAGGGGGCAGTCGCCGCACAGCCTTCTCAATGACACCGATCTCTTTGTGAATGGACGGCATCCACTTCTCGATGCATTGCTCTGCATCCCGAGGGTCTACAGTGTGGACTACCTGCAGTGGTTCTTGCAACCCGTCAAGCAACAGCTCCACGTTGGTAGTGTAAACCGGCTCAGACTTGCAAAGGGCGCAAGCTTCACTCGCGTCCGAGTCGTCAGACCTGAGAACACACAGCTGCTCACCTGTCTGCGGGTCTGGAACCCACAACTCCCACAGCACTGGTTGCTCCGGCAAGGAGTCTTCGCTTGAGCTCTCCTCCTCCTCAACCTGTGTCTCGGTGTCTGGTTGGCAAGCCAGCAGGGCGTGCTCAGACTGGGTTCGCCTGTGGTCCGGCGAGTGTTTCAGGTTCCACGACACCTCCAGCTCTACAGTACCTGCTTCTACGGCTTGGGTTTCTTTCCAACCTCCGCCTTTAAGCACAGTCCCAGGCGCTAACTCAGAAGTCTTCCCGTCAGGGTGACGTGCCTTTGTCTCCTGAAGGGGCTCTTCTTCGAAGCAGTCAAACGCGTCTAGACGTCTCACGTCTTGCTGCTCAGTCAGCGGTAAACGTACCGACGCTGGGAGTGGAAAACCTAAAGCTTCAAGGCTTTGAAACTCGTGCTCAAGCTCTTTGCCTAACGTGTTGACAGTGTAGCCGACAAGCACTGCTCTCTCACCCTTCCAGGGAGTGGTGGCGTGGCGGCGAGTAGGGTCTAGGAAGAAGGGCTTACCGCGCTCTAACTTGTGAGTTGTCCCTAACCAGCGCCTGCCTTTGCCGTCTACCCGCTCCTCTACAGGGCCACTGACTAGGTCACAATGCTTGAGTTCTATCCACAAATCCCCTCCGTTAGGCGGGAGCTTCAAAGGGAGGACTACATTTGTGGATCCCTGCAGGTTGTGGTGGTCGGCGTGCACGGGTTGAACAGTGGAGTTAGACAACCAAAGCGAGGTGTACTCTGCTGTGGGTGCAACTGCCGAAAGCACCATATTCATAAGCTCTGTCAGCCAAGGCTTATCTGTGGTACCCCCTAAAACTCCTACGACACCTCCGTGACGGTACAACCCAGCTTTGTGTTGCAGCTGGGGCGCTGCTCTGCACACTTCGGCTAACACCCACAACGCTTCATCAAGGTCCCAGTCGTCCTCGATAAGCTCCGTAGCTAAACCTTCAAGGTCTTGTAGACTCAAGCGCGCTACACGGGCAGACTCCTCCTCAACCGGTGACACAGGCCCTTCCGGGTGTGGAGCTTCTGCTGGCGGCGGCAAGGGGGGCGGCGGGTCAAGTGCAAAGACGTCGTCAAGTCTCACACCAGCAGACCGCTTGCCGCGAACCCTGCGTGGAGGTGGTGTGTGCTCCTCCTCAAGCGAGTCTCCTACAAACTGCAAGGGCGGTGGATCCGGAGAAACAAGGCGGGTGCGAACATGGAGTGTTTGCACAAAGCCGTTGCCAACACCATCGCTGCGCAACACGATGTGACCATCATTCACAGATGGTGACAACCCCATATACTTACCTTCAACCCATCTATCCTCCAAATCACCTTTCTTGCTAAAAAACTTTCGCTTCACGGAACACTTCCCTCCGAAATGGATGGCAAGTTTGGACTTCATGCCCAGCTGCTGCGCCCGTTGCTGAGCCGCAGCTGTCATGATTGCACAAGGCCACAAGGACGAGTCAACCTCGCCAGAGGTGAGAAGGGTTCGTGCTCGTGCTTTGAGCCAGCGCACGGTGTTCTCAGCAGAGCCGTTCTGCTGCGGAACGTCCCCTTCTGTTGTTGTTGTGCGGACTCCACGCTCGTGAAACCAAGCTCGAGTCCTTTTGTTGAAGAACTCACGACTGCGGTCTGTGTGGAAACGAAGCACGGGGAGGTTTAGGGACCGGGTAATGTACACCTGTTGGAGGGCATTGAGGATATCATCACCCTTGTTTGTGTGAAGTGGCACTGCAAACACCAGCCTCGCCATGTCAGGCGGTGTTTCGAGTTCACACCTGGCTGACTCCCAGGGATGCTCCTCGGCAACTTTGGCTGCAAACTCCCTAGGCCCTTCAACTCCTTCACCTTCCGCCTCCTCCTCTTCTTCCGCTAGACTTGGCTCGTGCAGGGAGTCCTCGTAATCCTCGCACGGGGGGCCTTCTGCTGCGGGAAAGGCCTCATCTGCAAGGTCATCCGTCCCTCCCGGGAGGAGTGCTGCATCATCAAACCCCTCGGTTTGGCTGGGGTCTGACTCCTCCTTCACTCCTCTGAGCCGTGGGAAGCGGTACGACACAGCGAGGAAGTACTTGAACGTGGCTGGTCGGTGGTTGCGGCTTTCTGGGTCTTTGCCCTTCACACGGATGGGCCCCGCAATGTCGGCTGACATGCAATACACATCCGGGTGAACTACACCGTGGTGGCGGCGGCCGTTTCCGGCACCGTGCACGCAAACTGCACAATCACGGCGGTAAGGCACGTGATTGTTCGCAACATGCTGTTCCCAATCCGCTTGGGTGAATTTCATGAGGCGGTAACATGGCCACCGTTGGAGTGCGTACACGATGGCTTGCACAAACCCCGGCGCCCACACTGGAGACACACGGTTGTCGGCGCTAGAACAAACCTGCGGCACCTCCCCCTGCAACGCTTGCAAGTCTCTAAGGTCGGGCAAGTTTGTGCCAACAGTTGTGGGTTTATCGCCAGCGTGCCCCAACGGACCTTGACGGAAATGCACCTCAAACAAACCAGCCTCTTCAGCGTAAGCTTGCCACAGCGCGGTGTTCCAAAACGACGGAGCGCTACCCACAGCAGAATGGCTTGAAGCCATGTGGTGTTCAACCGACGGTTGCTCCAACATGAATGCCACCATGGATGTTCCATTCGATGGGTTTGGGTGCACACGCCTCCCGGCGGTGGAGAGTGCATGCAACCACAACATGCGAGCATACAAACCCGTATCACGATCAACGAGATCACGCTCGTCAGAGGTGAGAGTGCTCAGGCCAAACGGTTCAGTGGGCGAGCGGAGTGGATGTGGTCCATCGGCGCGGTGCCCTGTCATGGACCACGTGCGGGTTGGTGGACCTCCAATGACCGCCGCAACTCGTCCCAACTTTGCAACCTTAGCAAGAAGCGTCCAAAGCGGATCATGGTAAAGATCTTGGCTCCTTGAGCGGCAAATGTCAAGCTCAACAACAACTGTATCCTGCGACTCCAATCGTTTGAAAGCCTTGTGCGAGCCAGGGCCCGCAAACAAGTGAACAACCCAATTGGATGCTCGATGAAGCGCCTTCCTCCTTCGCCGGTTGAGGTTTGGCATGCCTTCTTCAAGAGCCTTCCACAAAGTCTTGGAGTCCACATCTTCCGATGGGAGTATGCCTGACAATGCACGGTCGGGCACATCCTGAAAGAATGGAGCTGTTGACACTGCCATGTGGCCCGATGCTGGCGCCGACGAGCTCACATGCTCAACCAAATGATCCCACCACGTGCGCTCCATTGCGATTTTCGCCTGTCTGATGCGATCCTTCCCCTCATCCGTTCTTCGCCTGAGCTCCTCAACCTGTTGCATTTTGTGTTCTTCCAACCGTGATATCAGCGTAAGGGCTTGGCTCTCAACCAATTCCGGGCAACCATTTTTGACCCTAAGCCTCAACGACTTACCATCAGGAGGATACAGCTTGCAACTACCGGCGGACCAAACCAGCTTATACCCCAACTGCTCTATGATAGCACCCATGGGAACAATTGGCTGCACTAGGCCGTCCCTTCCGGGTGGCAGTAGGAGAGTGCCCGCGCGCGTCAAACGCATGATTGTGCTTTGGTCGCCGGCTAGACTCACTTGCACTTCCTCTGCGGTCTCCCACTCCTCCTCAGATGAGGCTTGTCGCATGGGGTGAGTGGCACCGGAGTCGAGAAGGGCGTAGCCAATGAGAGGTGGTTGGGATGCAACGGGTGATGGCTCCACAGCGGGCTCAACGGCAGGAGAATTCAAAATTTCCCGGTTTGGGGGGCCCGAAACCGGGAAACAACTTGAGGGCATGACGGAGCGAATCGTGAGCCTCTTCACCGAAGGATTAGGTGCCGAGGACTGTTGTGATGCAGTACTTAAGCCTTCCGGCTGAGGCTGAGGCGGATCGCTACGCGGTGGCTGGGCCTCGAGCTGCCTCAAAGCTTGGACTGCCTGTTGCATAAAGGACTCGAGCGTGACGGGCATGCCATTCGCGATAGGTGTAGCCTGCACTGGCGCTTGAGGTGTTGATGCTGATGGTGATGTTGCATCCTGTGCTGCTGCTGTGGTCCTTTGCACCGTGGGCTTATCGGGTGATTTGGCATCGGACTTCGCGCCCTTGCCAACGGGACAATCCTTTGCACGATGCTCCTCAGAGCCACACACCAAACACTTTTTAAACCGCTCAGCCTTAGAGAGCTCGGTCATGGAATGTGGGAATTTGCACTTAGGGCCATTTCTACACCCCTTCCGGGAGAGAAAGAACTTACACGGCTTGGCACCTGCTCCTCCCGAGCCTTTCCCCTGCCCCTGAGGTTGGTTTCCACCACCTGGTGCATCTGTGGTTGCATTCAACGCTTGGGCTTTGGGATTGGTGACTACGCGCTTTGAGTCCAGTGCCCCAGCCATGGTTTCAAACTCACCCAGCAAATGCTTGTGGTAGTCTAAAACCTCTTCTCCCGATGGGTGCAGATCAATGTGCAGTGCACTACGCACGATTTGAGTGCGGAACTGCACATCTGGATGTTTGGCTATGTGTTGGGCTGTTACCGTGGTTAAACCACGGGCCAGAATGGACGGATCAGGGGCTACCATCCCGCACTCCAAACAACGACGATGCCAACGACCCCACGACCTCAACAAGTTTACTCCTGCAACCACTTCCGTAAACTGCGGTGGATCATGCAAGTTCCTGAGTATGAGGTCGCGCTCATTGGTTCCACCTGGCTGGTAAATCGTATGGAGGCGGAACATGATGTGTGCTGCATTTTGAGTTGCCCTGCGTGCTACGATGTCCGATTTCACAGACGCATCCAGTGCTTCCAACAGCATGGCACACGCCCTAGCGTTTACCCTTGACCACTTGCCCTCAACAACCTCCGCCCAATCATCAGGAGCCACCCTCAAACGCTCCACGGGGGACGAAACACTCCAACGGGCAAATGCATCACGCGCCAACTGCAACACACTCGACCACCAAAGTTGAGAGCTGTCCGAAAGATCAACCATCAAGCCGCTCACCAATTCAAGCCAGTCTTGAAACTCCAAGGAGCCACCCGAAGGATTAGGCGCAACGAGTTTTGGCAAGGTGGTGATCCCTGGTTTAACCGTTTCGGGCACATCATCGCCTTTAACCTTGAGCTGTTGAGCCTGTAGGCTTTGCAGCTGTTGCACCCCCAAAACCAGAGCATCCAACACTGAACTTGGGGCTTGTGGTGTTGTGTCCTGCCCTCCTGGAGTCGATGCAACCTGAGCGCCTACAGCCTGAGAATATGGCACTTGCCCGTCCCTTCCGGGCGGCGGTGGCGGCGGTGGTGGCTGCCCTACGTTGGTGGTAAAGCCATCTAAAACCGGTGGATTGGCTGGTCCACCTAAGCTCGGAGCCCTCAACTGCCCCAAACCCAGGATTTCGGGCTGAGAATGGGGGTTTGGGCCAGAAGAGGCCCGCTCAGGACCTGAAGCGAGTGGAACCTGTGCTGATTGAGCCATGGGCTCTGACACAGACCCAACCCTTCCGGGTGGTGTAGCACTGCCCGGCAGCCTTTGCGAACCTTGCAAGCCCGACCACAAGTTGGACCAAAACCCTGATGTGGATGCTGGAGCTCTCAGGGCCTCAATGACCTGATCAGCCAAAGTTGGGATGACAGGATTCGCACTTGGAGGCGCAGCACTGGGGAAAGGTTGAGGAGGGATTGGCGGGTGCCCACTAGGGGTCTGCGTTTGGATGCTCCTGGCAAGTGCTGCTTCCCTAATGGCTCGCTCCCTCTGCTCATTCGCCTCTGCTAGTTGCTGCCTTAACCTCTCATTTTCGGATTCCTGTGCCTGCGCTCTGGCCTCAAACCCTGCAAGCTGCCTGGCGACCTCTGCTTGGATAGCCTCCTGGGGTATTGACGACGTCTCCGTACGGCTAGGGGGCCGCTCAGGGGCTGCAGATCTAGGGTAGATGATGGGAGCCCGCTGCTCAAGAGCTTGCATGCGCTGCAGCGTTTCCGCATTAAGTAGCGGGGGTTCCCTTCCGGGACCCGGGGCAAAGGTAGTGGGTGTGCCGAGTGATCCCGGCTGCGGCGGCGAACTACTTGACCCCACACTCCCATCTGCCAAGGCCCTCGCCCTAGATGTTGCACCAGGGCTTGCGTGAACATGTACATGACGTGGCGGTGTCTGGGCCTGCACCTCAGTCCTTGCCACGCGGAACAACTCGGAAACACGAGACATAAAAACACCAGGGATACCCTCAACCATCTCGGTGATGGTGGTCAAACCCTGTTGCGAACGTGGGGTGACAAACCCCTCAACTCCAGGAGCTTCCTCAGTTGACCTTATGCCCCCCAAACCACCATCACCACTTTGGTCTGCAACCTCGCGGTCCTCACTCAAAGTGTCCTGACGGGGCTCAGTGTTGGCCCGTGGTCCTGGGCTTCCGCCCGGAGCTGCAAAGGCAAGTGGCATGCTTCGGGGCATACCCTGCTCAATCCCACCCTCACCGGTGGTCGACACATGTTGCAAGCCTTCTGCTGGGTCTGTGCTAACACGCGCCCTTCCCGCAGCCGAATCAACCACAAAACCCAAACCACCCTCTGTGCCGGCGGTGGGTGCATCAGGTGTTGTGGACGTCGCATGCCCTGTGGTGCCATAGCCCTGCGTTGGGCTCATAACCTGCTGGAGTGAACCAGCAGGTTGAGTAGAGGATGCAAGTGGAGTGAGCAGGTCCCCTGCAAAACTCAACCCAGCCATAGCTCACACAAGGCGGAGATTTTACGCACAAGAAGAAAGCAAGCAAAAAGAAGTCTGTGCTACTTGGGCTTGGCACCTACAGATATGGTACATGTGTTGTTAAAATGTCATGCTCAAGGCGTTCTGTGCTTGGGCCTAAGAGCAACAAGGAAAAAGATTCCGCATGTACACATAGCAAAGGCTTGCAAACAAGGCATGCACTTCAGCAAGAACTCTTACAAATCTTGAACTCCGAGGGTCGGGCCTTGGGTTGATGGGGCACCCCTGATTTCTAAATCACAACCCTTACACATCTTGAACTCCGAGGGTGGGGCCTTGGACTCTGATGGGGCAGAGCGCCCCTGATTTTTAAATCAGAATCCTTACAGATCCTTGAACTCCGAGGGTGGGGCTTTGGACTGATGGGGCACCCCTGATACTTAAAGCAAAGCTTTGACAGATGTTGAACTCCGAGGATGAGGACTTGGACTGATGGAGCGCCCATGAATTTCAGAGCTTGAACTCCGGGGGTGGGGCCTTGGACGCCCCTGGTTTTTTTTAATCAGAACTCTTACAAATCTTGAACTCCGAGGGTCGGGCCTTGGGTTGATGGGGCACCCCTGAATTCTAAATCACAACCCTTACACATCTTGAATTTCCGAGGATGGGGCCTTGGACTCTGATGGGCCGGGGCGCCCCTGATTTTTAAATCAGAACCCTTACAGATCCTTGAACTCCGAGGGTGGGGCTTTGGACTCATGGGGCACCCCTGATTCTTAAAGCAAAGCTTTGACAGATGTTGAACTCCGAGGATGAGGACTTGGACTGATGGAGCGCCCATGATTTTCAGATCACCGCCTCTTAGTGAGCTTGAACTCCGGGGGTGGGGCCTTGGACGCCCCTGGTTTTTAATCAGAACACTTACAAATCTTGAACTCCGAAGGTCGGGCCTTGGGTTGATGGGGCACCCCTGATTTCTAAATCACGACCCTTACAGATCTTGAACTCCGAGGGTGGGGCCTTGGACTCTGATGGGGCGGGGCGCCCCTGATAATTAAATCAGAACCTTTACAGATCCTTGAACTCCGAGGGTGGGGCTTTGGACTGATGGGGCACCCCTGATTCTTAAAGCAAAGCTTTGACAGATGTTGAACTCTGAGGATGAGGACTTGGACTGATGGAGCGCCCATGATTTTCAGATCACCGCCTCTTAGTGAGCTTGAACTCCGGGGTGGGGCCTTGGACGCCCCTGGTTCTTGAATCAGAACCCTTACAGCCTTACAGATCCTTGAACTCCGAGGCAAAGGCCTTGGACTGATGGAGCGCCCCTGATTCTTCAGTCAGAACCCTGACAGATCTTGAACTTCGAGGGTCGGGCCTTGGGTTGATGGGGCGCCCCTGATATCGGGTTTAGCGGGTTTATCGGGTTTAGCGGGTTTATCGGGTTTAGCGGGCTTAGCGGGTTTAGCGGGTTTAGCGGGTTTAGCGGGTTTATCGGGTTTATCGCGTGTATCGGGTTTATCGTGTTTAGCGGGTTTAGCCGGTTTATCGGGCTTATCGGGCTTATCGGGTTTAGCGGGTTCATCGGGTTTAGCGGTGCGCGTCCGGTGTTTGCGCGCGCAATGTGCAAACAGCATACACGCACACCAACATCTACGCTCGTGCTTCACCCATGGCAGCATGACTACCGCAGGTTCATGGATAAACATATGCGGGTGTATGTGTGCGCATGTGTGCATGACTACGTATGCATGTACGTATACTGTGTACAATGCATGCGTGTATGGATTTGTTTCAAGTGTACGGACAGATACCAGTAGATACACAGGATAGATCAGTACAGAGAGACACAGAGACGTGTGAGACGGAGACGGAGGGACGGGGCAAGTCCGAGCCTGGAGGATCTGGATGCAGCTCTCCTGGCGATTCTGGGTTGCGACGGCCAGCGGCGTCTGGCCCTGGGAATTGGGCTGGGAGACCTGAGGAAAGTCATCATACTTTGACGATGTCTGACCAGAGGCCATAAGACGTAAAATGCTGGCATGTCATGCTCTTCTCCCAGGCCATGTTGCATTGGCTCCAACTTTGAGCAGGTACTCCAGCAGCTCCTGCAGACCGTGTGCTACCCAGTGCTTACCAGGCCGCACCGCAAACTCTTCGACCTCCAGCGACACGATTTACCAAGAAGCTTGCTGCTTTACTTATGCCGTATGCACTCCACTACGAGAACCCTGCTGGGCCTTGCGTCCGTAGCCAGCTGCATAGTGCAGGCCACCTTGTCTGGATCATGCTTGCTAGACACTGCAGCGCCCAGAAATGCTTCCGCTTCGCGCCAGATTCTCCGCCAGAGTGCTGTTGCCAGAGCTGTCCACTGCATAAGGATTGGCACGGCTGTCCTTGTTGCACGACATGCTCGCCCCGCTCCCAAGGACTGAAGCGATCTAAGCCGAGTGTCCAAAAGAAGCTTCACAACAGCTATCCGGTTGGCTCCAATTGCGTAGCCAAGAGCGGTGATGCCCTGCTTGCGGCCATTTCCCCGAACACAGCATCAGAAGTTCTGCAGGGACCCGCATTTCTTTGCCTTGTGGTCCTGGGAGTCGAGCGGCTTCTTCTTGTCCAGGAAGTCCTGAAGCTGTGCAGCGAAAGGACTGCAGCTTGGACCTTACGCAAGTCTCACTCCTGCACTGCCTTCAAATCTCCGTTCTTGGCGGCCTGGCTGCTCGCAGCAAAGTAGCAAATGACAGCATGCGACCCAGCTGAGTGCTATAGGTACGTGCCAACACCACCAACACATGGCCTCATGCAGGGTCAACGCTGTCTCGTCAATCCTGGGCCCACCCATGATCATAGCACGAAACCTATCACACACATGGACCACCGGAGGAAGGCGGGGCACTTCTTCAGGACCGGCTGCAGCTCTGACGGAAGACCGCCCATCTTCTGGCTGATTTTCAACATGAGCTCTTCGTCCTCTTTAAAGAAGCTCTCGGACATCGGAAGAGAAAGCGCTACATCATGACCTTCGGACACGGTGCTCCTGGTAGTACTTCATGGCAGCCTCCATGCCGTTCTTCTTAATGTCCTCGAAGACGCTGGCCTCGTGACAGTAAGGTGCCTCAGGGCCTCAGAGCTCAGAAGGACCGAGAAATGCCGAGAGCCTGGCCAGTTCCGGGTCCTTCTCCAGAGACTTCACGCGGTCCGCCACCGGGGCGTCGCCGTTCGAAAGCCTGTCGCCGCTCGAGCTCTTCGTCTCTCTTCCCTGGAACGGCGCTCAAGTGCTGCTTGGCAACTTCGTGTTGTAGTGCCTGGGCTTTGGGCGGGTGCCCCAGTAGTATAGGGCAATCGGATGTTTAGAAACTCCTCAACCAGTAGGTCTACGTACGTCCACGTCCATCGATCGAAACGAACTGGACATACTGATCTACTAAACCGAAGGGGCTCGGCGATGGCCTGAGTCTGCAACCAGCCTGGAAGGACATGCTCACCATCAGAAACTGCCGTATCATGTTGTAGCAGTGTCGACAAATTCGTGCCTCGCATGGCTTCCGGATTTTTGGCAAAGCTCTGCAAGGCCTTTGCAGTCTCCGGATTGCCTGGGTGAGCAACAGACAAAGCAGCTGCCGAGTGATGGATGGCCCTGTGCCATGCTGTTGTGCGCACGACCGGAACGAGTTACGCTCGCGTTGCGTGGCGGGCCTTCCACATAGGCCTTCACCTCTGCCCAGGTGTTGTCATCAATGTCCGGGAGGCGTGCGATCTGCATGGTGGTGCCATCCTTGCCACGACGGGCTGCAAGGAATTGCGGGGAAGACGAAGTTGCGCCGTTTCAGACGCTGAACTGAGGAAGGGTCGCTGATCTTAAGAGTCTCAGTAGGAGCCGTCGCAGTCTCGGCCATGATGATCCTGCCCAGGCGGGCTTCCGGGCTGACGACCCATCACAGGTGCAGAGCGCAAAGAGCATGCACTGAAGAACTATCGCAAGCTCCCTTCATAAAACCGACATGAGCCTTGCCGCTTCGGGAGGGGCTCTGCTGTCGCTAGATTGCCAGCTGTTGAGCCAAATTGCTTCGGAGAAGGCTTTGGCACAGGCGGCAGACTCAAAGACGCGTGAGGTGAAATGTCAGCTGCGGCTCGTACATACACAAGAGCCCACCTTCTTCACCTTTTCTGCGACGTCGACGGCCGTGTCCTCCTTGTTGGCCTTCTCAGCCTTCTCTGCCACACTGAACCCAGGCGGTTCTTCGGCTTTGCCGCCCAACTCGGAACGAAGAAAGGAGGGCAGGCTGCGCCGAGGCTGCGGACGTCCGTGTGGTGGCTATGTAAGGAGTCTAGCAACAGACCAGCCACTGCATGGCCTCCATATATGGGCCGCTGCATGACGCTGCAGCTAACGCGTGTGAATACGCCATGCATCGGAAAGACTCTGTCGTTGCAGGCAACACTTTCTGCAGCCGCCAGGCCCGAATAGAAAAACAGGCTCATTGTTCTGACAGTCTGCGCTCTCTGCTGCTGCAATGACAGAAGGAAAAGCGTATCCACGTGGTCTCCGCATTGGCTGCTTATGCTAGAGATGTGCCATCGCTTGACCAATTGTACGGAGCTTTTGAGCACTGCCTTTCCAGATAGAACCGCGGAGGCGTCAAGCGCCACAGAAGCAAGGGCGATGCTGACGAACACTTGGTCGAAACCCAGAAAAGTAGTCATAACCGAAGCAGTTGAGCTTGGAAGAACGGTCAGAACAGCTCTTTTCTCACATGTGCGAACAGCCCGCTGGGCCTGGTTCTGATGCAGCAGCCAGGCTTCAAACACGGGCATTCGTTGCCGGGGGACACCCCCAAGACCACATAAACGAAGGATGTGTGTCGTTTATTCGGGTTGCAAGCTCATGCTTGAAGCACCCTTCAATCCACTCACAAATCCCCTTGCTCGCAACTTGATCACTGCAAGAGGTCTGCGTGCAAAGCTAAACGCTGCTCCGGGGGCTAGGCAATAGAACAAAAGGCCAAGTCGTTCTGGCAAACTGTTCAGAAAAAAGAGGTGACAGTCAAACGTCCACAGAGTCTCTTGGAGACCTCCCTGACGTGCTCTGAAAACCTCACTGCACAAAACTAAGTTGTAAACTAGTCTGCCCGAGTATGCATGTGCTCCGGGCTTGTTATGCCCAACTGACATCGAAAACTACACCGGCCCGTTGGGAAGATGGACAAGTACCTGCAGTCACGTGCCACGAAAGTCACCGAAGTACGGACGCGAAGAATTGAGAGCTGAGGCCTGGTGCAGAGATTGCGGTACCTGAGCCACGCCTATGCTTCTCGCAATGCCGGCTTCGGATAAGGGCAGGCCAAGCAGCTCCGTGACATCACCTTGCTTGGATCGTCTCAGACCATAGCCGCGGGTTGCAGCATGCTCTGCTGGTGCAATAAGATATAAACGCCAAGAAGCCGAAAGCCAGCACGTAGATGAAGAAGACATAGCAAAATGTCGCTGCTGCTTTGATCACCGTGAGCCCCCACATCTGACCTCGGCTCTACTTTTGGCTCAAAGCGGAGCTCAAACGGCTGAGCTCCATCTCCACTATGAATACCCAAGGCACAGTTCGCCGAATTATAGCACAGCGCAATCTTGTACTGGTACAGCGTCAGCTGAACCTTCTCCTCGGAGTGGCTAAGACCCCGCGACGCGAGTGCTCCTAGCATGCTTCTGGCCAAAATCTGCCAAGTATCCTTGAACTTGAAGGAAGAGAAACCAGTAAACAGGATGGCCGGAATTTGCAAGATGTAGGTCAGTGTCAGCAACGGGATGATGAGGGATCCCATGGTGTGGGTCAGCATGAACATCTTTCCACCTGCCAGGAGGATGCTTGCTAACATCAAGTTGAACCCACACAGCTCCGGCTTACGTCGCAGTACAGATGATTGGTTTCATGGAACCGGGAAGCAAAGCCCCTGCCTGTCCACATCAAGAAACTGGTGCAAACCAGTTCTCAGTCCGAAACATAGCATTGTGAGTCGCTGTATGACATCAGCCGCAAGTTCACACAGCAAGGGCCCTCAACTCAATGTCTTCAACAGTTCAGCCAAGGATCTTGGGATGATCACCAATATGATACACGCCACTTTCATCATCAGACTCAGGATGCGAGATTTTGGAGTTCAACGCCAGCAAGCACCTATAACTCTCGTTGCCCCATCTGTGTGCCTCATGTGGGAAACGAGCATCTTTCCATCGTCTCTCTCCTCCACAAGAGGGGTGTTCTTCGTTTTGTACTCTGGATGCAGATGAATGGAGCAGTGTGTTATCTTGTGAGATGCTGGTTGAACGAAGCTCTGCGCTTCTCGGCGACGCGACAGGCTTCAGAGAGAAGGAGGCGCTGCTAGCGCACCAGCATGGTGAATCGCACAGCTTCTTCTACCGGAGATTCTGGAAAAAACAGGTGGAACTCGGCAGGAGGCCTTCCCGAAACAGAAAAGTTGCGGGTCCATTCTAGCAATGTGGCAACACTTTTCAACCGGCTTCGGATTGTCGTAGTATTGGCTAGGATTTCGGCAACCAATCCGAAACGCGGACAAATGTTGGATTGGTTGGGTGTAGAACTGGCTGTGACCTTCTTACGATTGGCTGGAGTTTCATGGATTGGATAGGATCTTCGTAGACTTGCTTTGAGGGTTCGTAGGATTGCTTGGAATTTGTGTAGGATGTTCGCGTCGCAGAAACTGAATAGGACACTACAACCGTAAGGGTACTACCGGATTTAGTCCGCATGAAACAATGCATTTTGGTTACAATACACATTTAGCAGTTGATATGATTAGCCAAATGAATACCGCAATAAAAGATAAGAATCGAATTAATGAAGTACCAAAGGATCGTCTGGGGTGCCTGCAAGCTGGACTGTGGAAGTTTCAACATCATGAAGCCTTGTATTCTGTGCATGCGGCGTTGGCCTCCAAAGCACAACAGACAGACCAGAGCCTACACTTCGAACTTCGAACACTCAAGCTTAAAATCTGATCTTCTCTTGCCAGCTGCCTGAAGTTGGTGCTGCAGTTTTGACTGTTCGGTTTCGACGGTTGTCTTTCTCCGCATGCAGACGTTCCTCATGCTAAACCCGATCACGTCTTACCTTTATGGGAGTGTTTATTCAGTTTCGGCGAGCTTTTGGCGTGGAGGCAAGGTACTCTCCTTGCAGTGCCCTGCTACATTTTGAAGCAAAAGAAAGAAGGCTGTCGCCCTTAAAGGAGCCGCAGTACTAGGCTAGGCCGGGAGACGGTCTGCAAAAATTCGGGCGCGGCATGCCCTTCGTTTATCTTCGTGTAACATTCCCTGATATCCCCTCGCTTTGTCGAGGACTGGGGCTTGAGCGGGTGCTTCAGCAACGAGACAGAACAGGCAAGTAATCGAAGCCCTCTATAAGCAGGTATCTGCAGGTAGGCTGGGCCGCCGCCGTGTTTTCTGTAGTAATTGTAAGAATAATTATAGTAGTAGCAGCAACCGTAGTTTGTAGTGGTAGCAGCAATAGTTGTTCGTAGTAGTAGTGGTAGTAGTAGTAGTAGTAGTAATAGTAGTAGCAGCAGTAGCAGTCGTCGTCGTAGCTTTAGTAGTAGTAGTAGTAGTAGTAGTAGTAGTAGTAGTAGTAGTAGTAGTAGTAGTAGTAATAGTAGTAGTAGTAGTAGTAAGAATAATAATAATGGTAGTAACAGTTGTAGCACTACTAGTAGTAGCAGTAGTAGTAGTAAAAAGAAGTAGTAGTAGTAGTAGTAGTAGTAGTAGTAGTAGTAGCAGTAGCAGTAGCAGTAGCAGTAGCAGCAGTAGTAGAAGGAGTAGTAGCAGTAGCAGTAGCAGTAGCAGCAGCAGTAGCAATAGCAGTAGCAGTAGCAGTAGCAGTAGCAGTAGCAGTAGCAGTAGCAGTAGCAGTAGCAGTAGCAGTAGCAGTAGCAGTAGCAGTAGCAGTAGCAGTAGCAGTAGCAGTAGCAGTAGCACTAGCACTAGCACTAGTACTAGTACTAGTACTAGTACTAGTACTAGTACTAGTACTAGTACTAGTACTACTACTACTATCACTACTACTACTACTACTACTACTACTACTACTACTACTTTTTGCTTTGCGTGCACAACCGCTCAAGAGCGACCTTGTGTAGAAGCCGGCAATGCACCTTGTGCATTGGCTCCTCAGTGGGACGCTATGGCCCGAAACGAAACGAACTCAAACTAAGACTCAGACTCAGGAACGAGGGATTTCACCCGATGGTTCAGGCATCGTGCCGACAGCACCAAGCATGCCTACTGATGCGACCGGACCAAAGCCCCAAGCGTCACACCAAAAGTCAGTAAACGTATACTTCGAATGCAGGAGCCGCCTGATACTGTTCAAGAAGAGGCTGGCAGGCTTCAACATGTATGCAATTTGGGTTCTTTCTGTACAGAGCATAAACAGCATCGTAGACTACACGAGGAGGCTATTTACTGAGTCGATCGCTCACCAATCAGTCCATCACTCCACAGCTCACTGAAGGACTCATCGCAGAGAAGTCCCGTGACACCATATAAGAGCAGCAGGAGACAATGACCCGGACAAGAGCCCTGCCATCGGACCAAACAATGACCTCAGCACTCACATGAAACAGCCGAATGCCATCCACTGGTGCTCACATCGCTCCGCAGAGGTAGCATTGCCAGGTTTTGCCGCGAGCACCTGAAAAGCTGCATATGTACAATCCTAATCCGGAGTGTTATCTGCTGCAAATCCTGAGTCACGAAGATGGGCCAAATCCTCCACGCACAGCTTGTGTACATTTCGGACGTGGAAGGCTATCAGGGTTAAGCGACAACCAGCCCATGGATATGTAGCATGTCTGTCCATCGGATTGAACAGAGTCGGCGTGCTTGTGTCCAAAACATGGCCCGCCTCGCCCTCTGCTTCTAAGCACGTACCGCCCTCAGGATGCTGGAGCCACAGGCCGCCTCCCTGACCCGCGAGCAGGGAATTACCATGTTCATTGAATGTCTGGCGTTGAACGAATCCCGGTGCGGCGGAGAGGCTATGTTCCTCGCCAGAATGCAAGAGCTGAACTTGAAGTCCGGTGCCACCGCTGCCACTATGTCCGCCAGAAGCCTACTGGTAACCGGATACTGGCGCAGATTGCGCATGAGTCCGCCATGTGGACCCCTTGCCCAAGCTCCGGTGACGAAAGACTTGGGACGCATCCCGGGTCAGAGGAAAGTGAAGCCTGCTGCCATCGAGAGATGATGCCGATACCCTGGACTTTGAATGCTCCACGGGGTGGTCCTCTCATCCTGAGTTTAGCATGCTCCTCAGGCGCGGCCCAGCGGGTGGTACTGTCAGGCTGAGGTGTTGGGCTTCAGCTGCGTACGGTTCCACTGCAGCAGCCACCCCGGCGTACTGCATCCCATGGACCAATGTATAGACCGCGCGTGCGTTGTCTTCAGTGTTATCAAGTGCACAGCGTGTCACGGCACCTTGAGCTCCTGACGCGAGCTGGGGATGCATGCCTGCGCACTCTGTTTCCTCACCAGCCCCCACGTTGAAAACGGAATGCCCTGTTGTCTTCTTGACGGTGAAGCTATCGACACCACAGTTGGTGGACGCAACTGCGGTCCTCGACAACAGTTCAGCCAACGATCCTGCACTTGTCCCAGGAGCCAGCCTTTCAGCAGGTGCGGTAGCTAGCGCCCCTGTCCTCATGAACAAATGTTCTGGGGTCGTACCCATGGCTGTCCCGAAGAATTGCTTCATCTGGATGAACGAAAGCATTGCACTCTGCCTTCCAGTCCCCATCAGCGACCCGATGCGGTCGAGAGAGATTGCAAGTCTCCCAGCAGGGAGGTCAGTCAGGCGGGTCGAGTAAGCGTCAATCTCCCTGTTCAGGAATGCCAGCATGTCCGGGAATTCCACACGGTAGATCGGCAAGGTTGTCCAGGAGCCACCCGTCTGGTTCCATGCCTTGATGGCCCTCGTGACAATCGGGAAGCCCAGAGTATTTGCGACTGCATCAATCCTCGCGCCCCAGACGTCGGTCGTTGGCCCCATTCCGGGTGCAGGCACGCTCGTGGTTGCACCGTTGGAGTCATTGAACGTGACCGAGTTCCCAAGGTACTGAATCACGAACGGTTGCGCAGCTGTTGGCTTCTGCCTGCTCAGAACCGCCAACAACCTCGCTTTCCAACGTGTGTAGGCGGCTACGCCCGTGATGTTTGCGGTCAGCACAACCTGCATCGTTGCAAAGTGCAGGGTGGGTAGCTGGTCAGGGGCATCACACTTCCCAAGCACCAGGTACTGACGTGTGCCGCTAGTCACAACCATGTCCGAAGGCCTCCCGTTCACAATTGTGTTGGCAGTGTTTATCCCTGTGAAATACGCTGCTCCAGCTGCCGCAGGAGGTGCCAGTGTGGATCCGTCCACTTGGTGGCTGAAATAGCCAGGAGTCAAGGCACCACCTAGTCACTTCTCGATTTGCGCGTGTCATCCTTGCGCAAGGGCCATGCTAATCTTCTCTGTATCGTTCCAATTTTATCGGATGATCCCCGAAGGGAATCCTACTACTACTACTACCACCACCACCACCACCACTACTACTACTACTACTACTACTACTACTACTGCTACTAGTATGACTACTAGTATGACAACTAGCACTAGTAGTGGGTACTAACACTGCGAGTACCACTATTAGCACTAGTAATCATGCTAGCACGAGCACCAGTAATCGTCGCTGTAGTAGCCTACTAGTGGCATTAGTAATCATACTAGTACTAGTCCCAGTAATCGTCGTAGTAGTAGTAATAATAATGATAGTAGTAGTCGTCGTCGTAGAAGCAGTAGCCATCGTAGAAGTCGTCGCACTAGCACCAGACCAGTAGCAGCAGTAGTAGTGCTAGGTCGTCGTCGTGGTTGCTGTACCATGTGTAGTATATGTAGTGTGTGTGCGGGGAAAACCAAAAGCTTAATCCTACTGCCGAAAATGGCTACACCCGAAGATCGTCAAGCCGTAAACGGATGTCAGTAAATCCAACCGACATGCTTCGTTGCCAAACCCTAAACATTCAAAGAAGATGGTGGCTGGCTAACCGCAAACTTTGAAAGGAGATGCTGATTGACAGCCCAAACCCCTAAAAGGAACAGATGCTGGCCAATCCCAACAAGATGTTGTTTGGAAAACCCTGAACCCTGCACGGAAACCCAAATCACCAAAAGGAGATGTAGGTTGGCAACTTCCCCTCAAACTCCGGCAAAGAAGATGCTGGCTGGCTAACCCAAGGCCCTAGAAGGAAATTTGGTTGTCAGACCCTACACCCTAGAAGCAAACCAAAACCATACAAGGGCATTTTTGGCTGGCAAACTACGCCCCGTAACAGGAGATGTTGGTTGACAAGCCCTAGACACCGCTTCATTCAGGGTGTGGGGTTTGTCATGCCAACCAACGTTTTCGAGTTTGCCGTTTTCCCACCTCAAACCCAACCATTTCCTTTAGGGTTGGGGCTTGGCCAGCCAGTACTATCTACTTTTAAGGTGCAGTTTGCCAACCAGCGTCTCCTTTCAGTCCCCTCGTAGGGTTCAGGGATTGCTTGGGGGTTTACGGTTTGACAACTAACATCTTTTGTTACGGTTTGGGGTTTGTCAACCTGCATTCTCCGTTTAGGGTTCGGGGTAATTAGGGTACCTAATGTCTTTTGTCCGCTGGCTCCAAGCCCGAAACAAGATGCTGGCTGCCAAACTCTCAAGGACAGGTTGGCTGGAAAGCCCCAAACCCAAAAAGCACATGGCAGTCGGCGTTGCAAGCGATGTTGGTTGGCAAACCCTAAACCCGAAAAAGTGAGGGGGCCAAAACCCTAACAGGCAAGATTGGTTTGGCAATCCCTACACCCTGAAAGGAAACCCTCAATCTGAAAAGGAGATGGTGGTTGGTTGACAGACCTCGACCGTAAGACTTAGGGTTGAGGGCTCTGACGATCGGCAAACCCTCAAGTTCAAAAAAAGTGGCAAACCTTATTGACAGAGAGAGAGAGAGGGAGGGAGATAGAGGGAGACTTTTGAGTCACAGACATAACATAACGTGCAACAACAGCAGTAGCTGCCAGCTGAATCAAAGGAGTCAAGCTGCACCTTTCCGATTGTCATGCACTCCAGTCCAGCCCTTTAGTCTTCAAATCTGCCCATAACGCCCGAGAAAGCTCCTCGAGAAAGCCGTTTTGAGTCGGATCTGGATCTGCGATCAAGCTCAGGATGGTGCCGCTGTTGAGCAGCTCGGAGACCTCTCGGCTTCCAAGAGCTCTGTGCCAGAAGCTCAAGCAATCCTCTCGAAGCCACGTCCTATCGCAAGCCTCGGCCACCATCCGCGCGCCCCAGAGCGACAGCACCTGCCAAGTCTTTTGTGAATGAGGCCTCACGCTCCCTATCCGAAGTGTCGGGCTTGAGCTGGGCACCATGAGATGTGTAAGTCCAAGGGCGTGCTGTTTCAAGCACAGGTCCAGCGCGTCTTTCTGCACCAGGTCGTCCTGCGTCGCACGCACCGAGGAATGCGGAAAGCACCAGTATACTGGTGCATCCGAGCCGATCTCTGATGCGACGGCCGCCTTCGAGAGAGGAGCCGGCGGATCGTGATCAAGAGCATGCCGTATCGCCTCGCACGCGATACTGACTGCCCGTTCCGCCTTTCTCTCTTGCAGCTCTCCTCCCGAAAAGTTCGCTAAAGCCTGAAATTTCGTAATGTATGGAGTTGAAAACAAGAATTGGGAACTTCAGTACTGCATACTCGTAAAAAGCACAAACTAAAGTACCATAACTGGACGCCCAAACGGGACAACGCAAGCATCTCACAGCCGCGATATCCTGCGGATCCTTGCGGCCCTGCGATGCTCTGCCTCCATCTTGTCAGCGATGCCACTGCTGAAGGGAGCTGCCAACCCATCCACCGTGGTGAAGTACAAATGATATGTCCTTGGCGAGCTTTGCATCTGCTCATGCACACTGAGCGGCTGGGGGTCTGCAGAAAGTCAGGTCGAGGAGCAAGCCAAACTGCAGAATCAGCGAAGCTGTGTGAAGCCTGGGACAGCTCTGCACAGCTTCGGGCTCGAATGCACACGAACTCTCCCTTGACGCCAGAAGCGCCAAGCGGCCACAACACCAAGACCAGTTGTAGAACCTCGCACACTGCAGAGTTCGGCACTCAGCAGTCTTTGACCAAATGTGATATTCTTCAACACACAACAAAATTTCGACATGCGCAGCTCAAGCTGTGGTCAGGCTGCTTCATGTGTCGTGTCCTCCACACAGCAGGCGCGGAGAGCTCTGCTCTTGCTGTCAACACGGGCAGTTGCACTGACTACAATCTTTGCGCGTGCATTGAGACCGTCCTCCGTGTAGAGGGTATCTGAAAAGATCTGATCTCGGGTGCGCACCTCGGTCGCAGAACACTCGATAAATGTCATCTTCCCGCATGTGAGCAGTTCGTTGGGCTGGTGTCGCAGTGTCCGCGTCTTCAACCCAGCTTGTCGTCGTTACTGACCCCAGCAGTCCAAAGAGACTTCGGCGTAGAGGAAGGCTTTGGGCGTGAGCATTTTGCTCACTCGATGCTCTGTGGCTCATGTTTTCTACCCGGACATTCTGACAACGGCTATTGCAAAGAGGCGATGCCATCACACTGAGACCACGCTCGCTGATTCTACGTACCTCTCAGGCCCTTACTCGCCTTGTGCTTCCGTTGCAGACCCAGACTAGTGTTGGGACCTAACACCCCATGTAGCCCTACATCGCAGGAGCCGGGGCTCGCAAGTCAGCTGAGGTGCCAAAGCCAGGATGAGGCCATCGCCAGTGTTTTGCTGCATCTGAAAAGTGGACACTCGCTCCTGCACCTGCGAATCTGCGCTGCCCACAAGTAACAGATGAAGACACGAGCCGAAGAGAATACGGTGCAGATTGCATGCAGATTGCCATCGAGCGGCCAGACTCCAAAGCCTCCGCATGGACTTCTTCTTCACACCCGCACCGGGTGCCGCCGACGAAGTGTCTGAAGTTACACTCCTGATCCGATGAGCCGCTGTGCTGAAGTCCGATTCAGCCTTCACAGCTTCGAGCTCCGGATATTCAGTCGTCTCATGCTTCGGGTTGTTCTGGATATCTGCATCCGACTCTGTCACCAAGAGCGGCCGGATGCTTGACATGGCGGAGCAGCAGTGTTCTAAGGCCTAAGTCCTAAGTGATCTGAACTTCATGCCGTGCTGCTGAAACTGGGATGCTGCAGATCGAGGCCCTTTATATCTATCATCGTGGATCATGACCAGCCCCGGATAGATACGACGGCTGTCCTTGCATGTGTCGCAGCTTTATCAATTGCAACTTCGCCTGCATCCATCAATGGGACCCTTAGGCATCCCAAACATACGAGGCAGTCGTGTCAGCTTGGGGCCAGAGTGCCGGAAGTCGGAACTCACGAACAGTTTGGTTCTGAACCTGCACCGGAAGTGCCCGGCAACTTTCGCAAGCCCGCGAAGCAACCCTTCGCCGTTGCTTTTTACGCGCGTCAGTGCGCACTTCTGGCATCGTCGGCAAACTAGGCAGCTGCATTGCAAATTGAAAGACAATCGAAAGCAGCTGCAGGAAAAAGGGGAGACAAGTCCACCGGTATGTCTCGTGCACATTAACTGGAATCGAAGGCAGCGACTTTTCCGTTCATGCAGCCTGCCGCGACCAACAGGTGCCTCAGGTTTGAACTTTCGCGCAGTCAGGTCTGCTGCCCCTGGTGTTTCTCAAAACAAATCGGGTCCAGGCCCCTTCCCAGTCTCTGTGCAGTGCAGCGAGGTGATGGGGGAGCCCAGCGTCCAGGAAGCTACGGCCTGCTCGAGACAGGATGGTCTCCGAAGGACGTCGACCAAAACCCGCCTTGGGCTTGTAATCCTGCCCGTCAGCAAAACATCGGGTGTCGTACCTTCTTGCTGCTTCCTCTTACGAGTGCGTATGGATCGTACTGTGCGCAGGGTCACTGCATTAGCTCGCCGCCAATGCCAGCAAAAAGCATGGGACTTGTCCAGTTCAGCACCGTGACCTGCTGCGACACCCTCGTTCTTTCCACGGCAGGTAAAGAGAGTTATTTGGTACAGAGCTGTTGAACAACCGTCGCACTCTGCCCGACGTTGAACCAAAACTGAGCACTACGACGAATGCAGCTGTTCTTTTTCGTCGTGTGGTAGCAGCGCTGTATCACGCCGTTCGGCGAAGAAACAGGCTGGAACGACGAGCCGGTGCCGGGGCGCATTCTGCACCCGGCCCGCTGTCTTCGCCTTCCGCCGAAACGGATCAAAGGGCGGTGAAGGTGGGTAAAAATCAAAAGCTTCGTCGAGCCAGAGTGCTGCCGACGTTCGTCGTTTACGGTTGTTACTGCACACACACGTGTGTTTCACAACAACCGTCGCACTCTGCCCGACGTTGAACCAAAACTGAGCACTACGACGAATGCAGCTGTTCTTTTTCGTCGTGTGGTAGCAGCGCTGTATCACGCCGTTCGGCGAAGAAACAGGCTGGAACGACGAGCCGGTGCCGGGGCGCATTCTGCACCCGCCGAGCGCACCGACTCTCCACCTCGCGCCGGCTCAGATGTGGAGGCCGTTGGCCAGTTCCAGGAGGTGGTCCGCCGCCTCCGTCGTGGCATATTCAAGGTCCTGCGCCGACCTGGCGAAGATCGAGAGGATCTCGTCGGTTGGCGTGGCAACCCTGTGCCATCCCTCGGCCGTCGCCCTGCTGAAGTCGGCTCTGGATACTGCGTCGGCGACGTTGGCCTTGGAGGGGACCCGCTCGAACTCGACGAACCAACCTTGGTGCGCCGCAAGCGTCCAGAAGGCCGAGATCATGCCGTTCACCGCCGGGTCTTTTCCGTAACCTTTGGTGAGTGCTGCCTGCCCGGCGGTATTGTCGATGAAGGCGACGATGGCCGGCGGTAGCCTGGCGCCGAAGGTCACGAAGGCGACGAGCTGGGCCAGCACTTCTAGCATATAGATGTATGCCTTCCTCGTCGAGAAGAGCTTGACGAACCATTCCGGCGCCACGCCGTGATCGAAGAAGACCTGGTCGCCGATTCGCAGCACATAGCCCCAGCCGTTCGGCGCCTTCTTCGACGGTCGCACCCCCTGGGGTACGTGGCCCGCCTTGTGCTTGACCTCGCCGTCGGTGAAGAAGGCGTCGGCGTACAAGACCGCCACCTCTAGATCCTTGGCGTCGAAGGGGATGAACCTGGGGCGGATCGTCGGCAGGATCCTCGCCAATGACCGTAGTGCCGCTGTGAGGCCGTCGGACAAGGAATCCGCCGTCCACGCCGCTGTGTCGGCTGCCCTGGCGTACACTGCCTTCGTCGCGGCCTTCGCGACGGAGCCGAAGGCCGCTTGTGTCAGGAACGACACTCTCCCGGCGAGTTTGGCTGCCTCGGCGGGGGACAGGCTGTCCTGGTCGAGTGCCCGGCGAATCTGTGCCATGATCTTCTCGACTCTAATCTCCGTCGGTTTGAGGGTCACTCCTTGTGCGTCGACCTGGAACTCAACTCCCTGTACGACGTGGCTCTTCGCCGGGCGCTGTGCCTTCGAGGCCTTGGTGAGGAAGCCCAGCGCCGTGAAGAAGTCCTGAAAGGAGACCATCGCCGACTCGCCGAGCAAGGCGTCGTCAAGTCGTCCACGTAGTGACCCGTCGCCAGGAGCAGCAGGCCTCTCAGCAACTGCTGGAGGGCGTCGGCTCCTCGATTAAAGTTCCAAACCGACGCTGTGGCCCCAAAGTTCATGGCCAGGTGGTACCAGAAGGTCACGTCGTGCTTCGTCGAGAGGAAGGTGCCGCACTCCGCCGGCCGCCGAACTGGCCATTGGCGATAGGCGTTGAGCAGGTCGTTGCCGAACACCACGACGTCGGGGGTGTCCTCTACCATGCGTCTTGCCAGGTCGACGAAGCTGCCGATGAAGTGGTGCGTCGGGACGTCGTCCACCGCCACCGTCGCATTGTGTCCGCTGCGTCGCCAATCTTCGGCGCGTCGGACTTTCAGGTCGCCTTTCTCGTCGGTTTGGCACACCGGAAAAGAGCCCGCCAAGAAGTGCTCGCCGGGCGGCGGTTCCGCCAAGGTGTCGGCCTCGGTCTGGTCGGGGACCGCCGTGGCCCTGACGTGAAGCCATGATGGCGCCGTCGTCGGGCCAATGACTCTGCCCAGCTTCTTCTCGGCGATGAGTTCCTGAAGCAACTGATCGGCGAATTCGCCGCCATCGTGCTGGGCCACCTTGCGGCGGACGTACTCGGCGTTGGTCCGGCGGAAGGTCTCCATGTTCGTCGGATTTGTGTAACGTCCGTCGTCTCTCTTCCTCCAGCCTGGACCCGGTCGGATGTCGCCGATCATCTGGAAGCCCTCCGTCATGTCCTGCGCGAGGGCGTCGAGGTCGGGGTAGTCGACGAGGCGAAGCAGGTCCAAGAAGACCAGGACCTGTGTCGGCGCTGGTTTGTCCGGCGTCGAGTAAGTGGCCCGGACCCAGGATGATCTTGCGGCGAGCCACTCTTGGGTTTCGTCGGTTGCGTCTTTGATCATGGTGCGGACCTCGTCGACCACCTCTCGTCGTATCCTGACCAGCTCATGGCGCCAAGTGCGCCGTATTAGCAGGAGTCGCTCCCACGCCGGTTCCAAGGGGGCGTCGGTTGCCAAGGGATGTGCCATGGTCCAGGACGCCGTCCAGTGCTCCTGTTCGTCGAGGTCCTGGATGTCGGCCACGCCGGGCCGAGGCGGCTGGAGCCATGATCGGACCGCCGGGTCCCCACAACGACGCCACCCACTGTAACGTCGATCGGCGAGGGGATCTTGTCACTGGCGTCGCCGTCGTTGGTGCCGTTGCCGTGAAGACCAACAGCGCCAAGAGAAGACGTCGTGCAACTCCCCAGTGCCACCCGTTGCCGATGAGGCGATGTCGAGTGCGATCGTCGAGTGCTCCGGCGGTGGATCTCGCCGTGTAGTCTGGTGCCGCTCTGCCTCCCTCGTCGGCTGCTGGTGTCGTCGCACATGGTAGCCTGACCCTACCACTGGCGACGGAGTCCGAGAACTTGAGGCCGTCGAGGTCGAAGTCGTCGGGTGCTGCCCTGGGAGAGTCCAGCCGCAGGCGGTTCCAACGAAGGTGTAGAGCCCATGTCCAGTGCTCTCCCGTCGAGGGGTCGCGAGGCAGATCCTCCCAGTCGATCGTCGACCACCAGAGGCGGGACCTTCCTATCCACCCGAAGTCGGCTGCGTCGGTGAGGATGGGTTCGCACTCCAGTGCTTTGGTTGCCGCCGCTGCGTCTGCCTGCGTCATCTCGACGTTTTCAACCAATTTCCCAAGCCGTCGAGGTGCAATCAGCGGCGACAGCTCGGCGACGTACTCGGCCGTGAAGTTGAAGAGGTATCCTCGATCTCCGCCGTGGCCCGCTCTGTCGCCGATCCTTGAAAAATCTTGGCACGGCGGTGCGGCGAGGAATAGGATGATGCACTGGGCGTCGGGGTCGATCGCGTTGATGTCCTTGGCCAGGGCCTTCGGCGTGTCCTCCGTGATGTCGCCGCGGTGCCGGACGTCGGGGATGTGGTAGTCGATCACCTGGATCGCCGCCCGGTCCACCTCCCATGAGAAGACCGCCCTGGGCTGGCCCACCAGGTCCCACACCAGCCACGGGCCTGCGCCGACACCGTCGAACGCCGACAACACGATCACCTCGTCGCCCTTGGGTCGCCGGCTGGAGAGCTTCACCTTCTTGGTCGGTTGGTCGGGTACCCCGTCGTCAGCGGGGGCGTTCGACGGGGCCCCGTGCTGTCCCTAGCGGCGGTTGCCGCGGCCCTGGCCGTTGCCGCGCCACGGGCGTTGGCCTTCGGACTGGCTGGACTGCCCGCCGTTGCCGCCGTGCCACCACTGTTGGTTCTTCCCGTCGGTCTTCTGCTGCCACCAACCGGCGTTGGTGTCCTGCTCGTTCTTCTTGCCGCCGCCTTGGGACTGATCTTTGCCGCCGCGTCCGCGCCCTTTGCCACGGCCCCCTTGACGTCGTCGTTTGCGACCACCGCGACCGCCGCCGCCGTTCCATGCCTGCTGGTCGTCGACGTCCTCCTCCTGGCCGTTGGGGGCTTCGGTGCGGTCGGCGATCTCCTTCTCGGATCTCTTGGTCGGGTGCGGCGTGGACAAGAGGATCTCCTGCCACGTCGCGACGTCGTCCATGATCTCCTTGGTGGCCTCGCCGAAGGACTTGTTGTTCCTGAGTGCCATCGCCAAGTTCCACGACGTCCGCTGCCAGTATGCCTGGAGGGCTGCGACGTGGTTGGACTTGTCCCTGGCGCGGGGGACGAACCAGTCGACATATGTCATGACGTCGGCCTCCTCGCCGATCCATGCCCACCGGGCGGCGTTGGCCCCGTCGAGAGGCCCTTGGGCACCCACTCCGTCGGCTCCTCCTGGAGCAGAAGGCCGTGTTCCAGCCGCAGCGCCTTGGAGCTGGCGGCTGACGTCGACCTGGACAGTGCCAAAGGGTTCAAGGTTCGAGCCGCCGTCCAGGTGCGTCGTGACACGATCTCGCCGAGGGTGACCGGCGTATACATCTTGGAGGTGGTGTGCTCGAACCACATCCTGGCCAGCACTTCCTCGGCGCCAAGAAGTTCATGTGCCGGGAAGGTCCGCCGTTTCCCGTCGAGGCGCCGTTCCTCGTAGATGTTGACCTGTTGGTTCCACGCCGAGAAAGTCTTGGGAGGTCTGTCAGGAATGGCCGGTGTGGTCGTCGTTGCCGGCGCCGCCGTAGGCGCAGTCGCTGCGGTCGGGGCCGGGACCGGCGACGACGCTGCTGCAGTCCATTGGCGTGTGGCCTCGACGAAGAGATGGGTCATGACTGCGGTAGCCACGTCGTCCTGCCCGTCCTCCACCTTGTGCTCGGTGCCGTCGATGCGGATGCCGGCGATGTACGGGTGGATGATGTGCGTCGTGAACCTCTGGCTAAGGTGGGCGTCGTGGTGATCTTCCGCGCTTTGATGTAGTTCTTGATGCGCGCCGGCCGCGGCGAGGAGGTCGTCCAGCTGCACCATCGAGGCCGCGACCGTCGGAAGTGCCATGGCTGACAAGACCTACGGCGTCCTATGTCGGTTTCCGTGCTCGAGAGAAAAGGGGGGGCTACGGGTGAGACAGCCGTCGGTAAGTTCTGGGCGCGAGCCCTCGACGGTGATCTGGTCTGAGCTGGTCGTGGTTTTCCTGGGTTGTCGTCAAGTTGGTGCCGTGGCCGTCGGGGCCGCTCTCGGCTATTGCCGGCGACCCCTCGGCGGAAAACTGGCGACGGCGATCCGTCGATCAAGCCTGGCGCGGCTCAGTCGGAGTCCGACGTCGCTCCGCTAGTGGAGGACGAGGAGCTCGACGACGAGTCGATCGCTTCAGGTGCCTCAACGTCGACGGTTTCCGTCGGAAAGCACTTGCGGCACAACGCCGGATCCGGCGGCAACTCAGAGAGGCGAAAGAACTGTCTCACGCCGTAAGGCCAGCCACACTTGGCCTGCCAGTCCGATCTCTCTGTCGTCGCTTCGTCGACCCCCGGCTTGTGCACCATCTTGGTGCGGCAGTTCATGACATACCGGGGCGCCGAATCGCCGATTGCGTCGGCCACTGGCATCCTGACGGGTTCTGGCACGAACTCCACGCCGGGCACCTCTGCCGCGAAGTCGACGTTGGGCACCACCGGGTGCAGGGCCGGCACCGCCGTATCGGCGTGCCCTGCCGCACTCCCCGTCGGCATCGAGTCCATGATGGCCGACGGCGTCGGTGGCGCCAGTAGCTGAGCCGGCGTCGGTGTCGACGCGCTCGCCGCTGCCAATGCCTGGGCTGGAACGCCGGCTGCAACGGCGAGGGGCTCGACGGCGGTAGAGGCCCATCGGCCGAGCAGCTGGATCACGGCGACCGGCACCCCCCGCATCGCCAGAAAGGTTGCTCCTGCCATTGTGGCGGCGTGGCCGCCGAAGATCAATCGGCGCTTGCCCTGGTCGTCGAGGTACACCGTCTCGAAGCCGGCGGCGTCCAGCACCAGCCGAAACATCTCGGCTGACTCCGCCTTGGATCTCTGCACCGTCGGCTTGGTAACAGGAAGTCGGCCGGCGTCGCGGCTGCTGACGCCTGGATCCGCCGAAGGTGGCGATGAGCGGCGCATCTCGGACACATGCAAGGGGTGGGCCGTCGAAGTGCAGACGCATCGGAATGTCCGTCGGGTGAGGTCGGCCTGCCCCCCCTGCGCCGTCTTGTGCAGGGGTATGTCGAGCGACACCGCCGACAGAGTCACCCCTAGGTCTCTGACCCTGGCCGCCGCGAGCTCCACCTCCCGATAATGACGTCGACGGCGTGAGCGACCAATCCGGCGTTGAAGGGCCCGAATGGTGCCGTGTCGTCGACCAGCTTGGTGAGCTCGTCGAGGTCGAAGGCCTGTTTGAGCCTGGACCCTGGCAGGCCCCTCGCCGCTGCCTTGGTCAGCGTCTTGACCACCCGTCGGAGTCCAGGGGTGACCGGCGTGTGGAGGGTGTTCTCCTGGTGCCATATACCACCGCGTCGAGGTACAGCCCGGTCGACCTGTAGCCGGCGATCCGCATGGCCCGGCGATGGTGTGGAGCTTGTTGGCGTCGAGCGGGAAGAGGGGAAACTGGCCCCTGTCGGCCAGGGCACTCACCGTCCTCACCCGCGACTCCATGGCCCGGCGGGTCGACGATGCCAGCAGGTTGGCGTCGATGGCGGCGAGAGTGTCTTGGCGTCGCCCGGGATCCATGGCTTCCAGTGCCGCCGTCAGTGATGTAGGTTCCTTCTGTTCGGTACGTCGTGCCTGGGTGGCCTTGCCGCCGTTGGCTCTGGCTGCTGCGGCGGCACCGGCGCTAGGATCTGCAGCAAGAGGCCCTCCGGCACGCCGTTCTCCAGAAGGACGGCGAAGGAGTCCCTCACGGCCGGCGTGTTGATCGCGCCGAACCTGGCCAAGGTGGCAATGTAGGCCGAACCGCCTGCCGAGGCCACGTCGCGAAAGAAGTCGGCGACTGTCCCGGAGGGTCCCGACGATGCGCCGTGTTGGTTCATGACCGGCGTCCTGAGTCAAGGGGGTGGGAGTTAGTGCTAGTCGGCGTCTCGAGCCAGAGCAGAAAAGGCTGCGGCGGAAGCAGAAAAGGCAGCAGCGACGACCGAAACGAACGAAGAGAGAGAGAGAGGCCGACAGCGACGGCAGGCGCGACGGGCGAGGCTTCAGGTGCACGGCGCTCTTTTTGTCGAGTGCGTCGGGCTCCGCCAAAAAGGCACCGTGCGGCGTGACCGCCGAGATTAAGCAACTCTGGCAACGACGAAGTCGTCGAAAGAAAGTAATACAGGGCGGCGGTGGGCTCTGATCCTGCCCCCGCCGCCGTCGACTGCCTCAGCGGTGCCGACCCGATGGCCGAAGCCGGGTGACAGGGGCACCCGCTGGCGTCGTAGAAAATCAATCCTGTGCGCCGACCATGCCACAGGTGGCGCACTCGTGACCAATATGGTCACGGCCGTTGCCCTCCAGGTCAGGACGGGACGTAGGCAGCGGCCTAGGCCTGGCTGGTCCACGTCGTATAAGTCGTCGAAGTGGGGGCAATGCGGCGACGTGCAAGGGTGCGAGCACCAACCAAGCACACGTCGGCCGGCCTCCTGGCTTTGCCATGGGATCCGGGCGCCGCGTGTGTTGGCGGGTAGCGTCGAGCAGAACCAGTATGCACAGTAAGTGGGCGCCGAGATCGGCGGGGGTTTCGGCTTGTGCCCGTCGATGCCCTGCCTGTCCATGTTCTCCTCCGCGATCACGTCGTTCAGCGTCGCCTTGAGCAAGTGCTTGACGGACTTCGGCGGGTCATTGACGGCGCGGGCGCCTCGGCGGTGCATCGCCCGCTTGTGCTGCCGATACTCGTCGGTCATGTTGCTCTCTATCTGGCGGATCCTCTCGTCGCTCAGATGCTCGCGAAACCCCGACGCCGTCTTTGACCTGGATCTTGCACCCGTCGGAGTCGTCGTCCTGGGGGTGATCGAAGGCCCGGCGTCCGTCGAGGAACCGGCGGGCTGGTCTGCTGGCCTCGCGCCCGGCGGGAACATCCAATCCGGGCGATCTGCCGCCACCGCCGGGGGGGTCGGCGCTCTCGTGGTGGCTGCCTTCGGGCTCGGCGGTGTGGACTGCCATGGCGTAGAAGCCGCCGATAGCGGCGGGAAGCTGGCCCTGGACGGGGGTGCGTCGATCACTGGAGGAGGCGGCGGTGGGTCCATGGTCGGCCGCTCGCCTCGGTGCGTCGATCTCCCTCTGGCCGCCGATGCCTGGCTCCCGGCCGTCGAGTTGGCGTCGTCCTCCTGTCGAGGGCCCACCTGCCGGAGCAGTGACGCGGCGATGTTGATGGATGCCAGTGGCGTCGGCAGGTCGTCGTGCTCCCTCTGGCGGGGCCCGAACCCGATGACCAGTCGCGTCGATGTAGTAAGCCGGCGTGGCCGTGCCAGAGGGCAACGCCGACTGGGCTTCCATTGCGGCGAGACCCGGGAACCCCGTGATGGTCGGCGACGCCGTAGTTTCGGGCTCCCTCGCCTCCGTCGGGTCCAAGAAGGCCGCCGCAGTCCTGGTAGTGGACGTCGTGGGAGCGTCGAGGAAGACCGTGCCCGACACCTGGTCGTCGTCCCTTGCTGCCGTGGGCTGCGGCGGGTGCCACTGCACCTGGTGTGCCCACGCCGTGGGAGGCGCCCCTACGTTCTGCTGCAAGATGGTCGCCGCCGAGGAGCTCCCGGGACCCGTCGGTGGAGGCGGCGTAGTAGGTGCCATCGTCGATGTCCTGGGACCCGTCGATCTAGGCGTCATAGATCCATGCCCCGGCGGGGCAGAGGTGGTCGGCGGCGGCCTTGGAGCTGCCTTCACCATCACCGGCGTTCCCTCCGTCGTGGCACGCTGCGGGAACAACCTCCCCATGTAGTTCCGGCGTTCCTCGTCGGTTGGCGGGAATGTCGGTGGAACCACGGCCGTGACGGCGAGGAGCTCGGCGAGGGATGTCCTGTCCTCCATGTTCAAGCTCGCCGCCAGTTCGGCCCAAGCGCCGAAACCACCGTCGCGTGCCTTGCGGAGGACGTTGCGAAGCTCTCGCACTGCGACGTGCACTCCGGCGTCCGGCGCAACCGTCGGCTGCGGCTGCTGCGGCGGAGCCTTCCGCAGCATTGGCTGGGCCGTCGAAGAAGCTGCACCAGGAGTCGTCGACATAGCGTCGAGAGGAAATGATCAGGTAGCTAAAAATCAAAAGCTTCGTCGAGCCAGAGTGCTGCCGACGTTCGTCGTTTACGGTTGTTACTGCACACACACGTGTGTTTCACCACAAATGCCTTTGAATCGCTGCTTGTATCCAACAACCCGTGTTGCCTACCCTATGTGACGGGGGACCAGCCGCATTGCAAACCCTAAACCCTGCCTGTAGGCAACAGGGAATGTAGCAAGCGCGAGCTGTTTTGGTAGAAGAGCCTCTTTGTTACAGGTAGATGCCCGCGCTTCAAAGATGCATATGCCTGCCGGTCACGGAAGCCAACCGACACAGACAAACCAAGCAGCAAACACTGATGTGTGGCGACCTCCCGGTAAGTCTCGCTGCAGCCAACAGGCGGGACTCAGCACGACTAGGACTAGCACAACACAGTTTGAACTTCTGCAAAGGAACCCGAACGGAATGGCAATGAATGGCACAGCGCCAGCAATTCGGGCTGAGCATACTTATCAAGAGTGGGGAGCAAACTGCAGTGAAGACGCGCAGGCAGGGACTCGAAGACTCAAGATTTTGCAAAGATCTTGGGAACAACACCAACACATCTTGATCTCAAGGTACCAACCTTGCCCACCGACTCTTTGGTGTACTGCTGCCGGATGACTTTGCCTTCAGCCGGTGAGAGCAAACGGTCGTTTGACTCCAGTGTATTCGTGGAGGGGTTTGTGCATCGTCTTGGAGACCGGCCGGCTTTAATGTCGATGTAACCAATGCCGCTTGAGTGTGAACACACCTGCCACCAGAGTTCCCCATCGCCCAAGACGGCACAGGGTGCGTCTTTTCGCAGGATGGGCCATGACGCCGGATTCCGGCCACATCGCCAAGCCCGAGAGCCAACCAGCCGCTTGGCCTAGTCAGTGTCCGTCTTAAGAGCTCTGCTCCAGAAACTCGAACGCGAACAGGAGAAGAGAACTCACAGTGTCGAAAGGGCAAGTTCAGGTCCCCTGCTGTTGAAGTCGGAGACGACGCCCTTGCCGCTGGCGTTCACCTCTGACTTAGGCGCTTTCCTGTTCTGCAGCTGTGATGGAACTGCCACGGCTGAGAATGCAACATCCCAGCAGCGAAGATTTCCACCATTGTCGCCAGTCCAGATTTTGTTGACTGATTCGTGCTGCATTGCCTGTCTGATGGAGATTGCAGGCATGCCGGGAATTCTAGGCGCCTCCAGCAGACACTACATGCTGAGGCCCTTGCGTTCACATCTCCGACACCTTCATGGGGATCGGGTTGCTGCCAAACGGCAGGCACTTGGAGGCTCACGCCATCCATGCCGATCTTAGATACCGCCAAGACATCCTGCAGAGATGCATCTAGCTCAAGAATCTTCGGGCCTGCACTTGCCAGCACCAGCTTCAACACGGCTCCTTCGACACTGTCGCCGCGACGTGTGGTGTTGCCTCGCGGTTCTCTGGCTTTGGCCACAAGCTGATGCATCGCACACCTAAGCCACACCAGCAGGACTGCATAGTAGCCATAGCAGTATGGATGCACCAATTCTGGTCCCTCGCTATACTATACCTGGGGCAGCGTCCTCGATAGTGGAGGTAGACCATGGTGGACCTCCCATGACCAACATCACATTTATCAGGCAGAGGTGCAGTACAGTAACACTTGGCAGGAGGTTCGAAGCAGTCGAATTGATCTTGTTTTGTAGTTTTTGCTTAGATATGTCGAGATGAACGCCGAACGAGAAACCTTACCGTGACACGCCACCTGTGAGAATCCGCAAGCATACTTCCGCTTGACCTTGCTTCTTGTGTATCTCGCCCGAGTCGCCTCCACTCACAGATGTTGCTGCGACTGCCGCTGCTGTGTGCATACATTTTCGTTTTGCCGATTGCAGGAGCTTTGCTGTGTGTTTGCTCTTTTCCATTGTTGGGGGCTTTACGTTCATCTGCGGGCTCGGGCCCAGGTCCGACAGGTCATGGGCGCACGCATGACCCAGTACTGCAAACTGCCATGACACAACTGCACTCAAAGGCTGCCGCTTCTCCAGGTATCCGCCATCCTCGTCCTTTACAAAATCCAGCTCCTCTTCTTTCCTGTACAAAGACAAGAACATGCCACCTTGATGAAGGAGGCATGAGCCCAGCAACTTGCGAGGCTGACTTTGCGACAATTGCGGTGGAGCCATTGCCATCACGACCAGCATCACCTGCATCGCGTCGCTTATCCGAATCTGTGCACGAACGTAAATAGCCCGTACTCCAAAGCCAGGAATCAGGACTTTGACTGGCTCTGGAAAACTCTTGGAATATGTACAGAATCTAAGCGCGAGCAAATCAGACAGGCGAAGGGCACATCATCTTGAGGCTCCCACTTGCCGTAATGGCCTCAAAGAATCTGTCGCAAAAAGTTGAAGCTCATTTCCTGTGAGCTGTTGCTGCGCAGGCCTTTGACTTCGCATCAGGATCGTCGGCCTGAGATAGCAGGGAGCTTGCCAAAAGCCACAAGCTCGGCACAAAAGGCAAGAAACGGCAGTGTCAGCCCCGCGCGATGGCGTTGATCTTGGCTCTGGCCTCAGTTTGGATCAGACAACCTCACCTCAAGTCACGGAGGTTGCTGCTGAAGTCTTGAGTCATCGACGACTGGCCTGACATCGCTTGGGGATTCTTTGAAAAGAAACAGCGAATTCCTGGTCTCTGGGCCTGAACGGTGTCGTCTTGAGGTTCCAGGTCCTTCGGAACGCGAGCTGCCACACAGCATCTCTGAGTACACACAGCTCCTCAGCGACTCACCGGGCAGCGGCTTCATCCCGGCTGACTGCGCCTGGCACAAGATGCGAGTCAGGCCCCGACTACCACTGGGTGTCTCCTCCGGTCAATTTCTAACGGCCAACCGTGGCGACGGTGCTGTCAGCAAACCAAACGGGGAGATCGCTGCGACGTCGTTGATGAAGCCGCCCACGGCCTTGAGAGCAGTGCCGTAGTCCCGTAACGTGGTTTCGACGATTTCGAAGTTGAGTCCTTCCCAAGGGCACTGCTATCTCGCCCACCAGGCGTGGAGGTGGCTTGGTCCTCGCCGATGCCCAGCGCAGTGCAGAAACTTATCAGAAAGGTGTATGAAGGGGGGTGTCTGAGCTCCCGGACTTGCCGGGCTCTCCTTTTGAAAGTTCCCAGCAGCGCACCTTTTTTGCAAACATCCGAACATCTCCACATCTCCGAGCAGAGGACTTAGGATTCTAGTCTAGGGCCCGTGCCACACCTTCCTGCCAAGACCTCGGCGGCCAAAAAATCTCAGAAAGAGAATGCTTTCTTTCGCGCCCTTCGAGAGCCTGGCCCGGTGTAGAGTCTTCGGCTCTCCCAAGGTGGGGTCCTGGGACCCAACTCAATGACACACGAATGCCAGCACCGAACGGTGAAGCTTTGGGCCCTCACCCAAACGTGTCAAAGAGCATGCAGGTGATTCCCTCGCAGGCCCGCGCACTCGGAAAGCATGACAAGCAAGCTCCGGGGAGTTGGCTTCCCGCCTTGGTCGCTGTTGGAGCCTTGGATGTCATTGTATCCAGAATCGGCATTTGTGGAGCTTGCGCCTGTGGATCCGGGGCAAGGAGCATGTCCCTGCCAGGGCCCTACAGCCTGTCCTGAGGAATAACAAGCTGAGAGCTCTGACATCTGACAAGCCTGAAAGTGTAGCGAGGTCCTTCCAAATCCCTCCAGCCGCCTTCTTCGGTCTTGGCCTCTGAAGCGGGACATCTGATACTGTGGCAAACGTGGCAGAAACATGGTGCGCGTGCATGCGCAAGGGCTCCTGCCTCCGTCAAGGCCTTGTACGCAGTTGCGATGGCTTTAAAAACAGCGTCGTCACCCCCTGCGCAGACAACATCTCGACACGGTTCCACCACTGAGAACCCCTGGAAACACGAGTAGGCCTTTGTCTGGGTGGTGCAGTAGAGCGAGGATATGATAGGCACGCCTGGTCATCATATTCCAATCCCTTAGTAGCACCAGCCTAAGGAATCGGTGACTCTTGGCCTGATGGCGGCGCTACTGGCACCGGGCTGCAACCCCAAAACCTCACAGTTTCGAGGAGCCACATCTGTGCACACGGGAGAGGCACTCCTTTGAGGCGACGACGGTGTAGGGCTTGCCCAGCGATGCCAAAATCTTCTGCGATGAGATGCGTCCTACATTCTTCAGCCAACACCAATTCTAGCTGCTAGCTGAAAGCTAGCCAATTGCAGCCAAAGCACGAACTTCGTCCTCGCTCTTTGCTGCCTCCGCTTGCTACATGCCAGCAACTTCATTAAGTCTTTGCATCTGGCACTGGACACAGGAAGATCATCGGAAGATGCAATGACAATCCTGGGGGTCCCACGGACGAGTCGGCATCCACCCCAAGAACCTGCCACTTGTCAAAGCCTTGTTTGGTCAGCGGTAGGAAGATCAGATTCCGTCAGACCCTCGTGAAGTGGTTGCCAGACATCCTGAAACCCTCGCCCCTTTTGCAATTGGCTTTGCACGGCATCCAGGCGAGTCGAGATAGCAGCAGCTCATGCCCACGGCCAGGTACTCCACATAGAAACAGCTCAACTGCTGCTGCGCTTTGCGACTGCAAGTCCAGGGACTGCCCTTCTCCCCCCCCCCTCCCCGGCGCATTGCCACACGGAAAGCTCTGCATCGCCACGCCGAAACTGGCGATGGAGAACTTGCCTCGGCAGCTCTGTGGCCAACTCCTCCGTCTCCTGCTACCGGTGCCACCGCCCGAAGTCGGGATGAAGAAAGCCGTGGGCTGTGAGTCTCATCATCTGACAAGGCTTTCATTGGATAGCACAGTCTGGGGGCTCGCCCCCTTCAGCGCAGTAGAACATCACGTACTCAGGATAGACCTCATGTGGCTCCCAAACATGCGGAGGTCATGTCGTGTCAATCATGTCAATGTGACTCACAGGACTCCTGGCCTGCGACACGTCAAAGACAATGAACTCCCTGTTTGTGCCGTCTGCGCAACCCATCACCGAAGTGAAGTCGGTCCCAACCACACGTTCGTGCGCTTTCGGGTCCTTTCTTGGAAGCTCCAGGATTTTCCCCAGAACAACCCGGCACAACATGATGACTCGGCAACCGCTCTTGTTCTTGACGGTGTACTCGTGGCTTTTGATGGCCCGATCTGCAAAGTATACCCCCTTGCCGAAGAGAGAACCATGAGAAGCGCGTTCGGGCAGCCGGAAGTGGCTGGAGCAAATGGCCCGTGCAGCGTCCTCACTGGTTCCATGAAACAGCCTCAGCTCGAGAGGCTGGGCATGGCTGGGCGGCTGGGCACCCGAGCTTCTCTGTGGCTCACAACATGGCAGACAAGACGCCACACCTCGTTCACGGTCTTGTCCAATCTCGGGTGTGGGCAAAGTTCACTGCGAAACCAAGCTTGAGTATCCCGTCTCGGAGGAACCAGCACTAGTCACTAGACTGATATCCCTTGCAGGCAATCGCCATCCTGATTCATCCTGAACCAGCCTGCGCCAAGACTGTGCATGGGGGCATATGGAAGCTTCGGCAAAGGAACGTGCTCAGCGCTGAGTATGGCAGCTCCTCGCCAGCGAACACTGCAAGACTTCGGAGGTCTCCGCCTTTGTTGCGCCTTTTTTTGCCCTGACTGCCCGGCCCCGCCCTGCCCCGCCCTGTCCCCGCGCCCCTTTCCTCGTAGGTCTCCGGCTTCAAGTCCATCGGAGGCGGCTGCCGCGCTCGGATCTCGGCCCTGCACTTCGCGTAGGTCTCCTGGAGCTCGCTCAAAAAATGCCAGCTCCTGCTTGTGCGGCCTGCGGCCTGCGGCCTGCGGCCTGCTTGTGGATTCCCTCCCTCTTTGTTGCGCAAGGGCAAGAGGTGGAGAAGAATCCACTCCCTCTCTGCTACTCCCTGCCTCTCTCTGTCTCGCTCTCTACCTCTCTCCGTGCCAGGGTGCCCAGAGGATGGAATCTTCGGCACGGAGACATTTCAGAACGCGTCTCGTTGGCAGCGACTTCTGGATGAGCCTCGGCCAGGCGCTGTTGGCGAATTCAGCCGGAAACTCCTCAGCTTGAGGGCTGCACTTGGTGCCCAGGTCCTGCACATAGCGTCCTTCAACTTCGTTGTGGAATGCATCCTGACAGCAGCAAGATAGAGGCGGGACAATGCACATTACAACTGACCCTGAAACCACTTGGCGGTCCAGAGCTTGTTCAGCACGCCAGTACCACGGTAGATGCTGCCCACCGTTGTCCTCAACATCACCTATCACAGAACAATCGACCAGATACTGATGCACGGGGACGCAGCGAGAACCCGTCCGATGCCGCCTGGTTGATATTTTCATGCCAGGAACCAACTGTCAATTGTGCAAAAGAGGAGCAAGCAGCGTCGTGTCCGGGCTTCCCGTACTTTTCAACCAGGAAGGGGCAGCCTCGGCTTTGCCGGATTTCGCAGGGGCTGGCACTGAGCCCCCTTCACGCCCCGGCAGTCTTCCAGGGTCCGGACAGGTTCGCAAATGGTTCAAGTGTTGTCCTACCGCCTAGCCCTAGCCACTTTCGCGAGCTTCTCAGAGAACTGATGCAGAGTCAAGGCATCATGCCAGTGTCAAGAATATCATCTACAACAACACTTGCCGATGGTTCCACAACGCAGAATCGGTATCCAAGTGGCTCTTGCAGCAGGACCTTACTGTAGACTGCCAACGCATGTGTCGGCACATGTCGAATTACAACAGGTTTGGTGAGCTTTGAGCTCACGCGAAGTGCTGAGCTCGAAACTCAAAACCAGGCTTCGCCTTCCGGCCACAGCCCTGGACACAGAAGCCTTCCGGGACGGAATCCGGCCGCACCCAAGCAAACGCCATAGCCGCTCCTGAGCCACGGCAGAAACGCGGAAGTTGTGCTCGAATTAAGGTTGGTAGAGTGACAGTTGAACTTGGGCCCATGGGCTTTAGGACAGCATTCACATCAAAGGCTGTTCTGGATTCCATGATGGAGTTGGAACCGATTGCACTCGTGGGTAGCAAGACACTTCTCCCGGAACTGCCTTTGTAGCGGCACCCTGGAGGTGCTGTTGCATGTAAAGCCTAGTCGTATGATTCATGGGTTACTGGGACCCCAAGAGCGCCGCGTTCGATTCAAGAGCCAAGGAACAGCTGGAAAAGACGCCGAATCCACTGCTGCGTGCACACAGCTCCCACACTTCCGGGCCCATGGCTCTGCGGAATTGTTTGTCGGCTGTGATGTCTGAGTCTGTGAGTTGCGGCAGTCTTGTGCAGTCTCTCTCCTTTGAGACCCCTGCGGCCGAAAGATTCCAGTACACCAGCACGGAGTTTCAGGATGTCTGCGATGTTTCTGACAGACGCTTCCCAGGCACTGGCTCTCGTCCTTTGCATTGCTGGACGCGACAGCCTGAACACTTATCAACTCGAATTAAAGGCAAGCTGCGGGCTGGTGGGAGCCTCTTCCAAGCGCGAGAGCAAGACCTGCACTCGCCGAGGGTGTGGACATCGAAAAGCAGCTTCATCTTTCAGCACTCGAACCCGACTCGCTTCTCACGCGCCCGCGCGCCTTGCCGGATGCCTTGACGCTCACCCATCCTCCACTCGAAAGCTCCGAGAGCCCAAGAGAGGGAAACGAAAGCCCCGAGCCCCCCGACCCCCCCGGCCCCAGCCACCTTCCGTAGGGCCCTGACCTCGCAGGGTTTTTAAGTTTTTGAGCATTTCACTCCACGGCAACTCCAAGAAAGTCTCCGCTGCAATGCGCTGCGCCTCGCAGGAGCTTGTAGTGCAAGCGCTCGCCCGCGAGGCGCAGCTCTTCCTAAGAGCTCGAGCTCCAAGCACGCGCACAAGGAAGAGTCGAGCTATCAGCGGCTGAGCATCAAGCCACAAGAGCACCAGTCTCAAGACGGCGATCCAGCTGAGGAGACTTCAGCTCCTGACAGGAGCCATCCCAAGGATGAACATCATACACACAGCCTACGGGAGCTTGGCGAATTGCAGCACATGTACGGTGTCACCACACAGGTTTTTACATCGTTGCTGACCATACAAAAATGTTGAGTCTGCAGCGGCCGAAACGCTGCTGCCACGGCCGGTGGCATGAGTTAGCTGATGAGGGAAGTGTAAGACTCAGCCGCGGGGACGAGGCGTCCACTTCTTATCGCGCTCCTTGAGAGCACAGAAATATCCTGTCCTGTCGGAGGTCAGACCGGACAGGACGCAAGGAAAGAACGCTGCCGGGGTGCGAACACCCTGTACTTAAACACGACAGTCGGCAGCAAGGCACCCTTAACGGCCAAGAAATGACTTCATCCAGCACAACACCGCCCTCCATCTGAGTGGAGTAGTGGGACCGGCTGAGACAATGGAAAAGCCGCATGACCACAAACTCCGAAAGTCGCATTAGGTGACTCGGATCTCTGGTGCAGGCGACAGTATGTGTGCAGCGCTTGCCAATGAGATATGCACTCGCAAGACAGGTCGTTCAAAAGCTCTCGTCTCAGAAGCAGCTGCACAGCAAAAGATCGTGACGGTACTGGAAACTTCAAAAAGTTGGGCCAGAAGCATCGATCCGTGCTTGCTTGGCCATCCTTCCTGATAAGGCCTTCCACCAAGGATACTCGTTGCAAGCAACATGATTTTTGCTTTTGCTCAGGAGACTGCCGTAAACCCAGCACAACGAAACATTGTGTTCCTTCTGGCGGAGCTCTTGCCAAAAACACACAGGTTTGTAGGCATTGTAACACGAAGAGTCTGTCTAAATGACACCTCCGGGGTGCTCTGTCCTCACACGGACCAAGGCAATTCTCGTGATGCGTTCTACGCAGCCACAGGATATTCGTATGAGGGCAGGCACACACGGTCTATATATTGCGCCAGAGTAGACCCCAAACAGCGAAGCACCTAGCAGACCTTGCTGTCCAAGCAAGAACCATACCAGGAGAATCCCTGAAACATTATTCGTTGCCGCTCGCGAAGTTGATGAATCGCTCTCCCGCCAAAGTGCTGTGCGTGTTTTTGAGAGGAAATCGCCCTCTGTGCTGATTTCTCGCAGAGCCGTGCGTGCTTGGGGCTCGCGTTGTCTTTCCGGCAGTCCCGTGAATTTCCGCTTCACGAAACCGTGCTCCCGCCACTGTGCCGCGGATGCAAGTGTGGTAGTTTCGGCTGGTGACTAGTGTGGTGCATTGTCAAGTGAAAGAGCGCGATTTTTGTCGAAAACGTGTTACGCGCCACATGCCTAGTGTAAGAAGCTCGTAGTGCTAAACGGTGCCACACGGTTTGGGGAACGGCGACACATATCGGACCAGCACAAGCCATGAGGTTTCCTTGGTCGGTTTGGGCTTGGCGAGGGAGTGAGGGTGAGGATCTGAACCGCGGCGTGGCATGTGCTGCTTTGAGGCTTCAAAAATGTTCTTACAAAAATGTGGCCGCTGCTGGATCCATCTGGTCCTCCAACGACCCCGCTAAGTTTATTCAAGCCATAAGAGTCTTATATGATGAGACCCAGCGTAGCCTCGAGAAGTGATTTGAAGCATCAGTGCTTCTTTGCTGCATCCGGTTACCCGCAGAGCTCCAAGCCCTGCTAAGGTAAACCGCCCCTCAGTACTGGTTGTCTGCGTCGTCCCAGGCTTTGGCCTTCTTTGACAAAGGTATGAAGGGGGCAAGACTAAGATGGGAAAGGCAGGGAAGAGTGGAAGAAAAGAAACATACAATTTTTCAGCCCAATGCCAGCGCAGATCGATTCTTTCTGGCCTGGGCAAGGAGCCGCTCCTCCGCGTTTGGGAACGCCATCCTATCCACATAGAGCACCAGGAGCATGTCCGGCCACGTCTTCAGCTTCTTGATCAAGACTAAACTGTCTACAAGCTCACCGGTTTTCCTGCGCAAGGTCACTGGAAGGACCCCTGGTCGTTGCATCGAGCTCGAGGCTAGTTCCAGATGAAGCTCAAAGGAAGTATCCAAATGGCCATCACAGAGCAGCCGGGTTGCGTTTTTGCCCAAAAGCTCGTGTTGAGAGTAGCCGAAGAGCTGCTCGAAAGACGGGGAAGCACTGAGCATGCCCAATCTGTCGACTTCAGAGTGGTCCAAGGCCAGTGCTGCCATAGCAATGCTGGAAGGTGAGGCACTGATCAAATCATGTATGTCCTCCTCCTGCTCCTGTGAAACGCAGCAACGGTCTACGCGTGGCTGCTCAACCGTAATGCCGGTAGCCGTAGCCGTCTCATAGACATCGCATTTAAACGTCACCTCCGACAACCTCTTCGGCAGTTGTGGCTTGGCCGGCACATGGTTCGGGATATTAGCTGCGCACGTGAACGTCCGCATGGCATGGAAGATTGCCGGATGCAGGAGGTGCCTTCCATGAACCCGCATTGCGGGACCGCCTTACAGCAGCGAACTGGGCACTTGACTGTTGAAATTGTTTATGCCTTGCTGGGAAGAACAAACAATTCCTCTCACTCAAGTCAATATCAACAGGAGGCACACCGTCGCTAAAACGCTAAACTGACGGACCATGCAAGAGAACCAATGCATCTAGCCCAAAATCTGCAGCATTCTGCAGCACACTCGCTAGATCACGCCACCAGCACACAAAAACGGAACAGATAGAGGCTTAGTGGAACACTCTCACCCTGCCCCACCTGCGAAGAGAGCAAGCATCATGTCCGTGGCCTGCATGTGCACGTTCTGCATCTCCATGATTGGCGATTCGTGTCGGCGTCTTTCAGCCAAGAGGCTTTGAGCCAAGGTGCACAGGCGCAGCGCAATGCAACACCGATGAGACCACTTTCAAATACACCAGCACTCAGAGCATGGACGCACCAAGCAAGTCGTCCTGGCCCTGTCTTACGAGGAGCCCGCCGGTGCCGGACCCCCCAATAACCTGCTCTCACGTACCGCAACATGACATGAGACGAGTTCCTGGGGTCAGCGACCTCAGAGTCGCTTCAGAACTCAGGTCCTTGCCTCCCACTGAGGCATGTGGCCCAAGGAGAGCCGAGGGCACCGAGCCCAAGGCGCCTCGCATCGCCCGGGGCCTATGGGCCTACGGGCACTGCTGCTCTGATTTCGTCGTTGTCCTCAAAAGTTGCTTCCTCACCGCCAGTATCGCTCTGGCCCTTCTTATTGAGCCTGCTCCAGTGCTTGTCAGCACAACACATACAAATAGATGAGATCGTACCACATCGAACCAACGATGAGCAAGAAAAAGCAGTAAAGAGCAGGGTGCTGACAGTATGGAAGTTTGCATTGTCGGGGAGACCAACATGGTTGCAGTGTTCCTAACTACGTGCAGAAACGCTTGATCACGGGGTCGACCACAGTTCAACTGCCCACTGCACAAGCTGAAGCAGCTGTACAGACAACGTCAGAAGGCGCTCCTTTGCTCTGCGATGCGAGGCGCATGGAACGCTTTGTGACGGGGGGGCCGTATTTCATTGACTGACTGGCACATGAGGTGCCAGTACCAGGCATAATGGACCTATCCACTACAAAGTCAGGGCAAGTCTGCCTGATGCACCACTTGGCTTTTGCTGTGCGATCTGGTGACTACAACTTGCGAGGCAAACGTGCGCGCATCGTGACAGAAGCACATGCACTGCAGCTGCGTGCTTACAGCTGCAAGTTGTGAATTGCTACCCTGGAAATCTCGAAAAGATGCTCAGCAGATGCGCAGCTCGCGCAAACTGCCGGTGAAACATGTCAGTAGGCCAGGTGCTGCATGCTGAGTTATTCCCGAGCAGCTGTTTGCTGTACGGAAGCACTATCGCCTTGGTTGCGTCGCCTGCCAGGTCTGAAAACAAAGGTCGCAGTGCCTGTGCTTATGAAAACCCCAAGGAAAGTGCCTGCACCATGTCAGGGGCATTCTGCTCCTCCTCCAACCATTCTTTTCGTTCTCCGTTTTCCCACCTCGGCCAGTTTAGGTTTTTCGAGTCCCCCGAATTCTGCGGCTTTCTGCAACGCTGGTCGCACAATCTAACAAAGGTTCGTTCATGATGCTGCTCTTGCGGGCACTCTGACTGCACTGGGCTTGTTGCCGGGCCAAGCGATGGGCACCCTGTGAATTGCATAAGCGACCGATGCCGTGTTGTCGACCTGCTTCAGCGTCTTCGGACAGGTATTAGCATTTCAGCCGGCTTCTGCGATGTCTGCTAACGGCCTTTGCTCCAGTACCCCTCGTAGCGTCGCCCATCTGCCTGGCAGTTCACAGAGAGCACTCTAGCTTCTTGGTGAAGCGGCAGCTACGAGGCCGGTGCCCACTTGAAGATGCCAAAGCCATCCTTCTGGTCGCGCGCATACTGGCCCTGCCATCCAGAAAAGCAGCTCGCAGTGTGGGGCTGCGGTTGTGCGATCTTCTCGGGGCCTGGTAGCAGCGGCCGTCCACCTGCAGCTCTCGTCTAAAACCCTCCAACACTGCTGGAATCTGGCAAATCGCAAGCTTTTTTCTCCCTGCCGGAGCCGTTGGGTGAAACCGCGATCTGCAGTCGTCGCATCCGGACAACACACGTTGAATGACCAGAGAATGCTTAGTGTCACATCCACAGCTCGCCAGAGGGAACACCATCAGACATACAGCCTGGATTCGGCTGCCACGAGCAACATCAAAAGGGATACTCCGTATCTGACATGTTCTAGGCGTTGTGTCATCCTCCGCAGCATCTTACCCTATCAGGAAATCCAGAGCCAAGCCGCAGAGGACTTCCACCCTCGAACTCGCACGGGCGGCTTTGGAACCGAGCACAGCATCTTCTGCACCTAGCGGAAATTGAACCGAGGCATTGCTAGTGCTCTCAACAGTTGAAAAAGAGAGCAAGAGGATAAGATGCAGGAGTACCTGAAATCCCAGGCAGTTGCCAATTGAGGTCGAAATAAGAAGCCAACTTCAGCTTGGGCACCGCCCTGCTGCTAAGACTGCAAGCAGCAGAGATTCTAGGCTGCAAACAATCACCAGAACGGCCTTCAGGCAGACTTTCAACCAACGTTCAGTGATGCTTGCGGGCATCAGCGACCCCTCATGCCTGCTGAAAGCTCGCATGCTCGTCGAGCTTCGCAAAGCTCATGGCTTCTGGAGGAGGTGACGGCAAGAGAGGAAGGACCTCGCACGTTCGGCAATAGCAATCGCACATTTCCTGCGTGACTTCGATACGCCATGTGGCCACTCTCAGGAGGTCTGCCAAGCGGTATCCGGCCAGAGCAAGCTGCTTTCTTGAGATCTGTCGAACCTCGGCAACGTATGTCTCCTTGGCCAGCTCAGTTCAAGCTTGTTGAGGCACAAGCACTATCACTATGAATGATGCAAGAAGAACCAGGACCCATGTGCGGCCACTGCATCCGAAACGGGCGCACCGGCACGGACACCAACGTACGCGTGCTGGACTGCTACGAGATGGGCTTCCTGCACCCATCTTTTGAAAACCTGCCGGACGAACGAACTGCGCGCATGAGGAGCTCTGTTCCAAACCGCCCAAGTACCGAGCTACAGAATCGCGGCCTTCATGCAATCGCTGGGAATGAGAAAGCAGTCCATGTCTTCGGCCTGATACTCCTGCGTGGCCATCTGATGTCCGAAGGCATCGCCAAAAACCGTCTCCTGCCTCGAGACTGCTCTTTGGAAAGTCTCCTGCAAACATCGCATTTGCCGAAATCACCGGTGCCAAAGTGCAGAGAGTTCAGCACTGCTTGTTTACGCGGTCTCCTACAATGACGGAGGCATTCCGATCGCGCCGCGCCTGCGCAACTTGATCTCAATCAGTCCTATTGAAGAGCAGCTCTCTGTTTGCATGCCAGCAACATCTTGCGAAGAAGAATATGGCCATTCGTCCAGATACATACCTCCTGCCGCATCCCAGAAAGAATGGAGATTCGTCAGCGTGCTCCAGTTGGACTGGATCCTGCGCGGGTTGCGACAGCAAGCTTCGGGTGAGCACACGTGGCTAAGCTGCTTGGATCCTGATCAAATTCCCACCACGATCCGCACGAACACGTCCAAATCGTGTGTCGTTGAAGACGCCTTCAGCGCAGTGGAGCGGCTGATGCGCGTCCCCGACGATGTGGAGAGCCTCAGGTCATCCCGGCAACCGCCGAAGTCGGCACAACAGCAGCATAGAGACAATGGAGCCGTGAATCGAAGAATACCCTTGTCAGATCCAAGAGGCAAAACGCAGCATGAGATTCAGTGCAAAGTTCGAGCGCGAGGAGTAAAAGGTTCCTGGGATAATAGTTGAGAGATGTCACCCTTCTGAAAACGGTGCTATCACAACCGTCTTGCAAGTTCGGCGAGGGGCTCATAGCTTGTGCCAGAGCCCAAACTGCTGACGGATCCTCGTACGGGTTCTTTTCATCTAGCGCCAGATGATCCTCAGAAAGCACAAAATAGGACAGCTTCCGACAAGGGGTTCGAACACAACCTGTCAGCCATCTCAAAAGCCGCGCGTCTGGAGTAAAGTCGACGTCAACAAAGTGCCATGCATTAAACCTGAAGCCGCGAGACGCGGCCTGCCCCGCCCCAATCGGATCATGTGAAAGTCTGCTACCCAGAGGCTCATTCAGTGCCGTCGCAGGCAAGCCGCGGCAATAAAGCGTGTCGTTTCGAATGCACTTGATGTGATCCGGCCAGACTGCACTGTTGACGAAATCTGACATCCCGGGAAAGTCGCCACTCCATGTTGCGAGAATCCTCTCGGCTTTCTGGACTTCTTGTGGGCTCAAATGCATCTTGGCAATCTGTGCCACCAGGACATGCCCGGTGTCCAGCCATGCGTTGGACAACGACAGGCCCAAAGCCAGTCCAAGATGGCTGGATCGCATGAGAAGATGAAGACAAAAGCATGCAATGAGAGGACAAGGCTCTGCTGCATCTCACTAGCTTCTGCTTCTCATGCGAACCCAACACAGCTTCACCGAGTTCAAGATAGCTCACGTTCGACGGCGAAGGCGATGGTACGTCATATGAGTTAAAGACTACGTCGTGTGCGGACGCATTGCCCTGCTCGACGACGAGAATGACTAATTTTGAAGCTGAGCTGACACGGCTGCAAACATGACTCTCCTCTTTGCATACTTCCATCTCGTTGTGCGCGCAGATAGATACAGACCTGCCAGCTGCTGCATGCTGGTGTGCCGAGCTCCTGACCCACTTGTAGCGACCGCATCCATTCATGGTTGAAGCCTTCGACATTCTGGCTTCAAGAATGTTCGACGGTAGACGGAAGGATGCAAGCAGCCCCTGCAACACCAACAAGGGGCACAGCAGCTAGGAGCTGGGCCATCCATCTACCTCTGTACTCGCGTCCATCAACGCCCATGTAAATTCCTGGCAAAGGGAAACTCGCCAACGTGTACATGCGCAGTAGTCTCAACTCAAAGCCAGGGGGCCAAAACCATCGATCATGTTCATGCACCACTGCCTCATTTGCATCTTCGAAGACAGCGCAGATGCTCGAGACACCATACATGCGAACGTAGCCACGGCTGCCCCCACTTCGAGGTTACAGGACAAGGCTATCTCAGAGTCGTGCCCTTGGTACTTTGACCCATCTGGCCACTGGTACTCCTGGCCGACGCTGTGGATAGCCGCAACAAAGCATGGCAAGGCACCGGGTTACTGTAGTGCGGCGCCTTGAGGAAAGCATGCCGGAGAGACACCGCTGCCGCTCTTTTTGCCGCGTGAAAACTCTCCGATGAATCGGGACTTGTCGGGCCATGACTCCGTGCCAAAGCCATCCTGGACGGCGGAGACGAAAAGTGCGACGGTACAGAAGGCATAAACATGCACGCAACACAAGCGCAGACACAAAACACACCAACAGATAAGGTACACATAGCTTGCTTTCGGGATAAGAACAACGCGAAACTAACGAGTAAACACTAATTCAACAAACAGACTGACTGTAACAGTGACAAGAAGAAGAATAAGCATTCACCGGGCACTTCCCGGTAGTTTGTGAGCACCTATGTGCAGAATGCTGACCTGGCTTGGGACAGTCTATTTGCAAGCACTGTTGCAGGAGAGCGACTTGGAGGCAAGCTATTTCCTGCCAGTCCCGCGAACAGATGGAGCGCCCTGCGCTTCTCGGTTTAAAGTCCTCACACTGGATAGTTAAGACAGCTCCACTTGTCATTGCAGAAAGTGTCATCGATCTCCGCAGGTTTTGAAAGGTTCCCACCAACAAAGCCCGTGGGCACACCAGAGGTACGACCATCTTCGTTGGCGGTCAGACAGGTTAGCACCGCTGATTCTAGCGAAACCCGGGCCAAGCAGGTGCTGGAGTCCCTCTTCGTGCGGGTCGGGAACAGACACAGTATGTAGATACAGAGAGTGGTGACCACCAAAAAGTACATGAGATGGTGTGCGTGCTGATTCATCTCGTTGCTAGGGATTAATCATCATTTAATGTTCAAGGCTGTTTCACAGATTTCTGCATGTAGCAGAACATGGAGGCTTCGAGTTGCAATGCTTGCTCTGGGAAGCTGTGCAAGCCTGAACCTCTCAAGGGCGATTAGCCCCTCAGTCTCAAAAATACAACCCCGGAAGCAAGGGCCTCAACCCCTCAAATCCTAAGCCCGAAAAAGAGTGATGGCCGGCACGCCCAATTTCGTAAGAGCTGCAAAATCGATCCTCGAAGCCTCTAAGCCCGCACGGCCGACCCCTCAAAGACTCACAGCCAGAAACCGTGACAACATCTCTGCGAACCACAAGCCGGAGCCCCAAGTTTAAAGAGAACGCGAACCCAAACTGCACGCGGCACTATCCAAGCAGACTTTCACCAAAGTGCTACACCCCTTAGATGAGCCCCGGGAGCCTCATAGTGTGGCTCTGCAATAGGACTTCAAAGACGCCGAGCGATTTCAAGGCAGAAATGAGCACAGGATTGTCACAGGAGCACCATTTCTGCACAAAAACCTCCCCAGAATGCGAGTCCTCAGGGTCGAGAGTGCCAAAGTTCTAAATTTCCAATGAATTTGGCGCCCCCGGAAGAATGGAACACGGCAGGACTGCGGAAAGTTTTTGTCCAGCTCGCCACAGCAGGAGATCGGGAACCGCCGAATGTGCCTGCCACACGCGCCTCGCGCGAACACAAGGTAAGAACCGCCCATAGTGTCAACACACTTTTTTGAGAAATGGCAATAAGAATGACTAGTAGTAACAGTAACAGTGCTAGTATAAGCAATACCGCAGTAACAGAAAAAGACTCGTAGGCGTCGTCGTCGTCAGAAGTTGTTGTGTTGTGATGGTAGTAGTTGCATTCGTGGTTGTTGTGGTACAGTAGTTGTGGTAGTAGTGCTGTACAACAAACTGCAGGCCTGAAGATCATTCCGGAACTGTCCTGGCTCAACGCATCCACATCCCTTCCTCTGCGTCCACTGCTTCACTTGCATCTGAGAGCCTTGATACACCGTCCCGTTCTGGTGGACATAGGTGCCATAGCCATGGGCCAGGTTGTCCCTGTCGGGGATTTGAGCGCATGTCTTTAGTAGATGCCGGACAGGACAGCAGCAGAGAAGGCACCAGTTTTCTCTCAAGCGCTCCGTGACTGGAATCTAACAGCCCTGCATCAACCCGAAGTCTATACAAGCCTAGCAGCCTGCCACCTCTTCAAGGACAGCACACGCTTCGGCCCAGCCGCCAGGAACGTCCGAGCTTCGCAGGTTGCGAAGGCTGATTTGCAAGCGGCACAGGAGGCAAACTTTAGGAGGCCAAATGCCATACTGATACATCCTGTGTCGCAGCCAGCCAGCAAACGAGCTACACAAGACCCGCGGCATCATCGCGCAATCGGGCTTCGCGTTCGAGTCCTGGCCAAAAAAGAACAAGTGGAGCCATCTCTCTTTCCAAAACGGTTGGCGTCTGGCTCGTCAGGCCTGTTCCAAGAACTCTCTACTGTTGATCTGTCTGCCCGAAAGTCTGCATATGAATCGCAATCTTCGATACTTTAGTGTACGAAGGGGTGTACGCCGACCGCAGATCAGTACCCGCCAGGACAATTTTCGTTGGCTGGCTGTAAGCTGAGTAGTGGCCACCTCGTCAGGAGTTGCGACGTCAGGCTTACGGCAATTGGGACAGCAAACGGCCTTCTGCTACGGAAGTCTGTTGGATTCAGCCCCACCATGCCCGGAAGTGAATCTTCCAGTAGTCTGTACTTCGCAATGTTGACCTGTGAAGTAGTGCCATGGGCCTGGCTCCCAGCACGCTGGTTGCCTCCCTAGATGCTGGAAACATCGAGGAGTGTCCTCAAGCTGCTGGCGCTGGCCCGGCGTAAGCCTCGGACATGGCATCCACGTAAGCCCCGACCTGGACTGGCGTTGCAGAGGGGAAGCTCGTGGTGGAAGACGGAGGTGCAATTCATCGATGTCAGACGGTGGAAAGGACTTCAGTCTGTAAGTGGGATCGAATGTTTGTTCCAGGCATGCGTAAGGACATATTCAAGTGTGGATATATGCATGTGCATGAGAATGTACCTATGCATTTGTTGGCAACCGTATACACATACCTATACATATGCATACAGTATGTCAGCTACATAAGCAACATCTACATACACACACAAATGCATGTAGAAAGGTGTTTGTGTGCACGCGCTTCTTGCTAGTTGCTTGTTTATCAAACTGTATGTACAGTTTATTTTGCATGTAAGATATTTGTCTGTAGTTGGACAATGCTAGACATACATACATGCACATGAACTTCTTCATACATGTATCTCCCAATGTTTGTGTGTGCGCATGTACATCCGAAGGTAACAGTATAAAGATGTACATGCATGTTCATGTTGTATACACATAGACGGATAGATCATTGAACACATGACAGACACATAGATGGATAGATCATTGAACACATGACAGATGGGGCAGCACATTTTCCTAGGTACACGAGGATACATCTTACATGGTTGGTGTATGAAGATTGTTGTGCTTTCCTCCAAGATACAGTTTTAGTCGCCTTGATCAGCTCCAGACTTCCGCGCAGCTGTAAGCCGCTGGCAGCATCCTCAATAAATGCGGCTGGAAGAGTGGCAGCCATGCCTGGCACGAGAATTTTCTGCCGCCCTGACTAACTATCGCACCTCCATTGGAGATTACACTTTTCCTCATGCCTTGGCAATACTAGCTGATACAGTGCTCAGGGCATTTTCTCTGCTTACTACACTATCCCAGTGCGTGTTTTGCACTGATTGCTGCCTCTCTCCCCGAACCCGAGAATTGCACATGCAGCTGACAACAACGACGATGCCACAATGACGATGACGAGACTATAATTAAATGCTTCCAGTCGACTCGGGCTGTGCCGTATCTGAGCACTTCTGTACCACTGTCGCTGTCAATAGTGTTGCTATGATTAAAATCACGGCGATGGCTCTTGCTGAGGCTCTCACCGTACATGCCGGCAGTTTTTTTGAACTTGTCCGGATCTCCTCGAGCAGCTTGCACCGCTTGCACTGCAGCCTCTCACCGAGACGCTTTCCGGTGTCAAGCGAGACTGTCTGCAACTTGCCTCAAGATCAATAAGAAACTGCTTGGCATTCTTGGCGGTGAGCAGGGTCCTAAACAATCAACATGGTCGTCAAGCACGGGTTGAGAGCGTCAAATATGAGGTCATCACACTGCAAGGTGAACGCATGCTGGATTCTGGCCTGCGGTTGTGAAGGTGCTGGATTGTAGCCGCTGATAACAGGATGAATACCAAGGCAACGGCAAGTGGCCAGCTCCCAGCCAGATTGCCTTGAGCTGCGCTGTCGCAAGGGTCACAATGACAAGCAGGAAACAAGCAAACTGCTTGGGCTAGGTGCTGTTTCAAGCAGTCAGCCACAGCATAGCAGCTGAAGCCTTAGCAGTGGCTCGTGTCCCTGGGAGGACTTCTCGGTCCTAAGCCTAAGCTCTGCTCGTGGCCTGCGCCTGGGTCCGTGTCGAAGGCCACTACGCACACCTGGAGCGAGACACTCGATGATCTCAGCCTGCAGGCTGAACTTTCCGCCTCAGCTCGCCCCACCACGTGGATCCCCTCAATCTTCTTGATACCTGTCCGGGACGCAATGAGGATGAGGCGTCGCATCGCGACACGTCTCCAGAATCCGAGCCTTCTGCGATCTGCCTTGCAGCACCAACGATTTGCCGGGTGGTCTCGACGTAGCCTTCAACACCGAACCTGAGGAAGGGCGAAGGGCTGTCGTGTCCAGGCAGCAACTTTTTTTTGGGTGGTGCCTGCACATCGCAGCCCACGTGGCGGCGACGGGGCCACCAGGTCGTGAGCCTGTCCTTGGCTGCTGCGGCATTCACCTCTGCTCTTCGGCCTGCGAAGCTAAGCTTCAAGCATGGTGGGTGTGGCATAGATACCTCCGGACCAGTCGGTCAAGTAGCAGTACATGTGATGACCTGGGCGGATGACACGCTTCATCTCGCGGATGCTTCACCACTCGGCACTACCCTGGAGGCTCCATGATACATTCAAGGAAGTTTGGTCGGCTTAGGAATTGCAGCACGCATGCTGCTCTGCAAAGTTTCGCCGGGAGCACGACGCAGTTCCCGGTTCGAAAACATCACCTCACAGCACCGGTCACGGAGATCCACAGACGTTCTCTTGCCGTGGGAGAGTCTGAGGCTTCTGCCACTGAGCTGCCCTTTGGAGCGAAGCCGTACTTGTGAGGATCACAAGAGATTGAGGTGACCTTGAGATCGGCACAGCAAAAGCGGATCACGTAGACCCAGACGATGCATGGCAGTTCCCGGCTCCGAGCCCCGGGAACTTTGAAGTCGAAAGGCGGAAGGGGGTAGCCGGCCTGAGCTCCACAAGCTCCGGCTCGGGAGACAACAGAGAGCTCCCAGCCTTCTCCATGAATGGAACGAGGAAGCCCCCCAAGCAACCTTAAGCTTAAGATAGCTGAAGCGAGTGGCTGAGGCTCCGAAGCCGCCTGTCCGAATGCAGCAGGGTTGCAGTCCACGTGGAGCCCAACATTGTGCTTCTTGGCGATCTGAAATGCGTGCACCAGTTTGAAAGGAAGCGAATCTCGCAGCGCGCCTTGCCCATGCTTTCGATCGGATCCACCGTGCCATGCGCGTATTGGCAACAAGAGCCTGCAAAGATCGGACGAGCTTTGCCGCAAGAGGCCACGTGGGGCACGCGCTATCACGAGCTGGTGAGCGGCCTACAATGGCAACGGTGTTGCCATCGATGAGCTGCTCAAGGTGCTTCAGATCCACAGCCATGTCTTTGTCGGTTCTGGCCTTCTTCACCTAAGAATGTTGGAGCGGTGAGATGCCTTCCGACGGGTGGAACTGCTCAACCCTTGTTTGGGAGCCGGACAAAGATCTTGAAATACTTGCCTGCCTCCCGGGGGCTGCAACAATCTGCTCATGCTCCAGACTGACGGCAATCCACGGCGACCACGATGCAAAAAAGCAGTTTGATGTTGCGAACAAAATTACCTCATGTCAACGGGTGCACGACAGGACTCCATAGCCTTGTCAAAAGCGGCATGTGCTGTGTTGCAGACGACAATGTTTGGCTCCTGCAGAAGATGTCAAGCAATATTCCTTGAAACTGTTCCGCTCCGCATCCGGCGCACCCGAATGCCCTTTTCGGCAGCTCCCCAGTCACGATGTGCTTTCATAGCCATCAGGATGCTCCTTAAGCTAGGACAAGGCTCGGACAAACTAACTCAAATTGACATGAGAAGAAAAGTGCATGCTAAAAGCATGAGAAGCCGGCTCGGTCCCTCCAGTTGTGAAAGCTCCGCCTTCGGGTCGCAGGACTTGCATTTCCGAATCGAACTCGAAGATTGATGGAAGCGGCGCTATTGCGACAGGGCCACAAGCATCTTCGCCGCCATTGTACAAGTTTATGACCATCCGCACAACCTGAAGACACAGTGCTTCCACAACGGCTTGCATTAGCGAGTTGCGACGTCTTGGCCGGCACCTCGGCGTCCATCTGCCGCAAGGACCTGGCACGCAGGTGAGGTGCGGCCACACGCTGAGCTCGGACCGCTTTCGAGGAACGCTGTGGCGGCTTTGCGGATGCAAGTCTGGATGCAAGGGGTTGCAGAATGCCCACTTGGAAAACACCTTTCCAATAAAGTCGTAATGCCTCGCAGCAAGGCGGCGGCTTGCGGCGGGCTCGCGTTGCTGATGACCAAGCCCCGGACTCCTGCCCGCCGTGGTACACGGCACCCGTGATCTTTCCAGAGGTCCAGCGTGTGGTGTCCTGCACCGTCGCACAGCTGTCGACATCGCCTCCGAGCCCTGTGATCAGAGTCATCTCGCTGACTGAGGCCCCAACCATCTGCTTGCGCTGATCGATTAACTTCAGAATCTCCTGAAAACCCACAGGCAGTACTCCACTCTCCGCACCTCTCCGAATCCCAAGTTGTGCCTGATCCGGGATACCTTTGCCGGGCAGGTGTGTTCGCGGGTCCGTGAGATCCTGCGAGAGAACCGTCTCTGAACCAAACTCCGGCTCGTCTTCTTCTTCTTTTTCTGTCGGGGCCCACCTTCGAGAAGGCGGCCCTCATGTCGGTTTGCGTCTTCAGCATCTCTTTCTGGAGCTTCGCCTGAACCTCACATGACATCGCAGCCACAAGCTCCTCCTCTTCGGGCTGAGGAGCTTGCCATCGGGAGCTTCTTCAGGTAAGGCATCACAAGGTCTCAGAGCGACATAGATCGACTGAGGAACTTCACCTTGGCCCTCTGGGCTCCAAACCCAAGAAGAACGCCTTCAAGCCTTCGTGCCTGCGCAGGACACCGAGGGGTGTGTCAAAACAACTCACTGGCAACAGGTGTTGCACACGCCGAAGGCGGGATTTCTTAGCTTCAGGGCAGAACACACAACAAGGAGCGTATGTATCGTCACTTCGTTTTTTCAGGCTGCAGTGCTTGTGCCAATTCAGGTCCAATGTGACTGCTTCTAGGCGTTGTCGGGGTGGCCGTCATTGATGGAGGTCATTTACATGCGGTTGTCGTGTCAATGGTTGCCTACCGATGCCTACAGTACATGCCAAAATTTCACTGGCATATCTGGGACAGCTGCTTCCATGTCTTGCATCAGCTGACCTCATAGCACTCTGGACTGTCGCGCTGCCTCATGATCCATCTGAGCCGCGCCAAGAGCTTCACCTGGCATCGGATTCCCTGTGCCTGACTCTGCGACTTCTTCCCATCCGCAACTGCGGCAGCGCCACGGCAAGCGCCAACAGCGCACTTCTGCGAAGGATCTCATACGGCCTCGGCGCGTGGCATGGCTTTCAGGGCCCATGGCAAGCTTCTGCGTTTGGAGCGTGGCTCCATGCCACGGAACCATTGGTTCAAGGCCTTGCAAGGGATGCGGTGATGAACGGTGACTCCACTTGAACGGCCCTTCATCCCACTCAGCTCCTCACGTTCCTCAACGGGCGCTCCAAGGTCAAGATCATGATCGCGAAACCCGCTTGCTTTGGAGGCTTAGCTTCAAGGAGAGTCATCAAAGTCGGTGGGACCGACACGGCCAGGACTGACAGATGCTTTCTTCAAGACCTGTCGGATGCCACAGAAGCTTCAGACCTTCGCAAACAGGATGTCTTGTTTTGATTTGGCATCAAGCGACTCTGGTCAGCTGTGGGCCCAAACGTGGCATGAGCCGGAAGCTGGCAATTAACAGACCCAAAACACGCCAGAGGTAAGTGAAAGGTACACATATGAAGAGAGGGCCTCCACATCCCTATGTACCGGTCTCCATCTCCATGAGCAAAACTGCCCATACCGGTCCTTCAGAGCAGTCCAGAGAACTGCAGAAGGCTTCTGAGCAAAGCAGAGTTTCAAGTTTCTGTTCTCTCAGTGCATGACACCACGTTGTTTTTCCACTCACCGATGTACTCTGCGCCTTTCATGCTGTAAACCACTCTGGAGCACGGCAGCCGGAGTGAATAGCAATCAAGCCAGTTGCACCATCCGGCCAAGTCTGTTTGCCAAGGCCATCTCGAGCATTTCCTAGCCACTGCCTTGCAGTTAGAGCCGGTGAGGCGACGAATAGCGCAGCACTGATCAATACCGGCACGCCGTCTGAGCGAGGCGCCCATCGTACACAGCACCCGTCTTGAATACATGCCTCTTCCGGGCACGCCTCAGTCAACACACACTACTGTTTACCTGCACTCGAGGCCCAGCAAAAAGGGTCGCTGGACTTCTGACGGCGCTTTGGAGCTTGGAATTCTCTACTACAGTACAAGCAGCGGGGTTCACAACAGGAGTTGGTGCAATGCTGCACAGACTATGAACTACGGCACTTGTGGCCTAGATTGTTACGATTTGATTGGGCCAGATCATAGGTCTTAAGAATGTTTTGAGTGTGTTGGAATGCTGTTGGGGGATACTTTGCGTGCTCGATTTTTGGAATGAGTTGTCGGGATTATGGAAAGGATTCTGGCAAGGATGACGACAGGGAAGTTGAACATCGCAGTGCCCACACAACTCGGACTTGTGGAGATCGCTTGAGAAATTTAGCTATGCAGGCTTATGTACCATACGTGCATTCTGGGTATCACTGTGCCGACACGGGACTGAACGTCGAAAGGATAGGACTACACGCATGTATATCCGCCGACCGCTGGGCGCCAGGAGCTCGGGAGCACGCGACGGCTGATTGTACATGATTGTACCTTGTGCCTGTTTGGTCAGCGTTTGCCCCCACCGCTGCCACCTGGTCGCCCAAAGGCCTCATCTGTTCGCTTTCAAAACAGCCACTCGGCTCATCCAGGCCCGAGACCCCATCCGCCCCCACCGCTGCCAGCAGGTCGGGTTGTAGAGTTTGGGGACTGGGTGCAGGGTTTAAGTTTTAGGGTTTGGGGTCTGGGGCTAACGGCTTGGCTTGCTGGCGTGCACCTAGGTTATTACACATCGACAGCCCAGAAATCCCAAACCACGTCTTTGGACGAATATCCCTTCAAGCATGGAAGGCTTGACTGAGTCCTAAGCCCTAAGCCCTAAGCCATCCATGAAACAGGTAGATTCCACTGCAAAAAGGTTGTCGGCCTCTGATAGCATCGCGGTTGACACGCCTACAGCCCAAGTCCGAGGAGCTGTAGGGTTTAGGGTCTAGTTTAGGGTTCAGGGCTTGGGCTTAAGGTGTATATGGGGATCAGGGCTTAGGGTTTACTCTAGGGTTTAATGTTAGAGTTCAACAGGTTTGAACCAAAGCACATTCATGGGTGAATCCTGAACCCTACACCCTAGACCCTCACAGGCCTTAGGGTTTTGGGTTAGCTTACAGTAGAAGCCAGAAAGTTGGAACATCATTGGCTTCTACTGTAGGTTTAGTTTAAGGATTAGTGTTTAGAGCTTAGTGTCTGAACCAAAAGACACTCAACGTTCACGCAAAGACATAACACACAGCACCAATTAGAACAGCCCTAAACCCCGGAGCCCTGAGACACCCCACGGCGAGAGGCAGACAAACAGGATCAATTTCACAAATTTGCTGCACTTACGGCAGGCAGACCACTGGCTTCAATATGCAGGCCCCATGCCGTTTTGACATCTTAAAATGCGACGACGAAAAAGCTGAAGCTGGGACGTGTGGTCTGCAAAGAAATCTGCGGTGTTTCTGTCCTTGCCTTCTTTGGCGAACAGATGTGGGTATTGCATGAACCATTTCATGCCAGAACGAGCGCCTGGACCCAGAATGCCAAAGCTTCGATCCTGAGAGATAGGATAGGTCCGGAAACGCAGGCGAAACAGCTGCCAGTGAGCTGATGCCATGAACGACCAAAACGAAGGTAACGAAGAATGTGGTCGATGATGTCCTTCTTGTCATTCCACACGGATCCGATCTTCATGACTCAGGACGTGGGCATGTGGGCTAACAGAAAACGCTTGGCCTGGGAAGGACCCAGCCAAAGTCTGAGCAAGCCCTCGTCCCGCACACGCTGCGTCGGAGGTTGACCCAGCCGGATGCTGCGCCACTCCACGCAGGACCCGATCTAGCTTGACGCGAGGCCCAAGCACGCAGCGGAGAAGGGCAGCCGAGGAAGAGCCAAGGGCTTGAGCGAAGGTCACCGACCCCATGAAAATCTCGAGGTAGAGGTTCTCCGTGTCCATGTCATGGTCCGGCCCGGCACCGGGCCGGTCCTCGTGCCACCTCGCTGCGTCTTGGGCCGTCTGAGATAACGACTGTTTGCCGGAACCGGTGCAGCAGCAGGCGGCAAAACCAGGAGAGCAAAATGTTCGTTCGGAAACAGTGGTTTATCGGTTGGGGCTTCTTGCTTGGGCGCCTCCGGTTGCTTCCTTTTCTGTCTAGCTGCGTCTCTGTCGTCCCTTCACTTCTTGTAATAAGCTGCTGCCTGGTCTTGGCTCCGTTTCTGCACGTCTTTCATGAGCGCCGAGTGTTCCACACTATTGGCATCCAATTGTTCGTGCGCGATGCATTGCATGTAATATTGGAGCTGGGATGGCCAATAATTTCTCACCCTTCCAAACTTGAAGTCGCTGAACCTGCACTCTCTGGCTGCTTGACATATGCGATTGCTATGGCACATGTCGAATTGGGGGTACATGCTGCTCAGCTCCACACACGACAGGCAGGAACAACCAGTGACCGACGTCGGCACATCTTGGAAAGGCAGGTGCGGCAGGTAAGGGTCATCACAAGAGGAAGACGAGAGCGAACCAGGGAGGTCTGCCCCCAGATCCAAAACGGTTCTGGCCAGCAGAATGCACAAAGGAATGTCAACTTGGAAGGTCTTTGCAGATTTGATGCGAGGAACTCTCACGACAGCAAAGAGGCGACAGGAGAAGAAAAAAGGCGCTGGTATGAGCCAGAGGGCTTGGAAGAGACAGCAATAAGAAACAAAACGCGAATGTTTTGTCACAGGCTCCTCCGTTCGTTAACTTTTGAGGGCATGATAATTATGATGTCCCAGCTGCGGCTCCTATTTTGGATCATGGAGCGCCTAGTACCTAGGGGTTGTAAACATGGTAACCATGTTTATAGTTACCTAGACCATCTTAGAGCCATACAGCTTTACATATTTAATCATGATCCTCCACATATTAGCAAAAACCATACCCTCTTGAACGATAAACCGGGATGGGACCTGAGGGAGCTGGAGGTCGACCTGCAGGTTCGGGGACCGTGCTCTCGGGCGATGGTATGTAGCACCCCAAAAACAAGCTGACAAACTGCGGGAAGGCGCGAGGTGCGAAGCACGCGATGCAGGCACCCAGCCGTGCCAAACAAAAAGAAGAAAAACTTTTCCAACCGTGCCCACCACCCCCCGAACAGATTGATATACGGTTTACCTTTCTCGGGGTCGCCTGCACTCCGGGCAATTTCCCTTCGGTATCCCGCCTTAGGCAGGCTTAGCTTGCAAGCCCTGCTTTAGCATAAGCGTCCTGCTTCATCGAACCCTCGTTTCTCGATTGGACCGCGTGGGACCTAGTTTCATTCCCCCGCGGTATGGTGGGCTTGCGGCACCCATAAACGACCCCGGCGAGCATCATGAGCACCTGGCGCCCCCGCAGCAGCCTATGAGGAGCAGGGCGATGCTGTGGGTGTTTTGGAGTTGGCGTTGCTATCGCAAAAGGGGCGCGCATCATCAGCATCAGCACGGCCCTGGGAACACGGAGGGGAGGGGAGGAGGGACCCCCCTGTCCTTGTTAAGTTCAAGTACACATCGGTTTGTCCGGGCTGCTACCTGCGCTGCCCGCTCGTGGGCGCAGCCCCTACAATATGTATATAACATGATGTAACATCGTAGGATATGCCGAGGTCAATCTACTCCGACCATGTGCTTGATGTGCAGAAGCAGCTCTCGAACCTCGGACCATCAGCAGACTAGGACACAGGCACGAGCGGTCCACCTCCAAAGTGCTGAAGGCTCTGTAGCTCTCCAGCCTCCGGATAAGTGGCTCACTTTCCAGAAGTTTATGGTCCCATAGCTTTGAGCCTCTTTCAAGAAGTAGTTCGCAGCCAAGGATTCGGACGTACCATCATCAGCCTAAGCATGATGTTACCAAGGCGGATCATTGGAACCCATTTCCTGTTCGCTTGCATCTAGCATTCAGCCCTCCGCGGCCACCGGTGTGTCCCCGGCATCCGAGCCTCAGTGTCTGAAAGTGGCATGACAACTTGCAGTTCATGTCTGAGAGATGTGCCGCGAAGGTCTTTGGCTTCGGATAGACCTTGGGCAACAACAATGCGCCAGCAGAATGCACAGAGCTGTGATGGCTTCGCCCTCGGGCACAAGGCTGGATGCCACCGCCTGCCTTGGCTGTGAAGGCGAGCATTTCAAGGGAGGTCCCTAGTCAGAAAAGGGTGTCAAGGGCCCGAGCCCGGTCTTCTGATCGCCGTCCTTCAGTCGGACAGAGCTGGGAGCCGCATCCTGGCAGAGGCGCCAGGAGGCGTGGACTGCGTGAGCACTCGAATGGCTCAGAGGCTCACGGCTCCATCGAAGCCGTGGTTCAGAGGCTCCACCTGAACCAAGGCCAAAGCTCTACTGCCACAGGCCGGTCCACACTGTGCAATCCTGAGGAGCCCCGGAGGTGTCGTACTGCTCTTTTCGGGACCGTGGTCTCATCTCCGAATGCTGCACCGCGCTTCCTCAGCATTGACTTCGCAAAGCTCCCGAGCCAAAGCATCCTCAGCAGCACTTGATGCCAACCTCCGAGGCCGCAGAAGGAATCAGCATGACAAACAGATGCCTCAAGCAGCAAACTATTCAAACAGAACTTGAGGTCACAGACTTTGCTCCCCGAGCTTTTCTGAGCTTCTCGCTCCCATGCTTCAGGGGGTGCACTATCACGCGATTCACGTTTCCACTTGGGCTTCTTCTGTCTTCCGTCTGGGCTAAAAGTCTTGTTAGGCTGCATGCACCACTGACGGGCTGTGTCTCTCGGCAGTGTGCCGGTGAGGTCTTTCCTCGCGATGCAAGTGCTAGGGTCAGAGAGCACAAAAGAACAGCTGTCGGGTCGAGTGCGAATCAATGCTCTCCACGGGCACAGGAACTTTCAACATGTCTGGAGCATCGCATGCCGGAGATTCACGCGCATCTGCCCGGAAGAATTGCTACAGCTACAACATCTCATCAAAGAAACTACTTTTCCTCCAAGCAACTTGTCCAATGAGTAACTTTGCTCATATCTATGAATCCTACGAAACGTTGGAACGTTGAGCCCAGCATTTCCACGCACAACTGCGGGGCTTGGGTCCGTAAACCGGACGCGTAACTGAAGCCCGTTTCAGTCAGCCCTGGGTCTCATTCCCCGAACTCTTTGAGTCCCTGCCTCAGGCCAGGCCAAAGCTGAAAGCCGAGGCCGAAAGCACGAAAGCATGGCGGACGTCTGAGCCAGCAGCCCTCTCCTCTCTGGCCAAACCAAGCCTGTCCGCCGTTGCTTGCAGAGCGATGGGTCACATTTCAAGCGGCGGTCCTCCAGCTCCATGAGACCTGGAAGCGCTCCCAAGCAGTCTCTTCGAAGCTTCTGCAAGCTCCGAGGCTCTCGCGTGCTCGCTCCTCGCGTTCGGTCTCCTCCAGCTCCGCAATGCGGGCTGCATCCTGGGAACACTCTCAGTCTCGACCCAACTTTCTCATCGAGGGTTCGGGTTCCCTCGCTGAGAGCCCCCAACCCACGCAAGTTGCGCTCGAGTTCGCTCTGCTTCGGCCTCAGATGCGAAATCCAAGGCTGTCGGATGAGCGTTGACTCTGGAATCGCTGTGACCTAAGAAGATGCCCCGGGTTCTTCCACCGGCACAGCTACTAGCAAGACTCACCTTCCACCAAAGGTCGTGCTTGTGGTTGCAGCAAGAATTTTTTGCATGGCTCGTTCATTCTCTTGCTGTGCACCGTCACTTGACTCAGCAATCAAGGCTCGTTTGGTACGCAAGCGTGTCTGCTCTGATTCCTAAACGAACCTTCCAGGATCCTTAAATTCTATACAGCGCAGGCTAAGCGGAGATACTACTGGAGCACTGCTGAGGTGGCTAACATTCGTCCCGACGAGCTCTCTTGTTGTTACAGTATGGACGTAGTTCTTTCTTGGTATGATGCATGGTGTCACCCTGACCACTCTCAAGCATGCAGTCGTAACCACCTGCACAACACTGCACATCAGCAAACAGCAGGCAGGGAGGCGGACCAGAGCCAGCTCTGCCTGCAGACGGCTGCTTGCGAAGCTTAGCTGTGGATGCATGCATTGATGATGCATTGATGCCCTGCTGGTTTGTCTTCCATAGTCTTATCCCGCATCATACGGTCTGCAGTTGGGCAGTGTGACTGCTCTTGTTATCCATGGCTAGTTCCAACTTACTTAGACTTGTAGCATATACCAAGAAACCTAAGTAGCACAAGCAACTGTTCTAGATTAGCTTATGTACGTGCAACATGTGTCAGATGCCGGCATCTAGCCGCGTAAGCTACTGTACATCGTTTATGTGCAGACAGTGTGATGTACGACGGCATGCGTACAATGTGGCCCAGTATGACTGTACAGCTGCGGCAAAAAAAGGACACATTCAATGACATCATGCAAGGCGCCTCCGCTTCATCGACTTTCTTCTGTTCTTCCGATATGGCGGTGGCCTTAAGGGATCCACGCTCACTCTGCTGCAGGCAGAAAAGGCTTGGTCACTTAGGGTCCCGCTACGAGCGATGCCTGCCCGGTTCTGTTTGAAAGCGTAGCAAAACTTTCATGCTGCTCAAAGCGGCCTCAGATGGAATGAGGCAAAGGCCCACGACGATGGCCACCGTAATGACCTGACATCCGCGTGCAGATACAGGAGCCACGTCCCACCTGAAAACCGCACATCCCAAGGCTCCATCGAGACGTCCGGCAGCCCTCGGACGCAAAGCGGCTGCTCTCCGGCTCTCAGCTCCCCACTCGGCTCGATATCTGGTAAGATGCCCACGTCATGGGCTCAATGTCTCCGAACCCGACCGTAGACAGCGCAATCACGCTGAAGTAGAAAGATGAGAAGATGTCTGCAAACCTTCCAGTGGGCTGTGCACCCAGACTGCGTACTTGCGGCTGCTGCGATGCCAGCGACTGCTTCCGACACCAGACAGGACACCCTGCAAGGGCAAGGTAAGAAGCAGACTGCGGATTCACCGCATGCTCAGCTTCGTAGCACAACCTGTGAAGTCTGAGCAGAGCAGACTTGCGGTTGGGCTCAGTGCGACCGACACCCCACCCGGCAGTGACGAAGATCAGTGTAAAGACCACGCCGAAGGTCCGGAAAACCTCTGGCTCCAGGGATCTAAGAATACCAGGAAGGTACGAGATGCGGGTCTTCCGTGGCCTGCAACTGGTAGGGCTTGACTCCTCGGAGGCCATCCTCGTAAGGCTTCGCCTGCTGCCGTGAAGCTTTCGGAAACGAGCTAGGAATGTTCCCATGCCTGATCGGGTCCGATCAGGATCTGTAGGAAGCTCCGAAAAGCCTGAAAACGGCGATCATTCACATCGGTCTTATTTGCATTTCGATTGTTGTTCCATGGAAATCGCAACGGAGCATGACGACGTGGACTAACACTGCACCTTCGGCCGGAAGAAGCCTTAGAAGCCAAGCGCTCGGGTTCAGCCATCTGCTAGCATGCAGGCATGCCATAGCTCTCAGCTGCTCCAACTCCAGTCAAGGAACGATAGATCCTCAGGACGCGAATCAGCTTCAGGAAGTTGAGTTCCATCGAGCTGATGGAGGGAACCTCAGTGTCCCCCAGAGGCCGAGACAAGCGCGCCGCGGCATTGCGAGCAACATGCTTCTGAGTCCTCGACCCAAGGCCGAAGCAAAAAGGGCAGAACACCAATCAGGTCAACTATCCTTGGACATTTGCTATTTTCAAGTTGCACGTGAGAGCTGCACCGAATATCCCAGATCGAGAAACATCAACGGGTTCAACAGGTACTGCCAGCTCATACCGCGACACCACCATCCTTTGCAGCCCAAGAAGATACAGAATCTATGCACAATGCCACTTGAAAACAGTTGAAAGCGAGAGCGTCAGCTGAGGGCGTCTCGAGCCATGTAGTCCAGGAAAAACAAGGCATTGATCGAAGACGCCGCCCTCGGGCTTGCCGCATTTCGACAAAGTGAAGCCAGAAAAGAGCTGTGGGCACGACGCGGCCAAGACTCGGATCGTACCCTCCGTGACTCCGGGCCTTTCAGAGACAAGCACTCGTAATCAATTCTTCCTTCTGGCTAGCTTGGAAGATGGCGACCGCGCCACCACATAAATGGCGCACGCCAAGCCTGATTGCCAAAAGTCGTGGGTAAGCGTAAATACCAGTCAGCTCAGCGTCCGGGCCCACGGCCGGCAAGAAGTGCATTGGAGATTTCTGACAGAGGTGCGTGCTGCAAACGATCGATTTCCGCCTGGTCGGCCAGCAAAAAGTGTTCTGAGCATAGGCGTCCCAATTACAAGGCTCTTCTCACAGGCAGCACATCCAAGGCACCAACGGCATAAGGCAAAGGCTTGAAGTTCTCTTCATTTGCCAGCCTGGTGCTCATCTTGTCAGCATCGAGCTTTTCATGTTGGTAGCTATCTCACCGGAGACACGTTTGACTACTGCATGACCGTGTGTTCCATACATCAGTGGCCTCAGGTACTCTTCATTCCAACTGTCCTCGAGCTCCACCTGTGGAGCAAACAAAACAGCTGAGCACAAGCTGAGCACAGACGCCTTCTGCCTCGGATAGTTTCAGACAAATGCAATCAAGCCTCGTCTGTTTGTTCGGAGTCCACTCTAGTTTCCGAGGACGATGATGTGGCGGGCGCTGGCGGTGGTGTCTCAGCTTCGATCAGGAAGCCCACGCATGTAGATGCCAAAGCATCCGTCAGGGACCCATCGCGGCCCAGCGAAGAGCTCTCCAGGCAAGAGATCCCCACGCCCTGGTCGGCAAGCTCCTTGCCCAAGCCATCCTCAAAGAACGTATGAACCCAAGCACGACCCACCGGACTAGTGACTAGTGACTAGTGATCAGGCATTCTGCGTGGCCCCGAAGCCACAGGCAGTGTTGCCAAGCTTTGCATGTTGCAGACCAAGCATCTGCTAGGGATCGCACAAAGGCCATCGAACCTGCGAAGGCACAGGCGCCTGCAATGCCCGGAGTTGATCCTGCCGGCGCCCCCACGAGAAGTATCCGACCACGCTTCGCCTGCACCATGTCGGAAGCAAAGAGCCGGCAGAGGGCTGCGGTTGCCCCAACGTTCTGAGCGAGCATACGGTCCAGCTTCTCCACACTTTGGCTCAGAAACGGGCCGGTGTAAGAGAATTGATCTGAGCAAAGCATCAACATGCAGACATCCAAGTCTTTCAGCTTCTCGTAGAGGTCTGATGCCCCTTCCGAAGGGTCAGCGAGGCTGCTTGGTACCCTGAGGATGCGATCCGAAGTACTGCTCCCTACGATCTGCGCAAGGTCCAGGTTCTGAAGCGCTGACTCCTCGTCGGTGAGTACAAGGCCAAAGCCCGCCTGTTGTTTGCAAATGCCGCATTAAAATGACATAGTCACACAGTGCCCTTGGTTTAGACTGCCGGCTTGAACTGATTAGGTTCAAGTTCCTCGCCAGCGTGTCCCCTTCGCAACCGAAAGTCAACTTGCTTTCATGAGGCTTGGAGATCACTCTAAGTTTCGAGAGCAGGGCCGAGGGTGGTCTTATGAAAATTCTTATCATGTTATGTTCGATGCGGGAGCTCTTGAAACTTAGCCGTATCTAGCAGTGCCTCCTCGCAGCGGCGTGCTGATGCAGACCGCAATAATCTGCTGCAGATCGATTCAAACAATACTGCAGTGTTGGCTACCATGACTTTCGAAGTGTCCCTGAATGCCTTGCTTCATGCACGGTGTGAACCTTTTCACCACACAACACAGATGCAGAGCTCATGAGAAAGAGCCGTGTCACAGCAACACATGTACAGTGCAGTGCACCAAGCCCCTGCAGCCGGTCTCAGTCATGTGTGGCGGTAAGATAGTGAGTCAGCCGGGGCCACTCCGGCCAGACCGCTGCAGGGCGTGGTAAATTAACAACAATCTGAGCCCCAAATCCCAAAGCTGACTCCAGCCTCCGCGCAGGCTGTCGCAAGTTTTTGGCCCAGACCCGACGCGGCACCCGTGACCAGCGCCCAGGAGTCGCAGGGCAACGGAAGCGGAGACAGGTCGCGGTTGTGTCTGTGAGCACGGCAGCGAACGTGCGCTCCGAGTCCAAGCGCTACACCGGTCGAAAGGGACCACTTTGGGTTGCCCGCACGGTTGGGGCTCGGACTCGGTCGACTCGGTCGGCTGGCCTGGGAAGGGGAAGCCGGGCTCCAAGTCGGCCACGCCGGACAAGGAGTCCGCTGCCCCCACATCAGCTCAGTCGCCAGTGGCTTTGAGGGGTTCATTCGGGGATGCAGTGGCACAGCCTTAATGTTTTGGGCAATGTCAAAGGCTCAAGAGTGATGTGCTATCATGGAAACCCAACAGCTTGCAGGCTGCGAGCCTAAGAGAGTCGCAGCAAGAAGGCTGGATCCAAAAGCATCACTACAGGGGAACATGAAGCTTCAGCGTGGGCCAGACCTTTTCTGATCGCGCAGCGGGCAAACGATCTACTGCGCAAATAGGAAAGAGGAGTGAGCGGCTGCATCAACAAGCGGCGGTGTCCAATCCCACCTCGGGTCGACAACACGCTTCGGCAAAACAAACTCACATCACACATCACTTGTGGTAGGTGTGCTCGCGCCAGGTGGGTTGTGGCAGATGTGCTCGCGACAGGTGGGCAAGTTGGACAACTAGCTGTTCCGGCACTCAGAAAAGACTCTCAAACTTTGCCGCCACACTACCAGTGGAGAAAGTTCTTCCGGGCAGGAGCGACAAGTCTCAAACGGCGGCCTTGACCCGACAATTCAAACAAGGGACCAGCTTTTCAAAGGTGATGCCTGCTGGCTCTGAACAAAAGACGGGCACAGCTGCCAGACTGCTGCAGCTAAACTCGAATGTCTTCCTCTTGAAGTCTTTGGAACAGACCGGAGCAAAACTTCTGAGAACCGCTCTTGTCCACCAGTCGACAACTTGTTTCGGAAACCCACGCACGTGCTCACTCAAATGCTTGGCTTTTTTGAGATTCGTTGTGCTTTCGAGTTTTGTTCTTGGCTCGAAGTCTGGGGGGGTCTGGGGCTGCGGCGACCGCGCCTCCCACTCCTGCCACGGCGATGTGATCGCAGGCAAACACACGAAAGAAAAGTGGCACAGGGCCTCGGCAGCTGAGGATGTCCGGAGCACTGCGACAACAGCCGGCCTGCATTCTCTTGGAAACAGTGGAAGACAACTCGCATTTGCTCGAAAAAAGCTCAGAAACCCACTTACCCCTCTCGGGCTGTGCCGATCCGGGAGGCCGATACCCTCGGTACGCAGACGTATATCTGTTTGCGTACAAAGTTGCATCTGATGTGCGTTCAGTAGGGGCGGCACCCCGGACCTGGCGATATCTTGGGCCATACTGAATTCCACCAGCCTGAAGCTCGCCGACAAGCTGCTGTGCTGCTATGATGTAGCAAGGTGTTTCACATTTCAATCAGCAGCTCAGAGCCCATCCCCGACACTGCTGTACATCGGCTTGTGGCCAATCTCCACCATCCTGGGAAGACTTTGGATTCTATTCACGCCCACGTGTCATGGTGGTGAACTTTGGGGCTCGTACACTAGCTGCGGATCCTTTGTTGCAGATCCCTGACCTCCCAAACAAGGGACGGACCAGGCTGGTCACAACACCCCAGGACGCGAACAAAAAAAGCATTGTGGCCCGTGTCTTGAGCCGCTGGCCTTCGGAGTTTTGTCCGGCCAGGAGCATCGCAGGAGCCTTGCACTCAGCATCAGACCACGTGCCACGGCACTGCAATGAAAGGCAGCGGCGAGCTCTTCTGGCATCCAAGACCTCCAAAGGGAAGTGCAGCTTCGCAAGTTCAACACCCTGCTTTGACGGGCTCTGCACTGCATGCTAAGCTCGAAGCTTCAGAGGCTCCAGGACCTGCAAGGGAGAACCAAAGCCCTCGATAGCGTTTTGCATGGTGCTCCCAACACTTCGTGACCGGCCTCTGTCAGGTCTGCAGGCGACAGGAAGGACTCCACCTCCCAGCCAACAACGCCATCGCCCCCCACCGCGAGAGCAGACGGCAGACAAGGAAGTGCCTCTTTGCCATTCTCTCTGAGGCTGCGCAGCACCCTCTGAACTGGGGCAATCTCAGAGGTCTTCTCTGCGTCTCGGACAGCCGATCCTTGGCGAGGACTAAACGTGACCACAAATCCAAAGCTTTGTTCAAACTCGCTCATCCTCGGGGCACCACGCAGCTCTGACAGGATCTCAGTGTGAAGCTCCGAACCTTTGCCCACCCAACTACACAACTGCTAGGGGCAGCTGTTTCTTGAGCAGTCGACGCGGAGGCTCCAAACCCATCCGCCGGTGGAGTCCAGTCAGGAGCCTGAGCGCCTCCGCCTTCCAAGCCAGGGCATGGCAGGGTACGGTTTCCGCTTTGCGGCTTTCCCAGCCTCGGCCCCGAAGTCTCCGTGCCGACGTGCCAGGACGAGCGCTCGCTGCGCATGGGACGCCGCGGCGTCCAAGCTACCGGCAGGTGGTTCAGCCGCGTCTGCACCTGAGCAGCTTGGAATTGCTGTTCAGCCTCGAGATTCAGGTTCCGATCAAACCTGCTTCGTTCTCTCTGCATCTGCTGCGGCTAATATCTCCAACGTCTCCTTTTGCGGTTCACCTGCTACAACTAAACGATGTCAGACTGCATAGTAGTTTGTCAGCATGGTCATCGCCTTGTTGGTAGCCCCGAATCCAGAGCATTTTGGAGCAACTACGGGACTTTTGTTGCGACTCGGGCTATGACTCCTGAACGATCCCAGTCTCCGGGCTAGACATCTGGTGTTGCGGCACAACAAACTGTAAAGCTGGAGCAACCACTGAGGAGACGTCGCTGCAAGTACGAGCATTTCAGAAAAATGAAGAGAAACAAAGTCCTACTTTGCATCTGTCCCTGAGCCTATCTGACCTGTAGGCCACAGCTCAGCGCCACGCTCTCAGCCACAGACTTCGCCGCCAGCAGTGAAACTTGGATCTGGGCCGCCTCTCCTTCCCGACCCAGCGTGCGGAGTCGCCCCAGCACTTGCATGATGTCACGGCATTCAGCGTCATGCGCGGGCTGCATTGCAGAGACCAGGGCAGCGAGGGCGCCAGCCTCTGAGCGACTTCGATCTTTGCGGGCGGAGAACGCCTCCTCCTCGCAAATGCAGCGAACCTCCTCTGCTCGACCCTGCCGAAGCATCGATTCCACGAGACGGTCCAAGGCAGCGGCGTGCAGGGCATTGCACCCGAGCTTGCGGGAGGCTTGCAGGCACTCTTTGGCCGCAGCCTCCGCCAGCTCTGCAGGTGCTTCTTTGATGCCCTCGCGCTCTCGCAACGCTGTATCCATCAGGATCAATGACCGCGGCTTATTGGCTGATGGCAAAGAAGACAACCAGGCACTGGCGGACAGAAGCCACCCAATGGCTTCGGCTCTGGCTTTCTCCGTCTCGGATGCGACTTGCTGGACTTGCTGGGCGGCCGCAATCGCCTCGGTGAAGTTGCCAGCTTGACGCTGGCTGATGGAAACGATGCCTGTTGCCACGATCCGCAGCTCAGGCTGTGGGAGGTTCCCCTGGATTTCGAGCATCCGCGTGGCGAACTCCAGGGCTTGGTCTGGCCGTTGCCTTGCCAACGCTGCACGGGCTTGTACTTGAAGCATGCGTGCCTGCACCGGGACCGATGTCAGATGCTGAGGCGGTTTGCCAGTGTCTACAGCCTGGCCTCAAGCTGCAAATCTGAAGCTGCTGCTTCGCGGGCCTGAAGACTCACAGGCACTAGCTTCGAGAACGCGCCGCCACAGCGCCGGATACCTTGTTCAAGGCTTCCTCAAAGCGGGTTCCCGGTCCCCTAGTGGATAAGGTCGCCTCTGGAGTTGTCAAGAATCTCTCTGACATTCTTTCTGACTCAGGCTCAAAGCGCCTCGGCAATGGCCAGGCTCGCCTCTGCTGTGACATCGCTGCACTCTGCTGCAGTCACTCGAAAAACAAGCGCCTGTGCCAGTTCATCTGCAGATCCCGCAGAGGCATAGGCCTGAAAGGTGCCGCATACATGCCGGACTTCTTCCTTCAATTCTGCAAGAACGTCAAAAGTGACAAGTAAATAACACGATCATCAAATGTCTCCCCCTCCATCCTGAGCTCCAAGACAACATAGTATTATACACAGGCATCCCCTTGGCAAGGCAGCAGCAGGCGAACGCAAACCACTGCACAAATCCAAAATTGGCAAGACATGCATCTTGAGCAATATCTTCATCACAGCTTCCTTGACCGCTGAACACCATCAACATACCGTCAACCAGCATGCAGTCTTCAAATTGGCTCGTGTCTGACCCGACCCGGACACGGTACATTGGCCTTGCGGTCCAAGACTGCCCAAATCGACACACACATACACGCACTTGTACTACCCCTCCTCCGGCTTGATTTTTTTTCCTAAATCCGTCTTGCAGAGGTAAAGATCGACAGCCACGTCATTGTCGTTTTCCCTTCCAAGGGAAGTCTCCCTTTGATATCCTCTGCAGTCTGCAAACAGCGGTAGCTTCGTTGGCAGTGGACTGCTGGACGGACCCTCTCCCCCTGCTGAAACATGAACTTCTGCTGGCATTCCTATCCGTCCTATCTCTAGGAACCCGCAAAATGCCCACACGCAATACATCCCTTTAACAAGACTCAAGGAAGATGAGATCCGGAGTAGAGACCAGAACTCGCTTCCTTTGCCTTCTCAGCGGCCAGCAACTCCTCGGCGCAGGAGCCTGCCTGGCTCTGCATAGCCGTGCGGCCCTGACTTTGGAGAAACATATCTGAGACTCCATCCGGGCGGTTTAGTAGCGTCAGCAATTGAAGCTCTGCCGCAGCCCATCGGAGCGCCTCACGAAGCGAGATCACAACTCATCCCCGCAAGAGAATGCTCTTCGGCCCTCGCCTGCTTCATGGTCAGAGGACCCAGGCCCGGGTGGCTGAAGTCCGTGGCTACATGTTGAAATCAACGCACGATGTGAGCACATGGGTTTCGACTGCGGTGGCGGTCAAATGTCACTTCTCAGGATGCTTGGTGGTTCAGGAGCATGTGCGATTGCCATGCCTGCTTTTGCAAACGCTGCACAACCGAATTCGACACCAAACAGCAAGTGTGGTAGGCTTGCATGGCATGGGCCATCACATTGCTGAGACTTGGCATCGCAAGCTTTATGCCTCCTGTAATGACGGCTGAATCAACCAGCAGGGAAACGCTTTTTGTCCCGCGGGTGCTCACTTCCAGCGCTGCAGCAGTTTGCCTGGGACACTTCCCGGCTTTCAACGAACTGTCGAGCTGAGACAGCAGGTGCCAGAATCATACGCAGTGGCTTTGAAGCGTCCGTCATGTTGTCAGGCCCATCCTGCCCCCGTTTCACTCTGCCAACACTGCATCGGCAAGGTACCATCGCACGCTGAGTTGAAAACTCTGCAATTCAAACAGGTCGGCAGAGCTACAAAGCACGTATGCCAATGCCCATCCAGAAAGTCAGGCCAACTTCCGGAAGCAGAGTGAAGCAGACATAGAACACTAAGAAATCAAGCAGCTAGCATGCTGCGCCGCACCGTCGAAGTCTGCTTCAACTGGGTTGTGGCCATCCTGGCCAGCACACAAGAGTCTCAAGAGGGCCAACGTCCGAGAAGTGGCGATGGATTGTGGTTCTGGCCTCCTCGCCCTGAGACGCTCGGCCCCGGGCCCGCTCGGCTCGAAGCTCGAAGCCCAGGGCTTGGAGCTCCGGAGCTCCACTGCGAGCTCTACAAGTTCTCGGTCTCTGAAGATCCGCGTCAACGCCGGCAGCATACCGCCGCCGCCCGCCCGGGGCTTGGAAATATATAAGCTGTTCGCAGGAGCCGGAGCAGGATCGATGCTTCCGTTGCAAAGGTCTCATTCCTCCAGCTTCTCTGCATACCTTGGAGATGCAGTGAAGCGGCATGAAAGTACTCACACCGTAAGCATTGCAAGCAGTCGAGGTGCATTCGAAGCAAGCGGTCGACGTAGTGGATGTAGTCATCACCTTGCACGGGCACATTCACCCACCCGGTCCCTGGTGCGCAACTTTGCATGCATAAATTAAAGGAGCTTGCTCAAGTGAGTCTGTGCAGACTCCACGACCTTTCATTTGGAAAGGCTCCTTTCTGTTTAAGGTTCGAATTCTGCAACATGAGCATCGGAACATTGCTGACTGCAAGTAGGAATGTGACCCTAGGAGGCAAACACTGTGAAGCCTGGCAACAACCTGCTATTCACCAGTATCCAGCCAAGCAACAAGTCAAGTGACCTCAGTCGGAGGATCGTTGGGTCTGCTGGAGAAGGCCTACAACCAGCCTACAACAAACGCATCTGAAAGTGCTGTGGCTGCGACGGTGTGCAAAGGCCAGGCCATTCTGGGCAATGATCTTTGCTTCCGCATCGTGTGCGATCAGCCAAAGCAGACGATCCACCAAGTCGCTGAGATCATACCTGGCAAAGCTTTGCAAGCACACTTCAAACTTCAAACGTCTCCATGGCCCCTCTGACGAAAGTCTTGCAGGGTCACGACACCGGGACGAAGTGAACCCATGGCTTCAGCAGATTCATTGGTGCCATGAGCTGCCAAGGCTCGTCTGGGATGAGTACAACGGCACCCATGAAGAGCTGCCAGGACAGTCGGTCAGCAGCAGAGTTGCCCTCGATAGCAATCTGATACTTGTACTTACCAAATGCCTCAGACTCAATCCGTGGGGCGATCAGCTCCTCATCCCGCAGGAACTCTTCTAAGTCCTCTGCCATCCGCCACACCGTCGAAGACTCCACAAACTTGGCATCAATGAAAGGAACGAAGCGGCTGAGCCAGACTAGGCGACCACGTGGCAGCTGCAGCCATGTCGTGAAATTCCAAACCGGTTGCCTCTTACCCTGTGGCAAAGTCACGCACTTCTCCATCATGGCTGGGTCTCTTGCGACAAGCGCTGCTTTGCAATCCTCTGCCCAGAGGTTCGAATGCGTCCCTCTCCAAATCAAGATCGCTTTTCGGTCCTCCCATCTAAATCTTTCCATAGCCACCATGCCCTCCTTCAACTTTCGGTGACATTGCGCAGGGTGCAGCTGCCACTCTGAAGGCAACACGATCGTGGAGGTCCAGCGCGTCCCCACCTGGAAAACGACATGCGTCGACTCGTGCTGAGGTGTTCCTAACTTGGCTAACTTTTGGATTAAAAAGACCGAGCCATAGCCACCCGAGTAAACACCGGCACTTCGGGAAGAGCATGGTCCACCACGTCGTCAGCGGCATTCAAAACGAAGTTCAATGTCGGCAGAGGCCTCGTGGACTGAATAACATTCAAGGCAAGGAGGACAGCTCGCAAGTATGAGCAGTCAAATCCGTGGCAAGCATGGCTTTCTGGACATGATGACACCGTCCCATCCTCGTGGACTGAGATGAGGCAACCGTTGACATGCGTCTCTGTGCTTAGATTCCAGTGCAGTTGCGGCCCCTGCTTCACTATGCTGTTCCCGCGTGGTCCCAGAGGTTCAAGCTGCGAGTTCATGCTTTCCCGTAGATCATCCGGAAGGTGTGCAAAGGTCTTCCGCGAGTAGACAGGAAAACAGCAGCGTGTGAACTCGCCCCAAATTTCTTCCTCAGGTGGTCGAAGGGATGTGTCCTCACAGTAGAGCTCCGCTGGCTCGCAGCAGTCGCAGTTGGCGCTCCAGATCATGGGCGAGTCAGGCACACTGCATGCCCATGCCCACATTCCAAGTGGCTGGGCAAGCGACACCTCGTAGCTGAACACGGCTGATTGCAGGTAGTCTGCTTCTACAGCGTGACCCAAAAGAGTTTTCAGAGTGCTGAGCTTCGCTTCCACGCGGTTCTCTATGGAGGCGAAGCATTCAAGGTGCTGCTGAGTGGGAGGATGGCAACAAAGCTCCTCAACAATCCAGATGCCTTTCCAGCAATCAGGGTCGGCTTCAACGCAGCAGCGCTGAAAGCTCCGATCACCTTAGCATTGCAGCAGCTCTGACTCGGAAAGAAACTGGCTGTCCCCCTAAGAAAGGCGAAAAGTCAGCCACATTACGGCTGTCTTTCCATCAAGGCAAGATTGTCCAAAACAACAGGAAAGAGACTGTTGTACCAGCACAGGCCATTGCCGAGCTCTTCTTGAACATCCTCGTCTTGGCCGCACACAGCGATGCCGTACAACATGAAGAAACGCAATGAGCTCATAGCAAGGACGGCTAGATGCCCGAGTTGCTTCGCTCGCAATCGGTTGCAGTGCATTCTAGTCAACAAGACTGGAAACTGCACAAGCTTGACATGACAGAAAGCCGTGCCGTATCGCTGTGTGCTACACACAGCCCACCCGTCTTAGCCTGCATCTCAAGGATTGCTCCCAAATCTGCATTGGGCCAATTGGCGATGTGGCACGGGGCAAGCGTAAGCTCTGTACAGATGCCCTGCAAGGAGTCGCAGCCTCAAGCATCGCCGCTACGATGCGACGAGTATCCCGTGGCGCCAATTGGCAGAGAATGCAGAGTGCCCCCTTCTTTTATACTCCGCATCGTTCGGACACACACATTCGTGCGCCTTCGTAGAAGGCCCAGGCTGTGCTTCCGACCGAATTGTGGATAAACGAACCTACAGCAAGACGCATCACAAATCGCGTCCCAACTTCGTGCAGCGGCACAAGGGAACGACGTCCCAACTCTCGGAGCCTGCACGACAGCATTGAAACTGAGACGGCCACTGCAGCGCTTGCTATGACCAACGCTAAGGGAAGAGACAAACAACATCTGGACAACAAAGACAGAGTACCACTATGCCAACAGCCCTCGTGTGCAGGAGTAGGAGTAGCAGTAGTCGTAGTAGTAGTAGTAGTAGTAGTAGTAGTAGTAGTAGTAGTAGTAGCTAGTCGTAGTAGCTAGTAGTAGTTGGTAGTAGTAGTAGTAGTAGTAGTAGTAGTAGTAGTAGTAGTAGTAGTAAAGAAGTGAAAAGAGAACGCCGAAGAAAGCTCAACAAGACGCATTACCACACATTTGCAAAGCCAAACAATAATTTACATAACCGCCCAGCCTCGATGCAGAAGCGACTCCCATCACTTTCACAGAACCTGCTCTTCCCTGATCGTGCATTGCACCTGCACTAAGAGACTAAGATTCACACTGCTGAAACAGCTGTGGAATGCCGAACTGCCAACCAGTAGTCCTCACGACCAAGTTTGTTGCTTTAGATACGTTCCAAGCCAATCGTTTCAGCAGAGAGCATACAGTATGTACAAGACTTTCAGACATCTGTCGAGAACGGGATACCCTAGCGCATCCCGGTGAACAAGGAAGCAGATCTCTGCTTGGGAACGTTGCCCTCAATAAAGACATTGTCCAAGAGTACGGTGTTGCTCGGAGTTCCCGCAGGTTTGAGGCATCTCAGTCTGATTCGTCTTGGTCAGTATGCCCTTCGCAAGCCTCAAGCCTGTCTAGTCTCTGACAGATGCCACATTCGAGATCCGATATTTGCCCGCAGCACGGGTTCTGCAGCCATAGGGGTTCATGGTGGTTCAACAGGAACCCACCGTGCACGGGACATTATCGGGTCAGGGCCTGCAAGCTGAAGGAGCAAATCTCGTGGCTGTTTGACCCGGTATCCTTCGGTTTGCAGAAAAATTTGCAAAGAGACAATGTTAGTCGGCATCTCTTTGAAGCCGTCTTGCAGGTGCCACGGTTCAGGTCCCACGGAGCACAGATCATTCCTGCAGATGCTCTGCACTCGCAAGATATGCAAGAAACTGTTCATGTGCAGCACTGGTATCGTTGAATCACCTATCATCGTCCTGTACCGCAACAGCCTGTGGAACAGACTGCACAGGCCCCTGCAGCTCGAAATGAAGTAGCGGCAGAAGAATCGCAGCCAAACGATTCCAGCCCCGCCTCACACTCCTCGCCACTCA